GCAGAGGGATGGGCGTTGGCCACATGTGCTCACCAGGGTGGTGGTGAATCAGTGATGCAGCACAGTGCAGTGAACCCTCAGGCTTATTATACAGCAGGTGATAACAGGAGGCCCAAGGGCTTACTCCACACACACACGCCGTGGCTGCAATGCAGATGGTGCATTGGTGAGTAAAGTGGCCTTGTTTGGAAGGGCAACTATTTCCTGTGCTCCTTAAGTACAGGAAATTGCCCCGTTGCATTCTGAGAGTTAATGCTGCTGGAGAGTTTGTTAATGTACGTTTTATTCATTTATGTGCCAATATTTTGGTACTATGTATTCTGTATTTTAGACCAAAATAACACTCGTGGATTTCCTAAGTCTATATGATGCTTGGTCTGCATTCTGTACTATGGGACTGGACCCACCATTTATTTAGAACTGCTTTTTATCTTTAGTGTGTTATCCTTCCCCCGAACCTCCGATTATCACGGTTGACTACGTACGGTGCAAAATACGTTAAACATACAGTTTGTAATTGACGTATGATTTGTTTATTTTTGGTATAGGATGGGTTATTGGTCCATGTGTGTTCACCAGAGTGGGGATTGTTGTACACAGCATGGGCAAGTGAATCCCATGGTTGCTCTTTATTCAGCTGGTGATAGCAGGAGGCCTAGGGGCTTTAACTATTCCACACACGGTGCTGTATTGATGGCTGAGTGGCGCGATTGGAAAGGAAATCAACTATCTTGTGCTGCTTCGGGGAAGTGAATGTTTCACTTGCCTTCTGAGAATTAATCTTGTGCAACCTCGTTCGAATGTGTTCTCTGCACTGATTGTGGTTGACAACTGTGTATAATTAGTCTGGACGACATATTTGAGATGGGTTTCCGGAGGAACTACAGTAGTATGTTCTAACTCCTGTTTTATTAAACATTTCCCACTCCAGGTGACTGAAGTATAATACTTTCGTCCGCGATCTTTGTCCATATTTTGTTAAATTTCAGGAGACAACCCCAGCGGTAATGTGTTACGGTTTTAATTCTGTCCTGTATTTTAAAAGCGCGATGCCGTACTCCGTCTGTACTGGGTTTGTACTGCGGATAGTTATCAGAGAGAAACGTCATTGGATCCACAAGGCATAGAGTAACATTGCGGTATTGTACTCTGTGTATGATTTGTGTCGACTCGTGTAAACATGCAGAGCGCCACAGCGTGTAAAGGTGACGGCAATGTAAACAGCAACGTTTATGATGCGCCGATGTTTACAGGGGTTCCAGTGGTGGGGTCCAAGTACTGTATGTTCAATATGCGTCTTTTAGGCCTTGGTTCAGGCACTGCGAGGCATATATCTAGAACGGTTCAGTACATGTACTGAAGTAGATTTTTGGGACACGTGTTATTGTAATGTTTCGGGTAATGGCCTTTGTCAGTTGACCTTACCGAGTAGAATAGCAATCACGTGTGCACGTGTGCAGTATTGAATACCACTGATTTGTAGCACACCTTTGTTTTTTCACAGCTCTTTGTCAATCCACTCCTGGATGAAGGCTACCCCACATACAGGGGTCATGGAGGTTGTTTGAACATTCTTCTTCACCACGCTGATCAGTGCGGTTTGGTGAACGGGGGCTTCAGATGTCACGTGCCACTGATGTTAGCCGTGGCAGGGAATCGATCACAGGTTGCTGGCTTTGCGGTGCACTCCATGAGCCACTCTGCCACAGCTCCTTTATACCTTGAATACAATGCTATACATTTATAGGGTAATTGACACGGCCCAATACACAATCCACTGATACTACCTTCACTAAAGGGACAAAAGCATTTCCAACAGGGGTACGATACTGTCAACACCTGCACCTGATGTTGTTAGACATGATTCATACTTACTCTACAGTCCTGATGTACTGTATAAGAACTGTACTGTGTGGGTTGAACTGATGACTTTGTGCAGTGTGCAGCACACGCATACGTCCAGCTAATTGGCAATGTCGATTGGCGCTTAAATGATTGACAGTACAGTCTTGTATCGTGTACAAACAAGTTAATTTTACCGTGGAAAGTGGTAAAACGCCGTTGAGTAGGTCATTCTCTTTTGAAGTTTCGTGCAGTATGTGCTCAGAAGAGTCAATTAGTCCCTTGTCCTGCTCACACGAGCTTTGTGGTGGAGTTTGTTGGTGAACTTGGCCAGGAGTGGAAATGTTACATTTCCATATTTGAGGCCAGTGCATTCAAACGAAATAACCACTGAATTTTCCACAGACAGTTGCTTGACTTCCGTTCAATTCTCATGCATTTTAAACACGGGGACGATTTGGCCCCGCAACAAACTCACCCTGACTGTGCCCAACCTTGGAATCTCACAGTAACGTTGAGCCTGGTATGTATAGCTAGTAAATCTCATGCTTACAGGACAGCCTTACCCACTGGGTCTGTAAGGGACAACAGAAGTGAGCTACGCGACTTGTGCCATGCCCGTACCATGACAGGTAGCCCCCAAATGGGTGCATCAAATAGCCAAGACATGGAATAAATGCCACTATTGTCTTACCACCATCTCCTTTTAACGCATTGTATTGCCTACGGCAGAGACTACAGTGCTATTTATTGAGCTTAAATATTGCCCGTTTCATGTGGTTGAACGTTCCTTTTTTTTACTTTTTGTTTATGATGTTGGGGAAAACGTGACCACGTTTCCATTACCAAAAATAGGAATGCAAATTGCGAGGGCAGTGCATTTCGGTCGTTTTGTCAAGATGTGAATGAATGTGGCCCATAGAGTCGAAGCTCTAACCCAGGTACCATTTTATGTTAATCGTGAAATTAGTAAATACAGTGCGATGAACAGATTGTACGCTGGTTTTTCTGTGCAGTACTTAATTTCTGTACTGTGCGTACGACTGTGTATGGAAATGGATGGTGCGTTTGAGGCCTGATTCTTACCTATTACAATGCATAGTTACAAAAACTGTATTGGGTAGCGCATGCAGCAAAATCTTAACACATCCTCGCCCCAAGCTGTGGTCCTGAAACACTTCACTAATTTGTGATGAAATGCCATTTAAGGTTTAGACTTTGGAGGGTCACTTAAATGTGACGGATGTTTCGCTGAAATGTTCATGCTCGTATTCTCCATTGTGTATGCAAGTATTTTTAGTTTCAAGATCAGTACTGTACTTTGTATTATTGCAAGTGACGGGGAATGGGTACTTTTAGGTAATTACCGACATCGTTAAGTCGCCTTTGCATTTGAATTGAGGGCCACATTTTCATTAATTAATTGGGCACATATCCACTTGTGTATGTTGAACGTCTTTCGTAGCCGTACGTAGCCAACCATGATCATAGGACAGACAACAAACTAAACACGAAAAGCAGAATTCCCAATTTAGTTTTAAAAGTGCATAGCTCCAGTGGCTTCGTAAATATAGATATCAGAATGGAATTGTTTATTGTTTATCCAGATAGTCTCTCTTCATTTATGGGCAGAGAAGTTACAAACCTTTCTGCACGGCATTTTGAATCGCGTTTTTTTACACGTTGAAAGGTTTAAAGCTGTGATCTTGAAAGGGAAGTAATCCGGGGTTATATATCCTACTGAACACTACTTTGCGTTACTTTCATTCCACAGAAATTGTGCAGACCGGCCATACATCCGGGCTGGATATACAGATACCAGGGTTTAACTCCAGTCGTCAGACAAGTGGGCCACCACCAATACGAAGAGATTGTGATTTGAAGTCTTGGCCATTGTACAACTGTGCAATGTTTCCTTTAGGGGATTGGTTGAACGAGTAGAGTACTTTTCAGAACACGTATTGCCGCCCCCCCCCCCCTTCGTGAGCGTCTTGGCATGAACGCAGAACGGATGTTGTCTTCAGTACAGTACAGTAGATTGACCTTCAGTTTCACAAGAGGAATGTGGAATTTTAGCTTATATGCAGGGGCAACGGCATATTCTGCTGTTTTAGTCTTTTTGGTTCCAGGTTCTGCTATTGGCTTGTTTTTAGTTTGAACAGGGACATTAGATGACACGTGTTTGTACAATAACCATGCTGTATGGAATTGTATGCACTTCTTAGACATGGGCACCCTGGCATTGTACTGCAGTATCTTAAAAAAATCAGTTATGGTTCCCATTTATGTTGATTTAAATTACAACCTGTAGAAGAAAACCAAGAAGTATCGTACGAGTGTTTTATACAACCAAGAACTGAACTGACAATAATGCACAGCCATAATCCAGGTTTTTTGGATTAGATCGCGTAGATATATACAAGTGTCGTTAAACCCGCCACCTCCCGACAGCCAATTTGTAAGGTTTGTCACCTAAACAGAACGTGCCAATTCGTTACTAGTACAGCACACCACTGTGTTGGAGAGCAAAGCCACAACATGTACAATCTGAGTACGACGTTTCGCCAGTAATTACAACTAGCTTCCTCAGGCTGCAGAAGTTGTCTAGAGGGCAGTCCGCACACAGGCTGTCGCCTAATGAAGCTAGATCTGGCTGTATTATGGATGATATTGGTCGCGAAAGCCTACGTGTTAATAATGCACAGGTAAAAAATGTGACTTGAAATTTCCGACCCGACTCACCGAAGGCAAGATATTATTGTCTGCGATACTGTGCAAGTTGTTTGATCTTGCAGAAGTACTTTGAGCACGATTAATTTTAACTGTTAAACCTACTCTTGAGAAGTGGTACCTCAGTTCCAAGAAATGTTTGCCATATGAGTGAGCTCATTTTGGTTTCGGTGAGCTCACAAAGAAAACTACCTGAAGTGTTTGTAGGCCAGATGCAGTAGTTGTCTAGAGGGCAGTCCGCACACAATACTGAACTGTAGTAGGTGAACCTATGAAACACAAGTGAGGTTGACGATGGTGTACTATAATATGCGGTAAAGGCTTCTTATGCCGATATTCAATTTGCCAACAAACATTGATGCACATTGCTGAGAGGTGCCATCTTGAAGCACGTGCAATGCTATGATAAAATATTTAACTTATAAGTGCGTGAACAAATAATGCATATCAAGATTTGAGATTTACAGGTATTATGTTTCATGTCATTTTATGTGCACTCACTGGTACAAGGAATATAGCAGGACAATAACTGATGAGGTTCTGTGGAATAAATAATTATATTATAGTAAATTTTTAACTCCGCTGCTGGATAAAGGCCTTACCACATCTTGTAAGTCACCACGATGGTTAGTATTGACTGTTGAAGGGATAACGTAGGACCGGTTAAGATATTACTTGCCACTGATTTAAGCCATGAACAGGAATACAACTCGGGTCGTCGGGTTTTTGGCAGTGTTGTGCACTAACCACTGCACCAATGTTCCCACCCTTATAATCGAAGGTAATATACGTGCCTTGCAAACATGCTGACTGCTGAGAACAATAGTCTACAGAAACCTCACACAGGAGCAACATTACTCAATGGTTTAAATATCTACATCACAACAGCATTTTATAATAATAGCAGCCTTTTATAGGTTAGATACAAGACAGCCCAGGATAATTTATTTGATTTGATGTACCGTATTATTATGTTTCAAAACTGTAATTGTAAAGAATTTTCTGCATATGTAATGCAGTTCTAAATTACACTTGGCAATGTTACATGACTACAAATACGGCACCGAAATGTAAACATGTGCGGTCTTGCACAATATATCACGTGGTCGTCTTTGAGCATTATAAGTTTGGGTTGATTTTTTTTGCGTACAATTCTTAGAGCCATTGTCATGTAAGCAAGGTTTTGTAAAGTCGGCAAACTTAGAGCATGTCGTTTTTTTTGTACTTGCCAGTGCAGGGAATTTTAGTTTAAGTGTCTTATTTTGATTCGTTTTTCTTTTGGAAGACTGCAGGTGTCGTGGTTGATAAGACGGAGCATTTAAACTGGCCAGCCTGTTTTGACAGAAGAAGCTAAGCATGTCTGGGAGGCTTTATAAAGAATTGGTTCAAATTGGCGCCAGCATGGCTTACCCTGGCAGAGAAGCAGGGCGTTAACGATAGCCGCTGCACTGTACAGCACCCTATACAGGCCCTTACGACAGCTGGTATGCATGCTAAACACCCCAAAGCTAATATCTGCATTAATGCAAAGTTGCGTTCACAAAACGACTGTTCCCACGGACACAACGATGGGAGAGTGATGCTGTTTGCAGATGCTAACCCTTTTTCTGCCTTCCCCCCCCTCCCCCAACCCGTTGTATGTGTGTGTGTTTTTTCCACGATAGCTTAACAAAGGAACCCCTTAACAGAACGGATGGTGAGCTGGCTGGGAAAATGGAGATGAATACAAGGCTGAGAGGTAAGCCGAAAGCCATAGCGAAACCATAATGAATGTGGTAAGCACCAGTGGACAGATTAAAAATGCTGCACTGTATACCATATTATGGCACCACGTTTAAAATAGTAGCAGTGTTTTTACTTTAACAGTGCGTTATTTGCAGCTTTTTTTTGTACAGGTAGTTTGCACATAGGGGTTCACATTTGCGCACAACAGAGCCGGCTGTCATCTCCGTCATTCAGATTGTAACAAGTCTAATCCTGTGTTTTTTTGGAGGCTGGCAAGATCAACAACAGACAGTCAAATACGCGTTATCACAAATGACACACTGTGAAGGGAGCAGCTAAAATGGCCGACGTAAATGCAGCCTAGTCCCACAGGCGAGGGGAGAAGCGCTGTGTGCCAAGCAAGTGCCCACTATAACAGGCTGTCGCCACGAAAATGAACGCATTTCGCATGCACATTGACCGTCTGCTTTGTTTGTAGGGTTGTTTTTATCGTCTTGCGTCGCCTTTTAAGGATTACTTATCGCATCGGTTAAGCAAATCAGTATCGCGTGTGCTGTATTACGGAAGTGCGCTATATTCTTCAGACAGGTGCAATGGTTGTTGATGGAAATACAGCCATTTCAACATTGACAGTTTAATAATATTACGAGAGTATGTGCAGATGAAGGCAGTGAATGTGCACAAAAATTGGTATGGCACTAACCTATGGGGCGAGGGGGGGTGTCTCTACCACAGTGGTGTTTTTTTTACATATAGTCATGGTTGAAAATATAGTAACTGGCGTAACGTTAACAAGTTAAGCCCATTTTAGATGTGTCTTGTCTTTCATTGTACAACAATACAATTGGTTATATCTTTTTATCCAGAATAATTGTCTTCATGCATTCACGACGGCATTAACGTATACTACAGTAGTGCTTTTTAACATCCCTATTTGTAACTTTGAACAAAGAACCTTGGCCCGATTGATGTATTTCCGGATGTTCTTTGACCGCTTTAATGTGTGGAAGCATGCCAATTTTTCCTTGACCAAACACAAGGGCAAATTGATGAAGGCGATAAGTTTTGGCCATTTTATCAACGTAAGAATCTGGCCCTATTTCTGGTGTGCAGTATTATAGTAATAGGCACTCTATAGAGATGTGTTATTAGCTTTAGTTTGTGCAAGAATAGGCGATAACCTGTTTAGTAAATAAATGCATCACATTACAGAACGGTATATTATTATGATTGTAGGGGAGCGGTTGTGCTGTGGTTAGCGCACTTTGCTATTAACCCAGCCGCCTGAGTTTGATATCCAGTCATGGCTAACGCCAATGGCGATCGATATCACCAACCCACACTGACCACCATGAAATATGATCAAACAAGCCCCATATGACCAATACGGAGGGAGGCCTTCATCCAGCAGTGGATTGACAAAGGGCTGTAAATTATTTTATTATAATTGGAAGCTTGTGAGTGGTTGACTAACCTAATGATAATTCTTTGGGCAGATTTTTCAATAACACTCCCTTTTAATATACATAGTACTATAATAGGCATTGAAGCATTGGATTCAAACTGATTCACTTTGTCTTCTGCACTGCTGCCAACACAATCCCATAATTGTTTGCCTTAATTTTTCTGGGTGAGTTGAAAAATATTAAAATTTCGGAATGTACATTCCAACAGAATGGTAAAGAAAACTATAAAAGTAGCTTTTCACATCTTGCATCGAGGCCCTTGTCGTCACCTGATCCAGTACCAAAATCAGAGGTCTCCCCACACCTGGCGAACACAAATGGTAAAGGTTGCAACATAGATGCTTCTCCATTTCATGGCCAAAATATACAGCCAAACTTCCACAAGCTAACACTTTCACACATCTGTCTTTAATGTGCAATTTCCAAAATAGTCCAGTAATTTGACTAATAAATGCAACATGAAAGTAGAGCAAATGTGTTTACTGTATTCTGTGTGGGGGAAATGGTTACTTTTGGAATTTGTTTATATTTTCCTAAATCAGAAACTAGGGAGACAGCTTTTTGCAGTTTATTCAACAGGGTTTTACATAAAAAAAAGTTGTAATTAAATACATTAAAGCAATTCATATTCTTGTTTCTTTCGGTAAAGTCACGTAGATAGAAAACAAAAACTAAGAGCAAAAAACCCACGACGTTTCGATCACAACACAAGCGGTCTTCTTCAGGTGGAGAGAAAAGGGAAGAAGACCGCGTGTGTTGCGATGGAAACATCGTGGGTTTTTTGCTTTTGATTGTTATGTTCTATCTACGTGACTTTACCGAAAGAACCAAGAATATGAATTCCTGCAGTCACGAAAGTTTTAAGTCGATCTTAAAGCAATTCCTTAAGTATGTGCTGTGAGAAAGGAGGCTGAGAAAGGCATCACAGCGTCACATTTAATGTGTGATATTGCTCAGTGGTCGTGAACTTTTTGCATGAGTCGCCTGTCCTCAGCCTGAGATGGCATTCTGGTGACAGTGTCCTTGTAGAATAATAATAGCAAGATAAAAAAACAGATTTGTTTTGCAGGTTGACAGGAAGTCACCGTGGGGGAGGGGGGAGGTTTAAAAGGGAAAAAAATAGCTGAGACCCGGATTTACACAATCGTTCGATTATAAAATTGTCTCGCCAGTGTCCTTCATCCATGTGTTGCTAGCACCAGGAGGGAAAACAAGCAGACATACTGCTAATTGATTCAGTACAATAGTGTACTTGAGTATTGTTTGAGTGCTCGTTTTTGGTCGTCTCATCCCCTAACGTTCTGCTAATTTCTTGAATCCTATTGAAATGATTGGGTCGAGTACATTGTTTAAATATTTCAATTAATTAGACAATCACTGTCCTTTCTATACCTTGGCCTTAGCAACCATTACCAGTCATTAGTTGCGTGATTTCTGCTCTTGTGCTTTTGACAGTGTTATGATGGCGCCTTATGCTAATGCATCGATTAACTTTGCTGGATATCCGCCTTCTAATAAAAGCTAATTTCCTTGTCTGATGGGAGTACTGTAATGCTTATTAAAAACTTCCGTTTACTGGAAGGACAATGCAGTTTGCAATGTAATGGTGTCATATCTCAGGGGAGCAAATTTAAGTTCAGCTCGCTAGCCTTTGTATTGTTTGCTCCATAAGCATGAATGTAACAATTCTATATAGTTTGTCTAAATCGTGGATAATATATTTTCAATATTATTCATTGACTGTATCTTGAGCTTAATCTGAAATAGATTCAAAAGCACAAAATATAGGCATCATTGAATAAATTCTTCATTATCTTTGCACTGAAAACAACCACTGTACTGAAAATTATCTGCAACTGAAGCCCCTATAATCTTGCAGAAGCGAATTGGTATTGTACAAGGACATTTTAAGGGTGGAACATTTTTCGTTTAATGGTATAGTAACCCACGGTGTTGTTGCGTTGCCTCGACTTGGAGATTTAGCAGAAATCATTGGCAGAGCCAAAAAGACATCTGCAGAGCTGCCTCATATTTCATATCATGTTGCTGTCACCATATTGGGTTGCTATCACCGGCCAATACATTCTTTATTAATGCTTCTTTGTATCAATACTGTGCCGTTTTATGTTTTGTATGGTACAAGTACTGTCTTGTACACAAATCTTGCCCATCGCGGATTGGACCATTCACGCCAAATTTATTGAGGTACAGATCACCGATTGTGCCTCTGTGGCTTGACCGTTGGTGGTTGACCGCAATATTCCTGTACAGTACGCATCGTAAAGAAGTGCTGCAGTTTTAACTGCACTGCTTGTTATGATGCTGCAGAGGAAGAAGACACGCCATTGAGTCACCATCTTGTCTCCCAAGTGGCCCATCGTGGGTCCCAGTTCTCGTGCAGCGAGATTTTTTTATTTACTTTTTCAGTGCCCTTGTGGGTTATTTTTCAATGGCTCCAAAAAGGAAATTGTGGGAGTGAATCCTATCATTAATCATAGTAAGTCATTTTATTTTTAGTTTGAAAAGTATTCCAATTCAACGCTGCTCAAAGTGTCTTGAGACTCAGGCTTTCCTCAAATTAAAGTCATTGATTATAGACCAAGGAAAACGTGGCAATTGTGCACGAGGAAAGATTAAAAACACATGAACAACATCGGTAATATGGAACTGCTTTTTCATCCTTTTTCAATCCGCTGCTGGACTAAAATGAGCACTCGGCTGTCACTTGGCACTTTTATAAATTAGACAGCGGTGTAAATTCCACATTCTTCTTACTTGGGCTAGTCACCAAAAATCACATGTATACATGTATTTGCCAGAGGGCTTAGCTCCCAACCAGAATTTAAAAGCAGTACCATGTGAATAAAAGTCATGCAGCAGTACCACACACCAAGATAATAGTACAGAACTGCAATTGTTGTTACCAATCCATGGTTGTGTACACCACACTAGAGTATGCGGTATTTGTTGAGTGCATGAAAGTAGGGGCATTCTGATGAATACTCAATGCTGTCCCCTGCCAAAGGGTAGATGACCATGGTGCTAACGCCATGGTCGTGGGGGTGACGTATCTGTTTGGAATGTTTGGACCCTGCTGTACAGTTGCGTGTGGCTGGTTTCCTTCATGAGCCAAAGGCACTGTTGAAAAAAATAGGGCAAGGAGGGTGAAACTGTTTAATCCTGCCAAGAAAATCTTGCTGAGCTCCTGAAAATTAACAAGCGGCCATTTGACTTCCTCACAGATTACATTTGGCCAGTTGGTGCAAGCTGTGAGGTTTATATTGGAGTATTTTATTGTATGGCTGCATAAGTATGATTTATTTGTATTTTGTGCTAGTCTAGAATTTATACATTGAAAAGTTTCTATTGTGTTGACAAAAGTGCTCCGTGGTTTGTATGTATGTATGTGGAATTTATTTCGCACCATATGTAGTAAACCGTGCTTAAAGTCGTACAGCACAAAGACAATGCACTATCAGAGTATTGAGAGCTTGGGTTGAGCATCTACATCATGGGACCTCCAGTACCAAAATATGAGAAAAGGTTTTTCCCCTTTTATCTGGTAGCAAAACAGGTGTTAAGTTGTTAAAACACCAAACTGAAACCTTTTACAAGGAATCATGTCTGCATTAACCACAATACTTGTGGTCAATGCAAACAAAAACACTCTGATAATATGTGCATTGTCTTTGAAACTGATTGGTCCACACCAGAGACAGCTTTTTTTTGAGCCTCGTCTCAAATGGTGTTAGACCAGAGGATGCCAAAAGGCGTACAGCAAGGGGAAAAAGGGGAAAAACCTATTCTCATATTTTGGTACTGGCAAAGGAGGTCCCATGATGTAGATGCTCACCCCGAGCTCTCATTACTCTGATAGTGCATTGTATTTGGGCTCTGTCCCTAAATCTTTGTAGGACAAATAGAAAATTAACTTGTGTTATCTGTTCTACAAGAGTAAATGGCAATTAATATGAGTGGAATGATGTATTGATTGATCTATTAATGTAAATTTTTAAGCCTATAAAAAATACACATACATTTGTATGCGAATGAAGCGATGTTTCAGATCACTATAGGTTGTGATGGGTGCACATCACCCCAGCAGCTACCAGAAGCGCTAACATTTATCCCGATGTGAAAAAAACAATCGATTCTTGGATCGAATTGTAACCTACGCAATTCACGAAATTTGGCATGTTGAATCGTTCCTCCCCCAGCAATTAGTGTTGCTGTTTTTAAACTGTTTGTGTGGAAAATCAAAAGTGTGGATGGAAACTTGTTGACACGGGATGAAAAGTGGTCAAGTAGTCCCAAGAGATGAGGAACATGCAGTGAAGAGGCAGGCCGAGTGTAGATTACTCGAGATAGAGTAAAGTGAACTTTGCTTGCCACGGCTGTGATCAACCTATTGTTGGACCTCATGTTACTACGAATTGAGGTGGATAATTTGGTCGTGTTAAAATCCCAGACACCTTCGATGTCGTCCTTTTTCTAGGGCTTGTTCACATGAGTATCACGGAGTGCGAAATGGCTTTGTTATAGATGGACTCACCTTTGCCGCATGAATATGGAATTTTCATCACTGGCCTTGGAGACCTGGTGTTCTACTTAGCTTGAATAGTTACTTTGGTCTGCAGGATGTTAACGAGATGCAATGCATCAGGCAGTGTTCAAGTGTTTGCCCAGGCTCTCCACGTTTTCAATTGGCGTCATTCCTCTGCTTCCACTTGGCCACATTGTCACCAGTCTTTTCTTCCCAGTTCTCACTCGATTTTAAGTTCTCCAGTGTCTTTGTTCGAGGTCAGGAGATGAGTGTCACTACACGGTCGATTGAGCAGGGCACCACTTTGAGTTTTCCTTTAGTCACAGTGATGGGGGATTTTGTTCTAATGTGATGTATCTATGTTGAACTTATTTCGCATCGTACGTAGCCAACTGTGCTAATCAGAGGTGGGGTGGTGTGCAGCCTCAAGCCCACACAACTCGGAGGGGGACATGGTGTTGCTGCACTCCGGGGAGCCAGGCACAGCCGAACGGGTACCGCAGAAGCGCCGGCTTCCGAGCCCTCAGCCTCCGTCCAACGGACACCACGCAACCCGCGATACCTCTCCCGCATCCTCGCCCTCCCCCGGCAAGAAGAAAAAGAGGCCCAACACCCCGCTGGGCAAGGAGCAGGTGGGAGAGGACCCCTGTGTGTGTGCGTGAGGTCATTTTCTGTGTCTTTGTGTGTGTGTGGACTTTGTGTTGTTTTTGGAAATAACTCGTCATCAATACCACAGGTTCCTTGTTCCTCTCGATAATATATTTTCGTGTCTGCTGCCTGTAATTATTTGTTTAGATGCCAGTGGCACGCGGACCGTTCTACCAGCCCTCCTCTGACACGGCGCCGACGGCGCCGCAGGACGGACGCAACGATTTCTACTGTTGGGTTTGCCACCGTGAAGGCCAGGTGCTTTGCTGCGAACTCTGTCCACGTGTCTATCACGCCAAGTGTCTCAAACTCGCCGCGGAGCCTGAGGGAGACTGGTTCTGCCCTGAATGTGAGGTGAGTCATTGTCCGTTTTCAGTATATATAATACAACTGTTTGAGTTTTCAAAATGCCATTCTGATTATCACTCCAGAATAAAAAGTCGTATGGGAAAACCTCGCCTAATGCTCGGGCTATGTTTCTGGGAAAGCTGTGTTTGGGCAAAACCGCGTTCAACAAATAATAGACTTAATGGGAAAATAGGGTTGTTCCTGGTTCTGAAAATTCTCTCCCTATCTCTTTGTTTAGCTAATTTTATGAATTCCTCTCTTGTTATTGTACTAAAAGGATGCCGAGTTGCTCTCCATTTCTTGTGTTTGCACACTTTATTTTTCAATTTCACCTAAAGCCCAACGCTCACCCTTGAAATTGACACTTGAACGTTAACGATTCGTTTTCTAGGCATCCATATGACTGACGTCCTAAACAAGTGGATGGCTCGATGAATGGGGCATTGTGTGAACATTTGCGTTGTGTGAGTGTCGAGTATATATATGTTACATTATCCACATGAGAAAAAAACTTTACTTAAAGCTTTCTTGACTGCAGGAATTCATATTCTTTGGGTCTTTCGGTAAAGTCACGTAGATAGGTACTGTATCTCAATTAAAAAAGAGGAATGACATCGTCATCTTCGAGCCGACAAGGGCAATGCCACGGTCATCATGGACAAAACCACATACAATAACAAAATTCAGGACCTACTTAATGATGGCAGCTATACAAAAATTATAAGAGATCCCACCAACAGCCTCGTTACAAAAAACAACAATATCACTGATTCGACTTCTTTAATCGAACAAACCAAGCGGTTTTCCTTAAAACCCTCTGCTGCTAGACCACCCAGATTGTATGGCTTACCAAACATCTATAAAGAAGGTACACCCCTTCGTTTTATCGTCTCCACCATTGACTCACTCGCATACAAACTCGCCCAATTTCTGTCTGAGACCTTACAACCAATCACTGGTAAGCCCGCCTCAGCTGTACTTAACTCGGCTCACTTGGTATCGTTAATTAAGGACATCTCACTATCTCCAGGTGATTTGCTCGTTAGTTTCGATGTGGTCTCTTTGTTTACCAAAGTTCCTGTGCCTGACACCATTGCAATCATTGAAGATTTGGTCCAACAAGAACTGAATGCTGATGTACCGGCCCTGGTGAGACACTGCCTCACCAACACTTACTTCACGTGGAATGGAACATTCTACAAACAAGTTGAAGGCACCCCAATGGGTTCTCCCTTATCTCCGGTTGTCGCCAATGTTTCATGGAAAGATTTGAGACAGACGCCATTCAGGCATCCACTCTACGTTCATCCCTGTGGAAGAGGTACATAGATGATACGTTCTTCATCTGGTCATATGGCCGACCAGCTCTGAACCAATTCCTCAACCACATCAATTCCATACACCTAGCCAACAAATTCACCATGGAGGTGGAAAAGGATGGCAAGTTACCATTCCTGGATGTTTTAATCGAAAAGAGACCAGATGGCTTAATGGGCCACTGTCTACAGGAAAGCGACCCATACTGATGCTTACCTCAAACCTGACTCCCACCACCATCCATCCCAGAAGAATTGCCTCATCAAAACTCGACACCATAGAGATTGATGTATCTCCTACCATCACCGAGCCAGTGAACTGGAACACGTACAACAAGCTCTCAAGACGAATTGATATTCAGACTTCACAATCTGTAAAGCTATCACCCCAACCGTTGGGAAAGAACCATCTGAGGACCCAATCAAAACCATCACCTTGCCATACATAGGGGTCACCAAAAAGATTTTCAAAATTATGAGCAAACAAGGTACAGGTTTGATTTAACAGTGTCAAATTTGTGATCTGATCCCATCTGTGAAGGATGTGATCCCTGACATGCAATACCCCGGCGTCTACAAACTAAGCTGTGTCTGCGGCAATAGTTACAATGGGGAAACTAAGTGACATGTCTCGGACCGTGTTCGTGAGCATAAGGCAGATCTGAAACACGGTAGGACCAATACTTCGGCCGTGGCTGATCATTGTTTTAATGCGGTTGGCTCACACGAAATTGATTTCTCTAAGACGAAGGTACTTTGCAAGCCCACTGACTATCAACACTGATGAATTCATGAAGCCATCCATATATTTAGACAGACAATTTCAACCGAGAGGATAGGTACAAACTCGGAAATCTCTGGAAGGACGTTATCAACCAGTTTAAGTCATAACTGGCTGTAATGTTTCCATTTTAGTACTGTCCTTTGCGCACCAGTCTTTTAATCCCTCACATTAACATAACCTTCTCCGCTCAATATGCCGAGGCCCACCGTTTTTTAATCCCTCACATTAACATAAGCTCCTCCGCTCGTACTCCCCCAGGGTTCTTGTGCCCCGCCCACTCCGTTCTGACACTTGGGCTACGCCCATTTTAAACCTTTATAAACAGTTTACCTTTAGAGGCTAACCCCCATTTTTTTCTCCACCTGATGACGACCGCTTGTGTTGCGATCAAAACGTAGTAGTTGTATTATTTTTTTACCTATCTATGTGACTTTACTGAAAAACCCAAAGAATGAGAAAAAAAGTTACACAAAAAAGCATACGTGGTAAATAAATTATTCTTAGTCAATTCATCCACACCACAGCACCTTTGAACGAATGCAGCACTCACGTCTCGCAAGCCTGTCTAACAACTATCATAGCAACGTTAATTGGTGTATCGCTGAAACATCACCGCCATGTTCTGGAAAACAGACCTCTTAAAGTAAACCAGGTATAGCCGAAACATGTGTTCAATAAAACCACGTTCAGTGAGGTTTTCCTGTACAACAATCCAAAATCTACAAGCACAAAAATCTGTTTACCAAGTTGATTGCTTTTTTTAAATGTACATGATCTGACCTGGAGAGTGGGGGCAGTATTGTTTTTTTTAAAGGTTAACATTGAATGCCAACGCATGAGATTTACCTGTTGTATGTATGTTGAACTTCATTCGCACTGCGTAGCCAACCGTGCTGTTCACATAGAGGTCACTTGGGTTGCCAGTTGGTAATCTTTACTTGGAAATTAACTCTGGACACGGGGTGGGGAGAGGTGGCATTCTATTCCTAACTTGAGAACCAAAATGCGTCATAGAAAGGTTTGGAAGGCCCTTTGTTTATATCCCTGTCAGGGGTTGACTCAGTACATCGTGTTCCTCCATGTTACTCAAGTGCATGCTCGACCACGTTGTGAGAGTTTGCCATTGATTTTTTCTTTGTAATGATTATCCCTTGCTATAGAAACATGGAATTTCCACCTCTGGCTGAGGGTATTCATTGGAGATGTGCCAGCCAGTGTTTGTTTTGTGCAACTTCGTAAATAGTTATATCGTGTATCTTGCCAAATGATAGTATGCTTGATCATTAATTGACTTATATTTTCTTTTGTTCATTTACATACCTTCCTTCAAACCACCATGTCTGCAAGACATTCTGAGTTTAATGTTATCTTTGATTCTGTCTCGTCCGTTGCAGAAAGTAACAGTGGCAGAGTGCATAGAGACGCAGAGCAAAGCGATGTCCATGCTCACAACGGACCAGCTCAGCTACCTGCTCAAGTTTGCCCTGCAGAGGATGAAACACACAGGGGTGAGTACCATCCATAAAAGGCCATCATATTGCACTCGGGAAATGTTTCAATAATCAACGTTGACATTCGTGACCTGCAATGGTTGCAACACAATTTTCTGTTGCATAGCGTGTAGTTGACCAATTGGACAAATATTATCTCTCCTATTGTAGGCAACCAAGATGTACACTTTCAATCAAATCGGAGGTCACATGACTACGCAAGGTAGTGTGCTGTTGAGCAGTAATTCATGAAACAATTTTTAACTAACTGTTTTCATTTGCTCGACAGAACTCTTCGACTGTGCTATTGCCATTGTTTGTACAGGACATGCATTGCAGTGACAATTTCCAACAACGATTGCGCTAAAATGTCCCAAAAGTGTCATGGCCTTCAGTCTCGTTCCATGTGCTGTGCTGGGCCAATTAATGTGAGAACCGCAGTGTTGGGTGATTGTTTAGCAGCCAGGCAGGCAGGGGGCATGAGAAGAGGAATGTGCGTTGTGTGGCTTCTCCACAACATGATGTGTAAGCGAATTGTAGCCACTGAACTCACGATGACTCGGCTGGATTTTTATTTTATTAAATAAAGTCCGTTTTACAATAGGGCAGTCCTCGACTTGCACACGGGTTCCTTTCCTGAAACCCGTTCGTAAGTCGAACGGTTCGTAAGTCGGAACACAATGTATTGTATTTAAATGCATACACGGTCAGGGAAGCATTGTTTAACTCAAATAAAAATCAAAATTGTACATTTGCATGTAATACTGTAATAAATACTGTGTAGTCAAAACATAAATAAAGTAACATTAATAAAAAAAATCAGTTTTATTTTCACAACTTGAGTCCTAATGCTGGCTTGCTTGTCGGAAGGGCGTAATGAGTCCCCACAATTGTGCGCACACAAACAATAATGACAACGATCCCCCGATATCCTTAACAGGTTGTTGGGTCAAGTGCTGTTAGCGAGCAGCGCTTATGAGGGCTGGCACGGCACACAAAGGGGTGGGTGGCCAGCACTATGCTCGGCTGCCTTTGACTCCCCAGTTGTGATGTTTACACACCCCAACAGGTACTTTTGCGGCCTCCTGGAATGCTCTTCCGATATTAGGAAGCCACTGGAGCTATTCACTTTTAAATCTAGATTTAAAACGAATTTCTTTTGGACTGATTTTTTGTGTTTATTTAGTTGTCCTTCCCCTGCACCTCCGATTAGTGTGGTTGGTGACGTACATTGCGAAAGAAGATCTTTTGAGGCTGAGTTGATCTAGGGGAGGCCCAGGACCCATTCAGATAATCGTCACTGGTGTTGGTCGTGAGTGAGAATTGAATTCAGGTCGCCGGGTTGATAGCAGTGCTAACCATTGCACTACTACTTGCATTTTCAAGTATGTTAAGACTACAACTATCTCGTAGAAGCTGGTTCGTAAGTGCGGATGTTCGTAAGTCGGGTGTTCATAAATCGAGGACTGTCCATAAGTACTGGGGATGCAACGATTCACCTCATCACCACCAATGCGATTTGATGAATTGTCAATTCGGTCATGATGCAGTTCAAGACTCTAATCTTGTTTTGTCTTGCTGTCTTGTACTGCCTGTTTGTGTTGTCTCTTGTTTGTTCTGTCTTGTTCAATGTGCTCATGTAAGCACTATACCAATTCATTTGCATCGTTTGTAAATCACTTTTCTTTATATGCACTATTTTATGCATGCATCATTAACGTATATAAAATGCTTACAATGAAAAGCATTTTCCAATGCTACTGTATTTTAAAACATTGGAAATCTGCACAACTGTATGAAATACGTCTGTGTGTAAGATGGTAATTGTGATAGTTCAGAATTGAATATTTGAAACACTACTTTGCAAGCAATCCTCACCTCTTCATACTCTTAACTATTGCAAAATGTGTTCGGGTGCATGCATACATAATGACGCGTCCAAGGCTGTAACTGGTAAAAAGAAACTAAGTGTGTTTTACTTGAATTTTTCCCAAAAATAACTTTGATTTGCAAATACAGCACAGGGGGCAGGTGTTATTCTCTTATTTTAAAGCAGGAATAACATGCATTGTCACTCCAGAGTGCATTAAGTTGACAGGGTAATCTTTTATATTGCGTTGAGCGAAACTTGGCCATTGCCATGCAAGGATAGCATTGTGTGCAAGCATTTAGGGGCTTACTGTGTATTTGGCCTGACAGGGTCGTAATCACTCATCCCATTTACTTGTTAATGTTTAACGTGTAATGTTTTTTTTACACGAGCAGGTCATTTTATGCTGCTGTCTTCAACGAAATGAAAAGCTGACTATAAATTAACTACTGGCTGTCATTGTGAAACTGTCTGCTTGCTCCCGCTATAAGCCAGTTGTGTAACGATTTCCGTTTATCCCCCAGTGCTTCAATAAATTGTATTGATTCAGGGTCACAATTCGACTCAACAATTGAGTCTTTCGTGTATTGATTTCACGGTCTTGTTTCTATAGTTGCTTGATTTGTCTATGTTGCTTGCCTGGTTTTGTGTTGTAATACTACAAATGTATCACTAGCATGTGCTTTTTATGTTATTTGAGTAAATTATGAACCAATCGATAGATGCACGTATTGCAATCTCAAAATCAGTCTAATCAAAGAATTGTTGCACGTTGAGTGAAGACTGACTAAATTAACAACCGTCTGTGGTCGTACTGTCGGGCAGTCTCTGCTAGTGATATGAAAGCTGTGAGCAGGTTATTATTCCACCGTCGAGATAATGGTCCAGATTGTCATCTTGACAACATCTGTAAAACATTTCCTTGGCCGTTGGAAACAAGGGCACGTTTTCACCAAAGTCATAAAGAAAATGAACATTTGCCAACAACACGTAAATTATGGCCCATTGTCATGTAAACACAACTGGTCATCGCCAACATTTTGGAGTACTTTGACTAATTAAGTTTTAGGAAAATGCTTTTAGGCTAAGCTGTATAAATCTACACTTATAGTAAGGGATGTTTTTCGTTGAGCACATTCTAATTGTAATATACCTTATAAGAGCCGAAGCTGACATGAGTGTGGTTAAATAATGTGTATATATACATAATGACCTGAAAGCCTTAATGTGGGATACAGGTACCCCTCAATTTACGAATGTTCGGTTCCACGAAAGTCTCGTTGACACAATTGACAAATTATGGACACTTTTTGATTAACGAAATCGAATTTCTGCGTTAACGAAATTTCATACGGCCACGTGCCATGACATCAAGTAAGAAGCGCCGGGAGGCTCCTTCATCCATCTGTGACAGTGTCAACGGTATGCCTGCAGTGCAACAGTACCGCCTCCAAATCGTCTCTCTAGTCATTCCAACGTGCAGGTCTTTTGTGAGTTGCCTGAAAAGGGTATTTCCAATTAATTATTCAACCTTTTTTTGTATTGTGAAAAGTGATATAGGTGTCTATTTTTAGGTTAGGAGTTAAGTTGGAATGACTTTCCGAAACGCGTCCCTAATTTATAGTATTAATGGGAATAGCTGTTCCCATGAATACATTTCATTTTACGTAATTTTTTTAAAACGCACCCCTTTTGTACCGTAAATCGCGGGATACCTGTATTTTGTTTTAAGATTGTAGACAGCGGGGTACTGTAATGTTTATGGTGGTTTAATTTACAAATTTGCAGCATCTTTATACGATCACTGGAAAGCGCACAATTCCTTCATTGCATTTTTAAAATTGTACTTTTAGCTTTATCTGACCCTGCTGTTTGAGTGCCCCACTCGGTTATATAGTTGCACGTTAGATCCTTGGTTGTGTATCGACTTAGTTTGGAATCTCTTCATGGGTCAGTACATTTTGTATTTGTTGGAAGTCAACAGTGGTATCTTATTTGAGAGATACATTTCCCACCATGGGAACTTGGAATTTCCACCACTGGTTCAGGGCCACTGAAAAAAATTGCTCCACTCCTTTCCTCAAACAAATTATTTAGTGATGCTGCCTTGGCAGTGGTGCATGAGAGCAATTCAACATCACATATGTCTTTTTCTCATTTGATCAAGGAAGATGCTTTGGCCTTGAGCTTTTGTGACCTTACGCCTGGGAAGATTCGGCTGTATTCTTATGTTATTAACAAGTGTTATGTCATCACTTTTGTGTCATATGTTCTATGAACAGACGGAGCCATTTCAGAAACCCGTCTCTCTGGAGCAGCATCCTGACTACACGGAGTATATCTTCAACCCCATGGATCTGAGCACGCTGGAACGGGTGAGGCAGAGTGTTTGAGCCGACCCTCCATTATTCATAGCTCCTTTGAAACACTGCGGGGTGTGGCAGTATTTTCACGTCAGGAATGTAATGGCAACAGCCCTACAGCTGCCAACCTGTTCTACTAAACAAACAAAATAAATTCCGTGCTTACATTTGTATAAAGTCAATGCTGGTGGATTAATGTTTGGAGGTTAATTCCCATAGGGAGGTTCACTGTTAAACTTGCAATGTCGTTGTTTTTTTTGTCATCGACACACTTTTCTTTAGAACAGATTTTTGTGTTTAGTGTGTTGACCTTCCCTCACACTTGATTAGTACGGTTGGCTAAGTAAGGGTCTACATAAGTTCAATCTAATACACTTAATATTTGTTAATTGACTCCTATGCGTTGGCTGATTGTGACCTGTGCCCTTTTTTGTTCTTGGGCTGGTTGAAAAACATCGTCAAAATCGATGTAAATAGAATGGCAGAATAACATTGTTTTGCTGATTCATGACTTCCTACAACTTGAGGTGATGACGCATGAAACTGATTAAATTTTGCCCCCCATTGCGTTATTTGAAGGCAGGTTCTAGTTGGTATTTTTCCATGTTTTGTGCTTAACATAATTTAAAGAAAAAATTAATTGATATTTGGTGTGTCTTTGTTTCTTTAGCCACAATTTAGCTGAAAGTTAATTCATCATTATTTGTGGGAACTCTGTTTCGCATGCGCGGTGGTATTTGTTCTTTGTTATTGTTTCTGCATCGTGAACTTAACATTTAATAAACACTTAATTTCAGTCACTTTAAAGTAATGTTGGAATCTCCAAATCAAAATAAAATATGCTAAGAATGTTTCGTGACCACCGTTCTAGATGCATTATCGCCATTGTCATATAGTGGTGCTCAATCATTTATCATTTTCACATCCAGTTATCTCCCATCTTCCAACTTTTTATTCACCAAGCTTGTGTGTGAAGATAATTGGTTGGGGGTGGGAACCATACTATCATTATCAGTAGGGTGCTGGATTGCGATATTTAGCCACTTCCCTTGATGAGTGTTGGACATGTGTGAGAAAACCTAAATATCCCGATAAAACCATGCAAATGAGGGAATAACTCAAAGCTCTGCAAATATAAATTCAAGAATCCAATGTTTTATTGCCATCTTCTGCCCACCTTACAGCCCTAGCCTAAAACACATTGTATTCCCAGGGTGAGTCCTATTCAACAACTCCTAACCTGTTCCTAGCTTTGACTAACTTCTTAGGTTTGACTAGATCAGATTGCAAGGTAACTTGGTCACCAAAGTTCTGTGTTTGGTGATGTCCAGTAAGGCGAATTATTTCCAGGCAGGTGTAGAGTTGCGCTTTGTTTATATTTAGTGTGCAACGCATGAAATTCTAATTTCCAGCTCGTTTGGTGCCACAGTGTGGCGATAGATATTGACCACTGTGCAGTGTCAGCAGGTGTGTGCTGATGTTGGAGATGTCGTTTTATGTCCCAGTAGCACATATTCAAGCAGGTTTCTATTTGTGTCTTTACGTGCAATAATGTTTTTTTCAGTTGAATCCCCTAGCTGAATAAATGCTCTGCTAATGGACTGGCTTTTACAGACATGTTATTTTTTTACAATCTATTTCATTACAAAGTAATTTTTGCAGTATGCATTGAAGAGATACATTTTTACTGTGTATACCTTCATCAACAGTGTTTCTTACAAAGTTAATCTGAATGTGCACCCGGGCGGCATGGTGTTACTTATCATCTGGGTGTTTAGCCAGGTGGTGGTGGCGTTGACACGCCTGTAATCCAACACTGGAGGCGAGGATTGGTGGGATCACACATGTTGTAAAACTCCCTTTCCGTGGGTTTCGAGGTGCCATATGCTGGCTCGGCAGGAAAATGCAGTATAGAAAGTGGAGTAATGGCCATCTGTAAACATCTGTAAGGGGATCTATTGTTGCCCGTGTGCAAGTGTGGGTTTCTTCCAGGCACTCTGGTTTCCTCCCACACGTATTAACATCAATTTACTGAACACATCTTCAAATGAGACCCCAACGTCACAAGACCCTACTGTAAAATAATCCTAAAACTCGGTGTGGCTTTTTTGGATAAATGAATACAATTTAAAATTAAGTTATGAACATTGTTTCATGGATGCTGTGGAATTTAAACCGGAATATGGCAAAATAACACAACTGTCATGTTAAATCGGATGCTTATTTTGAGCCATTCCTTTGCTTATGTGTTGAAGATATGAATTCCACATTAAGATGGAATTGATTTCTTTTTACAGAACATAAAAAAGAAAATATATGGCTGCACGGAAGCATTCCTTGCAGATTGCAAATGGATCCTTCATAACTGCATCATCTATAATGGAGGTAAGTGTACAAGGCCTAACGTGCAAAGGAACTTGCGACCCCTATAAAGTAATGGCATCACTGGCATGTTGTAAAGTATTAAATAAGTGCACCAACGCAATCCATTAGAACCATATTAGCAAAACATCCTGCAATATAATTATACACCGTTCAGGTTTGTAAATGAGTATATATTTCCAAACTTGCTCTTTTACGGTGGTTTTCTTTCCTTTGTAAACAGAACGCTTGGTGGGGGCACACACTGTAACCCGTGCTTGAGTACACTTTCATTTGCGATAAGCGAGTGGTCCTGATAAGCCTGGTGTGTGTGGATGCCTTCCAAGTGGTAGTCTCTGGATAATCTGTGTATGTGTGGAAGGAAACTGTAGATTAGTGTTGGCCACAGACTTGGTGGTTATTATGTAATCTATTACAATAGTGCCACGTAGATCGTACACATTTACAGCTCATATTGGTCGTCAATGATAAAAGCTTCCAAATATAATCAGTTATTTTTAAATACAAGTACAATGTACTGCAGATTTAAACACATCAGTTAGTAAATACATTTTTAACATTTCTAGATTGCCAACAGTGACTGTATTGTTGCAGAACTAGCTTATCTATGACAAGTACACACAAAGATAAGCCTTCAATGGAGTGTTGCTTTGACTATACACTATTTTTTACATTTTGCATTGGACACAACAGCACAGGTCTCAGTGTTAACATGGATGTATGTGCTCAAACGTGCTTAAAGTATCTATTTCGATTTAAAGCTTTCGGGACTGCAGGGATTTATCTTCTTGGTTCTTTGGGTAAATTCATGTAGAAGGGAAATAATAAAAATAAACATAAAATAAAAACAGTGTTTTATTATTTCCCTTCTACGTGACTGAAAGAACCAAGAAGGGAAAGTATCAAGTGAAGGCTGCTGCTACATATGGGATGTGGCATAGCCCATTAGCAATGCCACTATTTTGGAGAGGTTCGCTGTTGTAATCCTGCTGCTGCTCTGTTCAATACTGTAAAGTTTCACAGTGGCCATTAAAAATCATGTGCCGGTGTCATGGTCCAAATTTGGCAAAAAAAATGTGAAGTTATCCGCAAATGACTCAATTGGAATCTAGGTGAGCAATCGTCACCCGTGACTATATTAACTTGGCAGGACCGTTCGGAAAACTAATCACGAGGCTTTTGGTGAGGCTTTCCTGGGTAAGCAAACCTAATAATAAATATGTAATAACATATTTCAGGACATTAGTGGTCTCAAAACTGGAATTGAGAACCATTTGAATGTTTAATGAACAAAGCAAAATAATAATTGGGAGTCATTGGCTGCATATTGCTATTGCAGGGAAGTTTTATGTCTTTGTATGTCCAAGGACACAATTTCTGTTTTCACATATTAATGGGCATTTCAAGTGACAATTGAATTCTTATTTTTCAGCCAATCATAAGCTGACCACCACTGCAAAAATGATCATCAAAATCTGTGAACACGAGGTGAGGCTGGAGTCTCAAGGATATCAACCACTTACACAGCATTTGGGTTCTAAAAATGCCTGAAATCCCTCGTGTTTAACTCCTTTGAAACTGAATGTGTCCACAAACATGTGATTTTCTTTTTACTGTATACTAGAACGTGATTGAAATATGCTGCAGTATTTACACGTATTATCAAACATGCTTAATAGGCATGCACTGATTCATTGATTGATTTGTGGTGCTTTAACTCTCGGTACACGCATATAACTGTGCATATTAGAATTGGTTTTAGAGTTCATGAAAACTGCAACCGATACATTTAGACCAGTGGTTCTTAACCTGGGTTCGATCGAACCCCAGGGGTTCGGTGACTCAGTCTCAGGGGTTCGGCGGAGGTTAAGACACACACCCGACTCATATGATTGTGCACCAGTAAAACATATACCTATGTTTTGAATTATAAAAAAATCATATTTTATTTTTCCAATTAAGAAGGGTTCGGTGAATGCGCATATGAAACCGCTGGGGTTCAGTACCTCCAAAAAGGTTAAGAACCACTGATTTAGACTGTGAGGGGTGAACATGACGTTACAATACATAGAAAAAAACGTGAAAGGGTACAAACCAAACGGTACAGACGAGACAAAGAACCGATTGTGTTGCATCTTAATCGAGCCATCAATGTTGATTTGAAGCTTTCGTGACTGCAGGAATCCATACTCTTTGGTTCTTTCGGGCAAGTCACGTAGGTAGAAAATAAATAGATCACGACGTTTCCATCGCAACACAAGCGACCGTCATAAAACCTAGTAAATATTTGTTATCATAGGAGAGGGTGATTTGTTAGATGTGTACAAATAGGCTTTTAGTCGTGTGAATGCGAAGACAGGCGATATTGTACTGTGTACACGTGGGGGGGGGGGGGGGGGGGGGGTAGAGGTATCATATGAACGCCTACCTACACAAATATTTTTGGAATTCACCTTTTCTTAAAAGTCTTTTTTTTTATTTCATACAGACTTGCACAACTATAAATGTAACAATTCTTCGCTGCTTTGTGTACCGTCTTGTGTGTGTGCAGATGAACGAAATCGAAGTGTGTCCCGAGTGCTACCTCTCCTCATGCCAAAAGCGAGACAACTGGTTTTGCGAGCCATGTGTACGTTGACGGTTTCTCATGCTCTCTACTACCCGTGCCGCCCCCCTCCTCCTCCCTTGGTGGCACACAAAGAGATGCGTGGCTTCCTGCACCTCCGATTTAGCACGGTTGGCTACGTACAGTGCGAAAGACGTTCAACATGCATACGTGCAATGCATATATTTGCAAGTTGCTGCCTCCGTGTACAAATCCGTTGTGATATGGGGAAGCCTGCGGACTCCATAAGAGGAGAATTTGCAGTGCGCACATACGTTTTGGGGATTTAAGGAGGAATATGTCACGTGACTAGCAATAGGTTCATAATTTTGATGATTTAATATTCAAGTAGAAAAAATGCTAAAATCCTTACTAAAACGACATCACGTCCACGTTAACAGTGTGTGCGACAGGCGTAAAGTAAATAAAATAACTAGAACAAATTCTGCATCTCTTTTTTGTCTCAATATCTGTTGGTGTCTCTCCATGTGTCTCGATTTCCGTTTATCTTTGCATCTGCCTTTTTGCATTTCCATCTCTCCCTCTGGATCTCTGGGGAAACAGCTCAGTGCTGCCAACCACTGTGCAACAGCTATAACCCCATACAACGTTTTGAATGAAAAACACGGCTGACGTTACGTTATGCTATAGCAATGCCCAGTTTGCCACGTAGTGTAGGAGGAAGGAACTGCATGTTAGTTGAACAGTGTACTGTAGATTAGTATAAATCCTGTGCAGTCCTGCCAGATTGTGGAATTAATAAAATACCCTGAGTACATTAACATGAATGGTGGGCCTTTCATAGCTCATCAGATTCTTCCAGGGAAAATAAAGATTATACAAATTTTTATTCTGCTAAAACAAGATAACTAATGGGCCACCAAAGGCACTTCCATTCTCAGTGTCACAAAATAAAAATAAATCATTTAAATCGAGACCCTGAATTGTGACCATTTACCTAATCGACCGGACTGAATCCATCGATCCACCATTAATTGGAATGCTGCAAGTTCACATGCTGTTTTCTTTCCTACTCGGCTTTTGATCCATCTGCGGTTGATTAAAATGAGCACCAATTTTTTATGGAAATCAGCTGCAGTCATACTTGGGAGAAACTGCCGTCCACCATAGAAATGTGGAATTTCCACCACTTGGGGTAAAAAGAAGATGAGCACCATCCCACGCTTGTTGAGCAGGAGAGACTCGGAGTTTATATCGAGGCTTCGGCGTGTAAATTGGCATGTCGATGTTGTTGGTTCACAGAGCATCCCGCACCCATTGGTTTGGGCCAAGCTCAAGGGCTTTCCGTTCTGGCCAGCCAAGGCCCTGCGTGAGCGGGATGGACAAGTGGATGTGCGCTTCTTTGGCCAGCATGACCGGTAAGTCTCTGCAAGTGTCAACCTCAGCCATAATCTGTCCACTGCTGGATGAAGCTGTTCCCAAGCCATCACCGTCTCTCAGTCCTGCAGTTCAACAAGTGTTGTGCTGTGCAAAAACTAAAGCATGATTTAATCTATAATCAAACAGCTTCATACCTAGTATGTATTTAACAATTCATTGATATTCTTGGTTCTTTCGGTAAAGTCACGTAGAAGGAAAGTAATAAAATAATAAAAATAAAACATAATAAAATAAAATAATTCTCACGACGTTTCGGCTACAACGCAAGCAGCCGTCTTCAGGTGAAGAATGAGACACTACCAAGCTAGGAGCTTATATATAAGCTGCGTTGGAGGTGGAAGAGCGCCTTAACAAAAAGAATGTGCATATGAAGAGGAATTTAGCATATTCATGAATATTATTTTTGTTAAGGCGCTCTTCCACCTCCAACGCAGCTTATATATAAGCTCCTAGCTTGGTAGTGTCTCATTCTTCACCTGAAGACGGCTGCTTGCGTTGTAGCCGAAACGTCGTGAGAATTATTTTATTTTATTATGTTTTATTTTTATTATTTTATTACTTTCCTTCTACGTGACTTTACCGAAAGAACCAAGAAGATGAATCCCTGCAGTCACGAAAGCTTTAAATAGAAATTCATTGATATATAATGATACTTGGGGTGTATTCATCCAAAAGCATGCATGGTAATTGGCAAATTATGTTTCATGCAAAGGATATATTCATGTTACCCTCATCCAGGTTAGAGAAGAATCTGTTCTTAATTGAATTGATAAAATTGTAGTGCGTGACCATAGGAAGGAGGGAGAGCGCAATTTTCCCAAGACTAGCACCGAGGTGGTTCCCCAGTTTGTCCGATTTAAAGTTTAGTATTTTGTGAATTAGATAAAAAAAAGACTTCAAAACCCGGGTCAAGCGAGTTATTAGAAGCTCTCTGGTGACATCACTTCGACCTTTCTACTGTAGAATACACTTTAATAAAATGTTACAGTGACCTTGCGAGAGAGTGATTATGGAATGTTTGACCATAATTTTAAATAAATTTCTGAATCAAACCGGCTTGAAACCCATGTTGGACAGCCCAAGGACACAGCTTAGCAAGTAAGAATCTAACACTTCACCCTCCACCCACCCTGTCCTCAGTGAATCATCAATATTTGCCTGATTTCTGCAGCCTCATTTATATCTTGATTTGTTTCTCAAGAATCGTCGATGCTATTGCAACATTGTTTTAAGTATCAAAAATTGCAGTTTCTGTCAGATCGCCCTGGAACCGCCTGTGGCCAGTTTCTGGAGCAGAGCATATATTGTCTAGTCTAACGTTTAGTTCGCTTTGTTGATATACTGTACATGTAAACAGCGGATGAGATCACAGCTTGCAAGTGACCTGTTCTTTTGAATGCTATTGTCGCAGAATCGTTTATATAAGCAATGATGCAGAATTTCTTAATCCAAATGGCAACATACACTTCAGTATGTTACCGCACAATAAAAGCATGAGATGAATACCTTGAAGGATGGCATATGGAATCTCTTGAACATGTTAAATTAAGCAACTCGACATCAGCATCCCCACAGCCGACCTGTCATACATGGTCGTCGCCCATTCAAGCACTATGCAGGCTCAAGCACACTTACCATTCGAGACCTGACGAAATCAGGGGCATTACAGGTGGCTTAGTCATAATAGGCCACAGAGGGGGGCTTGGTGAGCGGCAGTGGTTAATGCAGAGAAACATGATTATGCTCCCAAATCTTTGCTTCCCACCTTCACTGGTGGAGTTTGGTTAAATAATCCCCAAGACACAAGGCATGGGGAAGCCCTCAGCCAACAGCAGTGGATTGACAAAAGGGGCTGTCCATGTATTACAAATCACCTGCATAAAAGTTTATGCTGCAGTACAGAATTTACAATAGGAGTGCCTTATACGCTGTGATCAATAAACATGTCTTGTATATGAATGTATTGGCGGTACACTGGTGCATGGTATACATTTTTATTTAAATTTTTTGCAATTTATTTTCCGGCGTTTTGCAACCCTGGTCAGAGTCTTGAGGGGTGCGTCAAATTTCAGTTCTCGTGACTTCGAAGCAGTCGGAAGATTAATGTTATGAGCAGCTGAACATGAAGCTTCACAGTTTGTTGCCACATAGCACCCAGGCTGATGGCAATTGGCTCCGCGTTTTGACTCGTGCCCTAGACAGATTTGACTAGTGCCCTAGACTTGGTCGGATGGCTCCTAAACCCTAAAGCATTCAGAAGAAGTACGACACAATCCCAACGTTCTACTTGCCGTACTATCCATCGGCGGTCCAAGACGACGAAGGTGATGATGCTCCAGTCCCACCTGAGGCTTGTAAGGCAGGCAAGAAAGCTGCTGCTGTTGCTCTGGGCGCTCGCCCTCCTGGTCGGCCCAAAAAATTGCGTAGCCCAGAACCAAATCAACGGTCAATGTTGACATTTTCAGCAAGTCTCAGTCGACTGAATAAACCTTCGAATTGCATCAAACTTGGCGACAGCGTCAATTAAAGACTGATAAACAGATTTGCGGATTCAAATTTAGATTTCGGACTGTTGTCTGAAGACCAGAGTGTTATGGTGCACTGGTGTACGGCCAATACGTCCATATGCTGCTACTACATATGCCTCACCAAATGAATGATTATTAATAAGCGATAATAATACTTTACAGACCTTTGTCAATTCTTTGCTGGACGAAAGCCTCTCCCACACCTTGTCGGTCGTGGGGGTTGTTTGACCATACGTCACCATGCTGGTTGGTGAAGGGTGAGAGCATAGACATTGGAGCATAGTACATACAGTACAACATTACATCTTTCTGCACTGCCCTCTGCTGACAACAAAGCCCTGCAGGAGCCTACAACAAAAGGCCATTAAATGCTAATTTAATAATTTCACCTTACACACAGCTGATGACTGGTAAAAAAATATATGTTTAAAAAATATATAATAATTAAGGCCTGCAGTTTGAGAAGCCCCACCCTAAGAGAAGGCTAAGTATGTAGTCGTGTATTTATCGCTGGTGTTGACCTCGTTGATTGTCACGCCTGCATGCAGGGCGTGGGTGCCGGTCAGCAACTGCTACCTGATGTCCAAGGAGATTCCCTTCTCGGTGAAGAAAGCTCGTGGCATCTTCAATAACGCCATGTCTGAGATGGAGGTGTACGTGGAGAACATCCGCCGGCGTTTCGGCCTCTTCAACTACGCGCAGTACCGTACGCCCTACACGCCCGATACGCGCTTCCAGATCCTGCGAGACCCCGGGAGCGGCATGCAGCCCAGTCCAGGTGAGACGCTTGCCTGTGCCACCGACACCCACAAGGATGAGAACAGCAGTAGTGTTATTTAATTAACCAGAACAGCAGCCTTGCTTTGTCTCAAGATTGTTCACCGGCCGTGTGCTCTGTTGTGGTGTTTTGCCAATTTGTGTAGTTTGGGCAATACTAAATTAAATAAATAAATGGACAAAGGGTGTTGTTTCACCACCGTAAAACAACATTTAAAACCATCAATTGATATTATAAATAGCAATCATCACCCCCTTCTGCAAAAACCTTGGTAGGACTCTCCTGAAAAAGAGTCATGTGACTCGGTGAGGATTTCCTGGTTAAACAAGTATAATAATTATAAATGATAATAATCATCCAATGGATTTCTGAACAATTGTATTCCAACAGTGTTTGTTTTTGAACAGCAAACTGATCCTGCGTATGGACCCTTAAATGTATCTTTGTAAAATTTTATGAAAATGACGCATAATGTATTTTATCAGCTCCGAGTCATTGAGTTGACCCACAACTTAGATTAGAATTCAATTTAAATTTTAGATTTTTGGTTTGCATGTTTTAAATGTGTGAAATAAACATGATTATCCTGTTTTTTTGTGGATTTTCTTTGGTTCTGTTATGATAATAACAATCATATAACACAATTTCCAAGGCAAATTTCACAAAACGGAAAAAATATTTTCCGATCAAGAGGTCGGAGGTGCGAATTCGGAGGTGTGATAAGATCCTAAAGCAGAATAATTGTCAGCATAGCACTAATTTTATCAGCGGTGACCAAGATGTAATACTAATTTGTCCAATTACTGCTAATTATAGATAACTGGTGTTTTAAATTTTATCCTCCATGGCTTAAGTGCCCAGTAGAATATGGTCAGGTGCTATTATTAGCACGCATAAAGTTTGGCAGTTCAATTTGTCCGTGCAACATGAATATATTATTTCACCGCAGTTGGATTACTGGAAAGCAATAATTGAAAGTGAATTGACTTCTATATAAAAATGAATAGCCCTTTTGTTTAAAATTATGTATTAAATGACAGAACTGTACAAAGGCATCTACAGCAAAGAATTTTAAGCTGCCAGCGCGAAAATATTTATCGCATGTTATTATTTTTGCACGGCATTTTATGGTTTGTGGCTTTTTGAGTGGCAGATTTGTGCCAGAAAGGTGCCACATGTTGACCTGAAATAAATCGACTTGGCTTGTGTTTGTGTTAGCATTTGATTTTTCAAAATAATTTTTTTTGTCAGTGTGTTTACATGGGTCATGGCATGTCTGTTGCATGTGTTTTTTTGTAAGGTAATGGTTGCGTGCATTGTGCGCTTATCCTTGCACATTGTCATAAGAAAATGCCTTGTGATTGTTGACACGTGTGCCCACTTGCATTTCCGCGAGTGCATTTGTAAGCACGATGATCGTTTTTATTGTCCCCTTGCATGTGAAACTGCTTGTGTAGTTGGTCGTGTATTATTCGTAAGATGTCACTTAACAGTGCTTGCTTCCGTTGGTGCGTGTGTGTGCCCCTCCCCGCCAACATCCCGTGCCTTGCAGATGAGGAGGTCGAGCGGGGAAAGCTGTCATTTGACATGGCTGCCTCACCCAAGGTGGTGCTGAGCCGTCTGGGGATGTCAGGTGGCTCCTTGGGCTACGGCGGGCACGCCTCCTCCGTGGGCACGCGCTCCCCGCTCAGCAACGTGTCGTCAGTCCCCACGGGCTCGGATGCTGAGACGGAAGGAGACCGGGGTGCGTACCGCACATCACAAATAGCGGGTCCTCTGCTGACTCGTGCATGCTCTTTGCGTGTGTGCGCGGCAAAGAATGAGGATTGTGGTTTGACTTTTAAATAGAGCGCTAAATTAATTTGTGCGAAGTTTGTTTCTTCACCTAAAATTATGGTAGTGACCATTATTATCTATTAGTAGTGCTTGGCGTCCATTTTGAACGCCATAAAAACGTGTTTTAAAAATGTGCCTGCTTTACGTGACACAGCTCTGTGCCCGTGTTCTATTGCAATAGCACGCTTTGTTGCATTTGGGTCTACAGGGTCACCGAGTACTCTCAAGGGCTCGCTTAAGGTGGAGAGCCCGGGTTCCTCCATCTCGTCATCAAGCCGCAATGTGATTCCTAAATCGGAGAAGCTGTCCCGCACCTCACCGGCCAGCAGCATCCTCAACCTCAAGCTGGGTGAGCGGCCGTGCGGCCACTGCCTCTTTCGCACCCAGCACACGGGTTGCAGCAGCTGCCCTCATTAGCCGCCTGAAGTGCAAAGGCGGCTCCACCTCCCACGATGTCGAGCATTCATAGTCAGTCCCGACCATAGCCGAGTTTGAAGAAACATGGATGAGCAAGAGGCTTAATGTGTAAACTCTTGTAATATGTTTTTAAATTGACTTTGTTTTAACGTTTTCTGACTTTTCCCGAACCATTTTGGTTACATTGAATCATATTTTGTGAAATGTTCTCCCATTACCTCGACTTGCCAAATTTTTTCACTTTCGTTTCCTTAAGGAATTTTGTTGCTTGTAATGTATTTATGTGTTAAGTGCAATTTACCTTTTTATTTGGTATTATTCACATTATATTGTATTCACACATTTAGTCTATTTGTTATTTAAATGGTTTCTAAATATTGTGTTCTTATTGTTCTTGATGTAACCCAGTTCGCGTTTGCAAAATGGGCAGTGCTGTTTCATATTGGCTCCGGGTTAAATACAGGATGCAAACAAATTTAGTGCCACCTAGCCCATATCTTTTGAATTGGGGATTCTGAAACTTGCTGCCATGAACACCAAATTATGGACCGTATCTAAATTTGAAAGTGGTGATTGTGCAATTCATTCTTAAAACAAAATCATTCAATGGTTAAATAATTTGAACTGAATCTCTAACGATTGCTCTTCATTGGTCATATATACTGACATGCCTGTCATTATGAGAGAATCCCCACCATAATATTAGGCTTATGTAGACCCAGAATGCTTTGTGGATTGGGTAAAGTGAAACAGGGTGCACGGCTATGTATATAACATAATTTTAAATCTTACTTCGTATGTCCAACATGATGGCACGTTATATTTCTGTGCATATTAATGTCACGGATATGTTACAAAAATGTGAAGCTCTTTATAGATATATATATTAAATTACATTGTTACTCTTAAAACGTGCGTGTCAGAATCAATACATTTCAGTTCGTATATATGTATTGTATGTAATTGTTTCACGTAAAACCTCGCAGGTACTAGAAGCACAGAATTTACCACATTTGTTTCAAGCATTGATTCTTAAGTCAAATCGCGATGTCAAATTGTTGCGATTCATGCAATTTTGAGGGAGGGCAAACCGCAACATGCATAATAAAACACCAGCCTGCTTGCTGCACAAACGACACCTTGTTTCCGTTCGGGGTTGGGTCACGAAACATCGACGTCTATCGCCTCCCTTTTGAATCTCGCTCTGCTGTAGCAGCAGCACACTCACCCGGCGTGCGTGTGCCCTCTGTTCTGATTGCGAACTCGTCCAGACCGTAGCAAGGCGGAGATGGACCTGGAGGCGCTGAGCGAGACCGTGCAGCAGAGCGCCGCGCCCGTTGCCATGGCCCCGTCGCCAAAGAAACAAATCAAAAATAGCTTCTTCCTCAACCTCGACAAGACCATCGCCAACTGCAAAGCCTCCCTCGGTACAGCCACCTGTTATTTATAACACCCCCCCCCCCCTCCTGCCTATGCGTGTTAGTAGACTGAGCGAGGCAGGAGTAGTTACTATGTTACCGTCATGGTCAGTGCACCATGGGGACCAGGGAAGTCACGTCGGGTAAAGCGTAGTACTTTGATAAGTCACCACCAGGATTATCGGATATTGTAGGTCTGGGGCTGTTAGGTGGTCAGGAGATGGCAGCGCAGCGTTGCTTTAAAGTCATCCGGACAGAATTTTGACTGCTTTCCCCTCGTGGGTTGTCCAGTATCCCCCCCAGATGCCAAGCAGTATCAGCAAAACAACTACATTAAGCAAAGCTTTTCTCACCAATACCTTGCATTTTATTTACAGAAAACTGCTGTAAATGGAAATTCCGCTTTTAAGTGTGTTATGCAACTGTCTACTGAAATTGAACAAAGCAACGATAAAAACGTTCGTGCACGAGGGTGCTATAAATGTCATGGCATTGTAGATGTAATCTTGAAGAGGAGACAGGCAGACAGCCACATGCTCATGAAACACATAAGTTTATACTTTTAATGGAACAAATCATGGCAAAGTGTCATGGTATTGTCTTGATGACCTCTCCTTTGAATGTTTTTGATGTTATTTGGACTGACATCTACCTTTAGCATTTGGTGCCTAGTTCCTTTTTGATGTTATTTGGACTGACAGCTACCTTTAGCATTTGGTGCCTAGTTCATTATACGGCCAGTGTAATATGAACAGGTTACAGCCTGCCGTGACCCTTGTTTAAACCTGTGATACTTGGGTACATTCTGAAGGGCCTTTGGTCGTTGCTGATGTTCATGATAACAACAGGTAATATCCCACAGCTGTTAACTTGTTGTGGTTTAACTAATAGTATTTTGTATGGGCTTTAGGAAATTAGTTAACTAGGAAAACATTTCAAGATAATAACCAAAGTGTATAAAAATTATTTGCACGTTTTGGAGCATTACATGTCGTGTGTTCTTACACAAAACGGGACGTTTAACCTTTTGCCATTTTTAAAGGTGCTTGTTTGTCTCCTTGAAACTGCCCGCTCACCAACTCAGGCATCAAGAAGATGGCATCCGAGGAGCAGAGCGACTGGGAGATGTCGGAGAACTCGAGCGAGAGTGAGGCCGACAGCGTCGCTGAGGACGACGACGAGAGGGGTCTGGCGGCTCGACGGGCGCGGCGCGTGGCGGCCTCTGCCACCTCGGCACCGGGCGCACTGGGCGCGGACGGCAGAGGCCGAGGACTCGGGGGTGGCGCCATCGCGCAGGGGGACGGCGGCGGCAACAGTGCTGGCAGAGAAGAGACGGCGGCCAGTGACAGCGGTGGTGTCAAGCAGGATCTGAGCCAGGTGAGTCGTAAGGGTGGATCCAGGACACTTGGCTGGCTGCACACAGACATAACGTGACGCATACCAGTCTCTTAAGGGAGCCTCCAATCTATTCAGACATTCATGTGATACCGCATCCCCCCCCCCCCCACCAGGTGATTAGTACTTGTGGGGACCAGGCCACGTGCCGCTGCTGCAAATAATAAGAAGCCAGTCCAGTCCATTAAGGGAGTCTGAAATTTGTTAAAGAATGACTTGGCCAGTGTTTGTCAAATTCCAATCTTTGTGATCCCTCACGGTGCAGTGTGTGGTAGTTTTTGTATACTACAGGACAGTACATGGCTTGATAGTTTGATGTCCAAAAATTTCCGTAAAATGCAATTGATTATTTGTATTCTATTTGCTAATTCAGGAGTTTTATTCCCAGCTAAAGCTAATGTCAATAATCAGTGATACATAAAGCAGTCTTGAATATTCTCCTTCACCAACCCACACTGATTAGCGTTTTGAAGTACTCTCAAATAACCCCTACGATTGACACTGTGTGGGGAAGCGCTGTACATTATTTAAATTAATATTAAAAATAGCTATCTCACCATAGTGTCTTTTGTCGTTTATTTTGAATGCGTTTTCACGGCTACTAGAACGGGAATATGAGCGCCAGGCAGGACAAAGCGGGCAAGGAGAAACCCTCTGGACGGAGGGATGCAGCTTCGAGCAGCCCGAGCGATGCTGATGAGAAGCAGGCACATCGCTCCCTGCGTGTGCGGGCGGCTCCCTGCAAGGAGGAGGATGACGACGACGATGACGACGACGACGACCCAGACTCGCCGCACTCCCTTGGCCTGGACAGCGACTCGGAGAGCGAGCTCGTCATTGACCTGGGGGAGGAGAGCCGCGATGAAAGGGGAGCACCGCCACCATCCTCACGGCGAAAGGGCAGGAATGGCGAGACAGGGAAACGGACGAGCCGATCTCCACCGCGAAAAGAGGCACCCTCAAATCCCACGCAGCATAGCACCAACAGTGAGTCGCTTGTCGTGCTGTGCCTTTGGCCGCTTTACGCGGAACATGGGTGGTGGTGGGGGGGCGGCACTGCGCTGTAGCCTTGTTTCCCACGCAAAAGACGAACAAGAGAAATGGCTGTGAAAGTCGGGTTGTTAAAGTGCGCCGAGGAGTGGCATAGAAGAGTTATATTCTGTCAAGTTAATTTTATTGTAAGCAGACATTGCCTCATGCTCGTAAGTGCATTTGAATATTAATGTATACAGTGAAACCTTGGATTGCGAGTAACTTGGTCTGCAAGTGTTTTGCAAGACGAGCACATTTTTTTAATAAATAATAATTTGATAAACGAGCGAGGTCTTGCAATACGAGCAGTACATACAGTATATGCTTTGTCTGCCGAGCGTCACGTGATCAACTGAGCCAATGGTTCTTCTCTCTCTCGCTGCGGGATTGTGGGTAATCGTTTCCCATGCTCGGTCTCAGTCGGCGTGCCTCACTCGTATAGTCAACATCCGTGTGAGCGTAGATTGTTTACTGTAGTGTTGTGACCACGAGTGTGCGTAAAGCATTTTTTTATTTTGTGTCCAAGTGTAGTTACTGTTCTTTAGTAACTGTACTACAACAATGCTTTTTGCCTCCTCAAAAGGAGGCAAAAGCAAGTGTCATTGGATAGGTTCCTTGTGAAAGTCGCACAAAAAGAAAAAGATTCCAGTGAGCCAACAGATGGCAGTGATTCCGTTACTGACAGTGAAAGTCGTCCAACACAATAACCCCCCTCCTCCTCTCTCTCGTCTCCCTCACACCAGCCACGATTACATTTAATTAATAAATTTGATTACTTTATATTAATTTTAAATTAAAATATAAAAAGGTACAGTATTTTGTATTAATCATTTTTATATGAATATTTTTGAGTTGTGGAACGAATCATTATTTCTAATGGGAAAATTCGCTTTGATATACGAGTGCTTTGGATTACGAGCACGTTTCCGGATCGAATTATGCTCGCAATCCAAGGTTTCACTGTGCTCACAGGCAGATCTAAGAGTTGATTGTTTTAAACGTCATTACAGAGCTTTTCCCAGCGTGGCTGTGCTATGCGCGTATGTCACTGCAGATCGTGCCAGCTCTTCGGCAGGCCCCCCACCAGTGGCCAAGCTCCCCGAGCCCTCCTCCACTGGTAAGGAGAAAACCTCCACTGCAAACCCCAAGCCGTCGTCCTCCTCGTCTTTCTCCTCTCCTTCCGCCTCGCCATCCATCACCTCCCCACCAGCCATCGTCTCCACCTCATCTGTCACCCCAGCCACCCCTGCGACGGTGGCAGTCGTGAGTCCCATCAAGAAGCAGCGGCTGCTTCTGCCCAAGGACAGTGCTGGAGGGCAGGGTGCTACTCCCAGTGGGTCTGCTGCCGCTGCCGCCGCCACCGCCACCACATCCACCACAACAACCACTCGCTCGTCTTCCTGGGCAGTCCCCGGCAAGTTCCAGACGTCCTCACAGAAGTGGCACAACCAGCGGATGCAGAGGCAGCAGCAGCAACAGCGAGAAGGGATGGGCTCCCGCTACGCCACCAGGCAGGCAACTAAAGGTCAGAAGGCAGCTTCCTGAAAATATACTCGCAAATATGTACATCGTTGCCGTTATCGTTAATCATCCATTTTTATGGTCTTGTCATCGTCTTGTCATCATTACTGTTATAAAAATCAGCAATATTTCTGTAATCGTCTCCGACATCATTGATAATGTTTTTGTCATCGTGACCATTTTTATTTACACAGTCTACAGTAAAACGAGTTCAGATATACTTGTTAGGAGATTTGATTTGCTAGAGAAATGCATCGAATTTGAAAACACCAGTAAATCGTAAAATGTATGCTATGATGTAATACATAGGTTCCTTCATTCAATAAATTGTTAACAAGGCCACTCAAGCACTAGTAAAATTGCGCCCTTGTGTTATGCATAACATGTACTCCATGTCTGTGTTCCCCCCTTGCTTGGTCATAATGCAGCCACCCAGGAGAAAGATATCCTGCCAGCACCACCCCCAAAATCCACCCCAACTGTCACCACGGCGACAGTCACCCTGGTTACCAGCTCGTTTTCGGGAGCAACCTCATCTGCCGGGAGTCGGAAGTTGCCTGCAACTGGCGAGGGTGGGGGCGGTGGTGGGGGAGGAGGAGCAGCAGGGGGCGCAGGGGGTGCTAATATCCCCCCCCTCTCCAAAGCCGAAACTACCAGCGTTGGGAGCAACTCTGCAGAGGTGGCGGCTGACATCGCCAAGTACACGAGCAAGGTGCGGGGAGACGAGTCTCGCTGATGCGTGCATGGGTTTGGCTTGCAACTGGGCTAAATGGTTGGTTTACGGAAGCCCTCTTTACACAAAAGAAAATAAGCCAGTTCACTGCATTTATGGTGAATGTAATGGGCTCCCAGTAGCTGCAGCAGTCACGTTTTAGTGAACTAGTGAACTCACAATTCATTCCATGTATTGTGGGTGTAAGGTAAATTTTAATCGAGTCATCGATCTGTCGGTACACTGCTGATTACAAATTATAACCTACCTGAATGAATGACGGTAGGTTATTTTGTATCGTCAGAACGATTGGTTGCTCTGGAGTTTATTTTCTTCTGTGTAAAAATAGCTGGTGTCTCTGTCGCAGTGCTTGGCAAGGTAAGGTGTGTGTAGAGGTTTGAAATGAAAGGGAGGCTCTGAAGGGAGGCTCAGAAACGATAGTTCATTCCATAATAGTTGCTCGCATGAATAGTGCGGTCTTAGTTTGCAAAAAATTGGTTTATATCTTGCAGTAGTAATGAAGCCATTGCAATTCAGATTAATGAACAAAAGCCAATGTATGCCAGCTAAGTTATACATTAACAATTCAAACACAGCGACGGCAAAATGTAAAGTTATGCACATAGCTTAGGAGGGTTATCTTGTCTGCCATTGTCATTCTGTTACCATTTTTCAGCTTCATTTCATTTACATTTTTTTTTTAGTTTCTTTTTTCATTTCCAATTATTAACTCCTATTTTTCACTCTTTGGTCAGGCAAGCAGTTAAAATTTACAGGAATTCTCTACCACGGCATAGTGCTATAAAACAGCAGCCTTGGTGGTAGAGAAAAAGCTCAAGTGGCAATGGAGGAGCAGTGTTACTGACAAATACTTCATTCCTTACCCATGCAGGTTGCGTGACTTAGACGGGTTATCGGGTCGGCCCGGAAGCAAGGGCTAAGCTCATTGCTTTCTAATGCGTTCTGTTAGCAGATGATGGAAGCCATCAAAGGCACCGTAACGGAGATGTACAACGATCTGTCTTCGGGTTCTTCTGGAAACACTCTAGCGGAGGTAAAGACTGCCTGCCTTTCTCTGGGCCTTTCGTAGCGTCTTATACCAATGTGAATCAGACAGAGACATCGCAGCTGCTTTGCCTGCCTTCACTGGTTGAGAAAGATTTCTGTGGCTTGCTTGAGGGAGGTACCCAGGGTGATGTGGGGGGGAGGACAGGGAAAGTTATCTTCTCCCTGCCCTGTTCGTTTGACAGGCTATGGTAAGGGAAAGTAGAGCTTTGTTTGCATGCGCACTCTTACGCAAATGGAATGCTCAAGCCTCCCCGTGTCACAGCAGTCGCCTGTGCTGTTTAATAAGCAATGCTGTGGTGTGTCCAGGTTATAGCAATGATTGCAGAGTGCTAGTCCTTGTTTGCAATAGTCCATGGGCTGGAGCATTACTTTCTAGCACCTGAGGTGGCAAAACATTCGATATATTTATTGGCCCAATAACATGTGTATTGTCCCCCCCTCCAACACCCTAATAATTAAATGTCCCGTAAAATTATGGTGAACATTTTGTGAACATCGTGGTAAATGTAGCGACGTCTAGTGGTTACAGGGGTCATGTGATCCCATAACTTATAACATATATGAATAAAAAAAACATTATACACACACGATCTGATATCGTTAGCTTAAAAATCTATACTTGAATGGATGCATCGTTATTCCGCTCGAGATAATCCACTCATTTGTAATGAACATATAAATATCACTACCACTGAAGTTTTGCCACCCCAAGTGGTATGGAAAAGTAAAATATCTGATATTTGGGGCGCCCATGGGCTACCACAGTATGAACGGTGGGTGTCCATAATCCCCGCGATTGTTGTGCTGTATTCATCTACGGAATTTCCTTTTCCACAGATAAGAAAGTTAAGGATAGAAATTGAAAAGCTTCAGTGGCTTCATCAACAGGAGTTGTTGGAAATGAAGCACAATGCAGGCAAGTTACCGTTGGAATCACACACATAATCCCTGGTGCAATCCAATGCGCTGACCAAATTGGCAGCGTTCATGTTGTTTTTAACTACCTTTATTTTGACCAATACACTTATTTTCCACCATACGTAGCCGACCGTGCTAATCAAAGGTGTGGGTGAATGAGAACAAACCACGTATAGTAGACTCTCTATAATTATCCGCGTGCGGTTTATCCGATTTGCGGATTAACCCCGAACCTGAAATTTTACATAAATGAATAACTCGTGGATTTTACCTTAACCAAAATGAATAATTTCAAGGTAATTATTATTCTTGGAAATGTTTATTCATGCTTAAACTAAATAAATGTATTGATCCGTCGATTCTTTACTACATTTTTTTTGTTCATTAACAAATTCGATTTTCTTAATTTAAACTTAATTTATACCTATATTAGTGGTTTTTGGCATAGAGATCCACGGAAAATGGATATTTGTCGATTATTGGCGATTTTAAATTATCCGCGGCCATCCTCCCCGTCATTAGCAAGGATAATTGAAGACTATTGTATTTAAAAGGATTTTTGAAAGTACAAATATTCACATTTGTTGATTGGTTTGTTGTCCTTCCCTCACATCTCTGTTGAGCACGGTTTGCAATGTACAGTGCAAAAGAGGTTCAACACATTTCTTAAAAAAAAAATTCTCAAAAATGAGCGTGGAGAGCAGTGCTCATCCTCTTGTTTTGCAGCCTTGAGCCAGTGTGGGAATTGTAATGGGCAGGGCATGCCTGTCCATAATACAGTACAACCACGATTGACTTCCCACAGACAGTGCTGTCCGTCATCAGGGCCTTAAAGGGAGGGGCAGTTGGGGCATTTGACCCAGACTTCAGGTCCAAGGGGACATCAAAGGGCCATGGAAAGGAAATGAGAAGGGGCCTCATCTGGCAATTTGCCTTGGGCCTCGAAAATATTTTTGACAGACCTGTTCTATCATAGAAAAGTGGATTTTCCACCACTGGCACGGGATCTGCTACGGGCACCAACCCATGTTCACTTGGACCGTGTTGACGCTCACTTATTGAGCATCCACTGCCACGGGGGGCTCCGTGCTGAGGGGAGCGTGCGCGTGCGTCCTCTTCCCTCAGAGCTCACCATGGCGGAGATGCGGCAGAGCTTCGAACAGGAGCGAGACCGGCTCATGGGCGAGGTGCGCAAGCAGACGGAGATCGAGAAGCTGGCCGTGGTGGAGGAGACCAAGAAGAAGCAGTGGTGCGCCTACTGCCGCAAGGAGGCAATCTTCTACTGCTGCTGGAACACCAGCTACTGCGACTACCCCTGCCAGCAGGCGCACTGGCCCGAGCACATGAAGACCTGCACGCAGTCAGGTGGGGCTCAACCCGCCCATCTCGGTACGCACGCCGGTTTGGTTTCATTTGGATTCTTGCAGTGCTCGCTAATTCTGGGTTTCCAAATTCACAACACTCGGTCTGAGATTCCAGGAATAGGCGAAATAACTTAGGTTATTCTCATCACATGTAAATGAATGAGTAGTAACTCACTGCTATGCCAGTAACTGACATGGTGTCCTGCGAGTTGTTTGCCGTTTTGGCAGGAGTAACCTGATTTTAACTGTCATTGGATAGAATCTGTTACATTTAGCTAATTTTTACTAAAAGTCATTGCATCTGAAATGCATATATTCAACATTTTGTAAAGGAGGTTTAAAATATTCTTCTGTTTGCAAGTAGATTCACCCTCTCATGAATGAATTGTCAAAAGCTAAAACACTTTTTTTGGTTTAAAGTCAACTTACGAGTCAAAGGAATCCCTGAAATGTTCCTATTTTACTAGCAGTTCCTAAACAATAGCAGGTCCACCACAGTAGACATTACTCACGAGAGAGGCTTAGAAATGTCTCCTCACCGGTTAATTTGGTTTCGGTTTTGGCAAGAGCAAATAAATAGTAACTAACTTCATTGCTTTGCCCGATCGCTTTTGACCACGAGTGTGTTTTGTCTCTTTGCTGTGCCCCGCGGCTGGCTGCAGCGAGCACCCAGCCAGAGGTGGAGGCAGAGGCGGTGCCGGAGACGGCGGTAAAGGTGACGGCCCAGCAGGTAGCTACTGCCACCTCCACGGCCACGCACACGGAGGGAAAAGTGGCGGCGGCGGTGGTGGTGGCGGCGGCAGCGACGGCGATGGGGGTGAAGGAGCAGGTCAAGGACAAGGGGCAGGAGAACGTTACGGTACGCCGAGCGGGGCAACCATCCTGCTCGTGGCTGCGTCGCCACGTGGCGGCACTCGCCCCCATGTGACGTTCATTCACGCAGCACGCTCACTTATTGAAATGTCTCTTAGACAGTAAAGCCGTACTGTGTGCTCTAAGCAATGTACTGGTTATTCGATTCATCTCTTGAAATAGCTTCTTGCACTTTACTTGTATGCACTTTCAAAATGTGCACGTAAGAATTAATTGTTTGCGAATGATGCTGATTAAATTGCATGTAGGTGAAATTGTACATTGAGTTATAACCAGTAAGAACATTTTGAGGCCTGCGGGAATATGAATGTCAAAGAATATCCAGTGATGTGAAAAATGTTGTATCAGAAAGGTAGCATTTAGCAGGTAGTACAGAAAGTAGGTTGCAGACATTTGAGGGGATTTAGCATTACCCCCTCATATAAATGGCATGTCGCCATACATGATCATTTCCTACCCAAACCCATTAAAACTCCAAGGATTGCTCACATCTCTAGTTAGCCCCTGTACTGATTATGCAGACTGGCATGGCCCATATTGGAGTGATGTGGTTTTATCGTATATGCCTATTCATGTTCAATGTACATGAAGAGGCATAAAACTGTGTTTAGTTTCTACTTAACCCGCACCTCTGATTAGCACGGTTGACCAAGTACGGTGTGAAGGAATGTTTACATACATTAATGCAATTTATTATATTACCTTTGCAATGGTGGTGAGTCAATACATTTTCTGGCATTTTCTCACAGGTTAAATTCATTCCAACAAGCCCGACTGCCCAGGTATTATGAATGACAGTGTGCACTAACAATGGCATCGTAGAGATTAGTGTCTTCCAACCTAACTCTTTTGTGGCGTGGTGTCTTTCCCAAAACTTCTCCCCAATGTGAACCAGTTGGTTGCTTCTATGCATCAACATATTTTCTGCTATGCCTGATTAATTCCACACGGTCTCATTTGTTTGCAGATAGTGACCAGCGTATCCACAAACCAGCCCATAAAGTTGATTCCTGTGCAACCACAGACAACGTTCATCCAGACAGCACAGCCCACAATTGTAAGTGGTAATCATAATGAGAATAAAGTAATTTATCCAGAAACCCCTCTCTGAATCTTGGAACTGTTACATGGGAGGATGCTTGGCCCAATTTATTTTTTAAAGACTGTTTCGCATACGGAACAACTCGTGCATTAAAAGAGGTACCGTGGAAATATCTGCAGAGACGCTTTTGCATAATGACTCGTATTTTTATTCCTGGGCATTGCCTAGTTTGCTGAGGTTGGGTTTTTAACAAATATGCACAGGCCACCAACCTTCACCTAGAAACACTAGGTCACAGGCGTGTATTGCTGTGCCCAGTAAGCAGCCTCAAGATTCACTGGCTTGGCTTTGCCTCATCGCAGAGGTCACCAGTGAGTTTCGGCTGCTTGCGCTCGGTATACCAGACTATGCACCGCGAACACGTGCACATTTATCTCTTTCTTTACTTTTCCCACAGGCCATCCCGGTGGTGATGGGAACCGCTGTGAGGCAAGGTGTCCAGTACGTGCAAACTAGCATGCCGCTGCAAGTCCGCCGGCTGTGAGGGTCCCCGAGCATGTTTATACTGTATATGCAAAATTCCCTGAACTGTTAAGACAAGAATACAAGCTCTTGCAAAGAATCGTTATTTGAACACCTAAGAAAAACCGAGACTTGATCACGCCAAGAAAACTGTTGATCCGAGAAGACTGAAACTGAACTTGATCTGTTTAGCAGAAATTTTGATTGAAGGATTGTGATGCAATCAAGAATTCTGGATAATTCAACAGAAGCTGGAATATGCTCTTCTTGCCACTACTCCCAAATTTGTCTACATCACTTCACTCCAAGACTTACATTTTTTGTAATAATCAAATACCCTCAGAGCCTGGGGTAATCCACACTGCCAGGTATGCTGTACAAAGGTCAAGCCATCGGTGAAGACGCCTGTAAATTGTTGTACGTTCATGACACTATACAAGGCCAATGTTAAAACGTAGGTGCTGTATCCAGGACTTGTAAATGAAACAAAAAAGATTGTCATGCCCACCGACGACAAGCATGCACCTGCTGCCCCATTAACATATACGACGTGTGTTTTTGTTTACAATAATTTTTTGTAATAAAAGAACAAAGATAAAACATGAAGAACACAATTCGGAGGTTTTGCGCTTGGGTACGTCACTGTATAAGACCACTGGGATGTGACCAATGTATGTCCACGTTGACATCTGTGCTTTATCTCGATGTAGCCCTTCAAAATAGAAACATGCTAAACCCGGTAGTATGCAGTCAGTCTCAAATGACAGTAGTTTTGTAACACAGTGTATTAATAATGCATATAAGGGAGAGCATGTGCGTACTTGATTTCTTGTGCTGAGAACGAGTTTAGGGTGGAGTTCACCAGGAATGCTTTCTGTGCAATTGCAGGGAGTTTTATATATATAAATTGTAAGCTGTGAAATGTACATAGTTTCCCTTCACTACATTTGTAATAAACACAGGGGCCAAGAGCGGCTGAAGTGCACCCCCTGACTGGGTTGGTGGCAGCACAGAGCTCCACAGGAGCTCGTGGTTGTGGATGATGGTGCAGCAGTGCATGTGTCTACCCCAGTGGTAACAGTCGCCCGTTTGTTTGCGGTGGGAAAGTCCCCTTATAGGGGGCTCTGAAACGTCCATTGCAGACAATTTATCTCGTGTCACAATCGGCTTTGTGTAAACTGCACGTATGTCTTTGCTTATTAAATAAGAAATGGATATTCCTCCTTAATTGTTATTTTTTTACCAGACCTTCATAATTGTATAAAGAGCAGTTTAAACAGCACTTGTGTACATATAGAGAACGATAGCATTGTTTTGTAAAGTATTTCTGCGATTATTCCCCAACGAATTTTTGGGAGATAATGGCTGACACAGGTGGCATACTTGTGATCCTTGAAATGTAACGCTGGAGAACATTTTATGGATATTTTTTAACAGTCCACATTGTTTCTGGAACAGCAAGTAAGAGTGTTGTGTGTAACTTGCGGTATGGTCTCACCATAAGATACCTTATGAATGAATGTATGTTTTGTAAATTTAACTTTATTGTTTTGAATATTAAACCTATATGCTTGAAAATTGGTGTGTTACGTTTTTTGTATCATACAGATTTAAAACAGGATTAACAAAAACAGCACGCCATTAGCCCTAGCATATATGATACATTTAAAAATGATTATTGCTGGATGGTAGCATGTTTTACACAGATTGACTTCTAAGAAATTATAATTAAAAGTGCAAATGTGGACATGTAATGAGCACATAAAATGTTTAGTATTTCACAGCAGTGTTTTGGCTTTGTCCAAAGTATTCATGTTTAGGTAAACAGTGTACAAGTGAGTCGCTATGTAAAATACACGAATACTTTACATTTACAATAAGGATGAGAAAGTGATGTAAATCTGACACCTGCATTACTTAGGGAAGCAATGCTAAATTAAGTCAAATGGAATGATATATTAACCAGATAAGACCATTCAGATCTCAAGCCTTAAGGAGAGCCGAGTTTACTGTACCAGATTCCTAAACGGCCGCCTGACGTTACCATTTATTCCACTGTTACAATTTTTTTTTGGTTTTTGGGTAGTAAGTGTTGTTTTCCAATTGCTTATGCCTCAAAAGTACAGAAAATGGCTTATTCCCCACCTATTTTCTGTGAGAACGTGTGCATTTGTGTTTTTCCTTCACATAAAGTCCTGGTCGCAAAAGCAAAGTTTGTGGGGAATAATAGCCATTTTCTATACTTTTGAGGCATAAGCAATTAGAAAAGAACACTTACTACCCAGGAACAAAAATCGTGTTACATAGTGTTATTAAACCACAGCCATTGCTTAAGACTAAAATATCGAATGTGCAATGCATGTTTATCATTTGCATGCGAAATGGGAAGGCGTCACAACGTGCCCACATTGTGCTGTACCTTGGGCTGTCAAGAGTAACAATATTGAGTGATAGATGCATTCAAACATCACAGGAGGGGTGGAGTGATGCTCCAGGCAGTGGCGCCACTCGGGGGGTGTGGAACGCACCGGGTGACACCATCAGAGGGGGTGATACCAAAACGACTGTCTGACAATTTTTGTGCAGTGTTTCTGCAGACATTTATTTTTTTTAGAAAAAAAATTCCCCATAGTTATATCAACATTTTTTTCGTAAGCCCAGCTACATGTACTGTATCAATATACCTACAAGGCTTAAAATCTATGCTAATTTACTTTTAGAACCACCTAATGCTCTCCGATCAGACCTGTCATTGTTACCCAACTGCAGTGACGCCTCGAGTCACGTGGTTTCGTCTGCCACGCGCTTCGAGCACGCGCGGTTGTGTTCGTTGCTGCTCGTGTTTTTATAGTCGCTGGTTTTGTCAAATTGTAAGGTGTTTTAGCTACAATATTGTGGTAATTAGTATTTGTGAACCTGTATCAATAACTTTTTTGAGAATGAAGTAATTAAAGGAAATATTTATAATTTAAAGGTGTAATTTAAATTGTGCTATTTGTTTATGTGACTACTATTGCCATTACATTCAGTGATATTACGGGAATTACGATGTACGAGTAACTTTAGTACCAAAAAAACATTACTAAGGATTCTAGATTTGAAGCTTTCGTGACTGCAAGGATTCATATTCTTAGGTTTTTTCGGTAAAGTCACGTAGGTAAAAAATGTAAATTATTAATTTTAAATTAAAATTATTAATTTTTATTTTTACCGAAAAAACCTAAGAATATTGCTAAGGATTCTGTACGGTCTGATACGGACGGAGGTCCCTGTGGGGTGACACCATGAGTTACCCCACTGGATGACACCAACCCAAGTGACGTCACTGATACTACATCCATCATTCATGCGCAGCCCGCTTTTGCCCAGTGCTAGCGTTTGTTGAGGGTTAACATTTGCGTCGGATGCCTTGTTTTTTTATGTGTGTTGTACATGACTGTAGTTGTTAACTTGCGACACAACAAAGTCCACAACGTTGAAGTCCGCAAATTGCAGTGGGAAAAGAACTTCCCTCCGCACGCAATGAAACAACAGGTCTCCCTCGCCACGTGCGGTACATGCGTTCCGACAAAGGGGAACAGCGAAACTGCACGAGGCGGCTGTCTGCCGAGTTGCGCAAGGGGCCGTCCATAAATGACGTCACGCGATTTGAGACGATTTTTGACCCCCCCCCCCTAGTCACATAGTCAGACCCCCCCCTCAAATATGACGTCACAAAGCTCTGCCCCCCCCCCCCCCCCACAAAAATAAACATGCTTCAAATCGCTTTAAACTATTGTCATTGTAGTGCGTATTTAATGTGGCGCTGCACTCTGATGTAGGAGAAAACATTAAAAAATTAAGTAGAACGTGTTGTCTATATTTATGTAAAGTTGCGCATTTTGATGTGACGTCACATTTCTCACCCCCCCCCCCTCGTCACATATCGTCACAAATGTCTGACCCCCCCCACTCCTAGGTGCGTGACGTCATTTATGGACGGCCCCCCAAGGGGTCGTCAAACCAAAATAACAAGAACCAATTTTTCTTCGACCAATTCGGAAAAAATTGGTTTATGGGGGGGGGCGGAGGGGGGGTATAGGGGGGGCGGGGAGGTATGGGGGGACGGAGGGGGGTGGGGGGAGGGTATGGGGGGACGGAGGGGGGGTATGGGGGGCGGGGGGGTATGGGGGGGACGGAGGGGGAGGGGTATGGGGGGGGGACGGGGGGTATGGGGGGGACGGGGGGGTATGGGGGGGACGGGGGGGTATGGGGGGGACGGGGGGGTATGGGGGGACGGAGGGGGGGTATGGGGGGCGGGGGGGTATGGGGGGACGGGGGGGTATGGGGGGGACGGGGGGGTATGGGGGTATGGGGGGCGGGGGGGTATGGGGGTACGGAGGGGGAGGGGTATGGGGGGGACGGTGGGGGTATGGGGTGGACGGAGGGGGAGGGGTATGGGGGGGACGGGGGGGTATGGGGGGACGGAGGGGGGTATGGGGGGCGGGGGGTATGGGGGACGGGGGGGTATGGGGGGGACGGGGGGGTATGGGGGGGACGGAGGGGGCGGGGTATGGGGGGACGGGGGGGTATGGGGGGACGGAGGGGGGGTATGGGGGGCGGGGGGGTATGGGGGGACGGGGGGGTATGGGGGGGACGGGGGGGTATGGGGGGGACGGGGGGGTATGGGGGGCGGGGGGGTATGGGGGGTACGGAGGGGGAGGGGTATGGGGGGAGACGGTGGGGGTATGGGGGGGACGGGGGGGTATGGGGGGGACGGAGGGGGAGGGGTATGGGGGGGACGGGGGGTATGGGGGGGACGGAGGGGGAGGGGTATGGGGGGGACGGGGGGGGGTATGGGGGGACGGAGGGGGAGGGGTATGGGGGGGACGGGGGGGTATGGGGGGGACGGAGGGGAGGGGTATGGGGGGACGGGGGGGTATGGGGGACGGAGGGGAGGGGTATGGGGGGGACGGGGGGGGGTATGGGGGGGACGGGGAAGAATGGGGGGGCTATGGGGGATGACGTCACACGGGCTTCCCGACCGCCATGACGGAGCGGCTTGTCGTGAGTTCCTTCTGACGTCTTCTCGCTTCTCGCCAATTTCGTGTCGAACTCTTTTTCTCAAGACGCCCTCGGCTCGCCCACTTCGTTATCGGCACCCCCTCTCTGCGTGGGGTGTACACGAATAGACTGGATAAGATTAATAAATACCGTACCAATGTTGAGCAACTTTGCTCTGCAGACTCCCACGCGTTCATCCGTGGAACGATGTCGCTGTTGTTGCTGCTGCAGATGTTGACGTTGTAGATGTTGGAGATGTTCATGTTGGGATGTTGATGTTGGAGATGTAGATGTTTGAGATGATCATGTTTGAGATGTTCAGTTGGGATGTTGATGTTGGAGATGTAGATGTTTGAGATGTTGATGTTGTAGATGTTGTAGATGATGTGGGAGGGGGTGTTACAGAGAGAAACCACAGGCATTGCGTTACCACGTCCCGGCTTCTTTTCTTATTTCGTGTGGGTGATGTGTGAACTGTCCTGTACACACACACTGTCATTCGTGTATATATACTGTATATACATATAGTCATGTGTGTGTGTGTATATACTGTATATACATATAATGATATGTGTGTATATACTGTCCTGTACATATACACTGCCATGTGTGTGTATGTATACACTGTATATAAATATAGTCATGTGTGTATACTATATACTGTATATAAATATAGTCATGTGTGTGTATGTATATACTGTCCTGTACACACACACTGTCATGTGTGTATGTATATATACTGTATATAAATATAATATGTGTGTGTATATACTGTCCTGTACATATACACTGCCATGTGTGTGTATGTATACACTGTATATAAATATAGTCATGTGTGTGTATGTATATACTGTCCTGTACACATATATATTTCCTGTTTTTATGTATATTTCCTGTTTTTTGGGTCTTTCGGTAAAGTCCCGTAGATAGAAAAAAAATGAAAATAAAGTGAATGAAAATTAATAAAATACTGTCCTGTATATGCTGTTGTACCTCGCACTGCATCACGCGACAGCAACACAGTGCAGTATACACAATAAGTAATGTGTATATACACAATAAGTAATGTGTACACACATACAACAATACACACAACAATACTGTTGTGTGTACACACGACAGGATACAGGGTGGGCCAAAAGTAAGGACACACGGTTATATTTATTTTAACTCATCACAGGGTTACTTTTGATTACGTTCATCAGTTGCGTTTTGTCTCAATTCTTTCAGAGTTCCTGGTCGAGTTTTGTAAAAGACGAATTTAAGGTTGACCCACAGGAAGAAGAAGAATATATATTAATGATAATTTATACAATGTTCACTTTAATCGTAAACATTTACACATATTTAATGCTTGTGTTAAAATAAATAAAATAACCTTGTGTGTCCTGACTTTTGGGCCATCCTGTATACTGTCCAAAATACAGGCTACTGTTGTGCAACGCTATGGTATATGCTGTACTCGCAAGGCAATGTACAACACACGTGTGTGTACACTGCCACACACGACTACAGTATTGTACATACATCTGGTATTACCAGGTATTCTTACGTTCAGGCACAAGGTCTGCTTGGCTTCTAGCATCTGACGAGATCGGGCGCGTTCTTGATAATGTGGCCATAGGCTGGACATAAAATATATTTGTATTTGAAAAACATTGTTCCGTACAGGACTGAGTCACATGTTTGTGTTATGTTCTTCTTAGACGTGTTCTGGTTGTTCCACGTGTTGTTCCGCATGGTGTCCGATGCCTTCGCTCGGTGGCGTGATGTTATCTCTCTCGCCTGGGGCAGAGATCCTAGGTTCGATCCCGACCCTGACACCTGCTGTGTATTTGGAGTTTGAATATTCTGCCCGTGGTCACGTGGATTTTTTTTTTCTGGGGTCCTCCAGTTTTTCCCTCCACATTTAGAACCAACGTGTGTTTGGTTGCTATAAATGTCCACATGATAAGCCACTTCGTTGAGCTGTCATTTGTGGCCAGGTCACTTCTGAAAAAGAGCTACATAGCTCAATGGGCCTTACCTGGTAAAATAGAAATAGTAGTGGATGACTGAATTGAGCTGACGTTTTCACCCATGACCGTGTAAACCTACGCAGATGTGTATGTTCTTCACTTTCGAGTCGCGTCTCTTATTAAACCGTACACGTGCGTGTGTCGCGCAGGCTTTGTTCCTGAGATGACGAACGCCAGCAGCCCAGGGGGCCTGCGCCGGTTCCACTTCGGTTACTTTGACCTCTTCTGGGCAAGCGTGGGGCTCGTTTCTACGCTGCTTGACCTCGGCACCGACATCCACACCATCACGAAGCTGTACCTCGCCAGCCATGTTGTGTCGGCCTCCCTGCTGCTGGCGTGCAGGCTGACGGCCGACATCGTGGTGCAGTTCTTCAGCCTGGCGTGGCTCTACGATGACTGGGAAGAGCGACGCACGAATCAAAACTTGGAATTTCCGCGACCTTCATGGGTGGTCAAAGTGCTGCACTTGCTGCAGCTTGGCCTCATTTACAGGTGTCACATTTCGATTTAAAGCTTTCGTGACTGCAGGGATTCTTCTTCTTGGTTTATTCGGTAAAGTCACGTAGAAGAGAAATAATAAAATAATAAAAATAAAATATAACAATATAATATTTTATTATGTTTAATTTTTTTATAATAAAATAATAAAAAATTATAATATAATATTTTATTATGTTTTATTTTTATTATTTTATTATTTCTCTTCTACGTGACTTTACCGAAAGAACCAAGAAGAGGTGTCACATTGACTGTCTATCCAGCAGTGTAAATATGGGTAACACCACCGTCTTAACAGGTCATGTGCGATGGGGTAAGGTGTGGGTACTTTGACCTCTTACAAGACGTTCACGTTAGGCCAGCATGTAAATAGTAAATTGAAATAACCTCTAAACAAGTTCTCTACAGCTGGAATTGGCAAAACCTAAGACTCTGTTAGAAAAAAAGGGTTCGACTTGGTGAGGGTTTTCTGGATGAATGAAAATCATTCCTTGTGGATTACTTGAGGATTTTGCAAAAAGCTGTGTGGACACCAGTCAAGTAAAATTCTCAAATGCAAAACTAACTTTGATTCAGCTACGTAAGACTTACAAGTCAATGATCACTTTCACAATACATGATTTAGTCTCCACAGAATCTTTACCACGTTCGTAATGAAAATTGTCTTATAACAAATAATAGGCTGCGTTAAGCAATTGCCCTTAATCATAACCGAAAGTGAGATTTTGATAGATATATGTATTTGTGTTCAAGATGAACCTGGTGATATTTTTCAATTTGTGAAAATGTGTCACTGCCCATACAGTTACTTAAACATTTTTGTGCAATAATTGACAATGCTATAGCTCTCCGCTGTGTGTTGGGCTATGAACCCATTGGTTGAATCGCTATGAGGCGGGAGTTGACTCGTGACACATTCCTCGTGAATATTCCCCATTGGCAATGTCGCAATTTATTTGTCAGATTTGTGTGCGCGCTCCGCAAGGGCTGGAAAGCGATACAGGATGGCGGCGAGGGGTTGGCAGCTGAGGCAGTCTACCGCTCGACAGACATCACCATGCTGCGCCTATTCAAGACGTTTATAGAGAACGCTCCGCAGCTCGTGCTGCTCATCGGACGCATGGTGCAGGCGGAGCGGGTCAACCTGATGGAGGGTGCGTTCGCCACGCTTGTGCTGCACGCGGGCATCCATTTGAACACTTTTATCCATGAAGAAAGACGAAACCCAAAAAGTGAACAGATCTCCCCTTTCACTAATGGCTGGCTTCTCTCGTGTTGTTGCTGCGTGAATTGTTAAACATCATCAGCCATTCAATGTTTGGCTGATGACAAACGGCTCACCAAATTGTGGCCCTTCTTGCGATGCAGTGATCCATCTTGCTTTTGCATGAAATTAACAAAAACAAATCTGGTTGTGTAGGGCGGCAGGAAGATTCCTCGTGAGTAGCACCTTGTGTCTGCATGAATGTGCACGTATGTGTATATATATGTGGAGCGATAGTGTAGCGGTTAGCACGCTGCGCTATGAACCCGGCGACACGGGTTCGATTCCTGCTCACGGCCAACACCTGTGACGATTATCTGAACCGGTCCCGGGCCTCCCCTAGGTCGACTCAGCCTCAAATGAGTACCTGGTGCGGTGTGTAAACATTGCCACTAGGGAGGCAAAGGCGGTCGGGCGTGATGCTGGCCACCCACCCCCTCGTGTACCGTTCTGGCCTTCATAGGTGCTCGCTAACAGCACTTGTCCCTACAGTCTGTTAAGGCTATATGGGGGATCTTCTTCTTTGATATATATGTCTACTACCATGCTTGTGCACATTTGTGCAAATATGAATGCACATGCGTGCGTGCGTTTGCACATGTGCGTGACGTGTGCAGGCCTCAGTGCAGTCGTCTGCCTCTTCTCCATCTCCTGGATACTGCTCGACTACCACAAAGCGCTGCGCATCTCACTGAACCACAAGCTCCAGCTGCAGGGCTACCTGGCCTCGTTCGTCTACCTGCTGTGGAACCTGCTGCTGGTGGTGCCGCGCGTCGTCACGCTGGGTTTCTACGTGGCGGCCGTGGGCCCCATGGTGGCCGTGCACGTGGCGCTGTGGTGGTTCGCCATGCTGGTGTGGGCCCGCCTGCAGCACACTGATTTCACCACTTCCAAGAAGAAGGAGTTCGTCTACAACAGCGTCGTGGCCGTCATATGGGTTCGTGATATTTATGTGGTTGCACTCGTTACACACATAAATGAACCACAGTACCTTGCTGATCTCGTCAAGGAGCATGAACCATTGTGCGAACCCCGGTTATCCTAGCAGCGGCTTTTGGATAACCTTCGAACAAAAACAGCCTCTGCATTGCGCATTTTCAGATGCGATTCTGCAGCCGTCTGGAACACTCTTCTTATATTAGGAAGCCACTGGAGCCATGCACTTTTAATTCTAAATTTAAAACTCATTTCTTGAGAACTGATTTTTGTGTTTCGTTGTCCTTCCTCGGCACCTCCGATTAGCACGGTGGGTTAAGTATGGTGTGAAAAAAGTCCAACATGCATACATCACAAACGTGCACCTGCACCAACTTTCCTCACCATTATTTTTGCAATGTAATCCAAGAACCAAATCGCCCGATCCTGTTGGATCTTAGAAGCGAAGCAGGATTTGAGTCTGGTTTGGATATTGAGAATACCAGTTGTTGTAGGGTTTGGACTGCGAGGTGAATTGATCTTTTTCAGAGTTTTGAGTTTTCTCCAGATACTCCTGGTTCATCTCAAGTGCCAAATGCTCATTTTTTAAATTGGGGAAAAACATCCCAATATAGGTCCCTCCTGAAAAAAACTGTTTAAAAAATCATTGAGGTTTTTTTTTACCTGAGTAAAGGAATATTATTTATATTTTTTACATGTTATTAATATCTCAAATGTGTTGCAATGCATTTTTGTCATGCAGCTGAATGCAGCTGATGAAAGGTCTTTACACTGTCAATTTCCCGCTTTGTTATGAATATTTTTTTTCTCGGCAGTGATGGTTCAACATTTACCTTAACCATTTATTGTATGCTGCACTAGCCTTGGGAGGCGCTCGTGAACAGCACTTGCCCCCATGGTTTGCTTGACTAATGTTAATGTTTGTGTATCTGTGTACAGATCTTTTCCTGGTTCAATGTGTCGAAAGCCAGGACGTTGTGGAGGAGCATCATCTACCACTCCGCTGTACTCGTCGACATCATCATCATGATCGTGGTGTATTGTGTTTTCCTTGGCGAGGACATTCAAAAGCTGGTGGTCTTGTGTTTTGTCCCCCTGGTGTTCATCTATGCCTGTGGAATCGTGGTACGCTGTGTTTACTATAGGTGCCTCCACCCCAGTGTGACGTTGGCAGCCGTAGAGTCTGTGCAGCCTGAAGTGGACACAGATGGGCCAGTGGAGCCATTCACCGAGCAGGTGAACAAGCGAATCACAAAGTTTGTAGGGTACCCACATTTGCCCAACAGCAGCCGCAGCAGCCAGCGTAATGGCAGCAACATCCGCTCTAGAATTGTATAGCAGCAGGGAATGGCAGCGTTTTACAATCTGAGCCTATTTTTAATTCAGGGTGAGGACTACAGGTAGACCTCGCTTAATGCTACGCCGTAGAATGATGATTCGTTGTAGCGCTCTTTGAACCTGGAGATAATCTTTCCTAAAAATTTAAGAAAATCTAAAAGCGATTACGAGTGAGAACTCGCAAGCGCTGGCTAAGGAAACGTACCTGCCTAGCCAACCAGACCCAACCCCCGTGATTGTGATTCAGTCACGATAAAACTTTTATCTGTTTTTTTACATGTTTTTATGCGATGTTATTACAGTACAGTATTTGTTTAGCTCGGTGAGAACTCACGAGTCCCAGGCTCCATCGAAAATAAACCTTACCACTGAAATTTAGACTGAGGTCATCGCGAAGATCATAGAGGTCCTGGGAGCTCTTCTCTGAGAGTGACCCACATTGGGACTGCAACAGCTCCTCCAACCTCATCTCCCACCACCGCTGCCTTGTAGGAGGAGTCCAGTAGAATGCACTCGTGAGTACAGTAAAAAATACTTATGTAAAAATACATTTTTATATTTGTTTATGAAATAATGTTCGCCCTCTGTATTATTGTTCGTGCTATTATCGATACCCCAATGAAGCCCTCATATATTGCTCATACGAAATAAATAACGCTATCAGGAACGCATCCCCACATATAGAATGGTATAATGACCCCTTTTAGCGCCGATTCGATTAGCGCTCACTTCTCCAGGAACTCATCTTGAGCGCTAAGCGAGGTCTGCCTCTACTAGGTTTTAAGTTGTGCTGAACAGCACTCTGATGTATGACCCGAAAACGCGAGAGAGAGCGGGTTGAGATCCATGTTGTGCAAAAACCCTAATTATTTTTTGTCAACATGTTCATAATTACTTTATCCTGAGCCCTAGCTGTAAGCTGCCATTTTGTGTTAATTTATTTTAACACAATCTAAACATTTACATTCCACTTAGGCCAAGAGTTGGATTTTATGTCCTGATTAACAGTCGTTGTCAAAGTTATTTTGTTTTTTTACTGCCTTTTTATATTAGATTGTTATAAGACCCGGCCAAATGTAGTTTTCCTAATTTTGTACGTACTGTACTGTATTTACAGTTTACAATGCCTGTGACCAAATTGGCATTTTTTAAAAGCTAAGCCAGTTCGAGCCTGGTACAAGCTTGGATGGGAGATCACAATGCATAATAAGTTGCTATAGGCTTGACACGTAGGCTTGCGTGACACATATATGACTTTTGACCAATTCTGGCAAAATCGCCCAATGATGCTGGATGTAATTCCCAGCGAAACTTCGTACTCAAATTGTAAATATCGGGGATTTACACTCCAACACACTGGTGCGCTGAAGTAGAAACTGATTGGCACGTTTTGTTTACGTGACAAACCTTATTCATTGGCTGTCAGGTGGTGGTAAGTTAACGACACATTTACGCGATCTAACCCAAAAAAAACTTTATTATGAATTGCTATCGGCCGCTTTGGGGCTGTGTGTTGGGCGGCGGAGGGGAGTGCAGCAAATTCTATTATTGTACTGTACTGTGCAAACACATCTATGCTACCCACCTTCAACCCACACTGACCAGCTGTGTAAATGTCCCCCCACAATCCTCATGACACGAGAAAGCCCGTCCTCCAGCAGCGGACTGATTTAAAATAACTATTTGTCGACTTTATTATTTGGTTCTTTCAGTAAAGTCACGTAGGTGAAAAAATAAAATTTAAAATTAAGAATAAAAAAATAAATAGAAATAACTAAATTAAATCACAATTACTTGTAGACTTTATTATTTCCCATACGTTTTGTACATGTCAACTTAACCATCAGGATGTTAAGTTGATGAATAGTGTTTTTTGTACGAACACTGTGCAGTATTTAACACGAATGTCTGTTCTATCAAGTACAACTGATTGGGGAGACAGCCAAGATAGAATGTTGTGCTGTGCTTGAGATTAGCGGCTGGCACGGCTGTGTAAAGCCACCATCGTCTCCTCAGAACGGAGAGAAGTGGGAATGTGTCCAGAATGGTAATGTAAGAGTACAGCCCAAGACTTAATGCCATGTATTTATCCAGATTGCCTTGCTGAGTCTTAAGACTTCTCCTGCCTTAGCATAATTGGCTATTCCACTTTAATGAATGTTTTGCATTTGACAGAAAATACGTGTATCTGGAGAAAACACATGCTTGCAAGGGTGTAACCCAATAATTCACAGCATTGGGTTCATAAACCCATTTGCTGTACTGCCATCTCGTGGCCACTTCGCAGCCCAGCGAATCTGACAAATGTCTGTGTGGTCCAACATCCCTTTTCTCCAAAGCAGTGTGTGCCACAGCACCTAGCCTGGCACAACCGCCGTGGTGATGTCACCGCCACTTTGTGCAAAATAGTAGTGTGCGTTAGCATCCACACTCGCGTGCAGGTGCACTCATATTTCTCACCTCCGATGAGCATTGTTGGCTACGTACGGTGCGAAAGAAGTTATACATTCATTTAACCGGAGTCAACAGACCCTGTAAGGAACCAAGGTGACTTTAGGAGGCGGTGAAAGGTGGAGTCGGTCAGGAGAAGCATTAGGAGCTGAAGAGTTTCTACAAGGGAGTTTCCAGCGTACAAATACGACAGTTCCCTCCTCTGCTATACCATTTGCACACTTCAGTTATACTATACAGTTCACGTGTGAACAAATGTTGCTTTGCATCAGATTTTTGGTGAAAATGTGTCAATGTCTTGCCAACAATGGAGGAAATCTCCAAAGCTGCTTTGTTAAGATGTAAATCTGACTCCTAGCTTTCAGTGTGTTTTCAGTAATCATGTACCGGCTACACATAAACAAGACTGTTCCCTGCATGTGGGCCACCGGTGATCATAAGAGCCCCTTTCAGGGCATCTATTTCCCCAAGGATCCTGTGTAGTTACTCTGTGGCAGGTATAAAACATGGAGTCACTCTACCTGTGATTTTAATAATTGAGCACTTGGTATATTTCACGTTGCCTTTCTGAAAGCACTGAAGTTTGTTTACAACGTAATAGCTCGCGACCAGCTGATAGAGATTCCTAGCAATTTTAAACAAGATACAACGTTTTTTTGTCGTAAGAGCCTTTTTGTTGAGCGCGTAGATTCATGGATGTGAATTTATTTGTTCAAACTGCACGGTGCCTTTCTTATCTTGGACCGATTGGCAAATGTTGTGAACCAAATGGGGTCCAAGTCTTGTCCGTGACTTACTGGAGAAATTTTTTATACAGATTACATAACACATTAAGCTTTTCCAGTTGATAAATGTTCATGAGGCACAAAATCCCCCTGGAACTCTATGGGGTTACCCCAGCACCTATCCGAAGTTAACGTGAAATAGTCGTTGGTAAGTTCATTCACAAATAATGTATGGAAAGAAATGTTAAAAGACTCTAAACCGTTGTGTTTTTCTTAAAGTGACCAGATGCTGTGTGGCTGCTGTGTAAAGTTAAATACGTGGTATAACTGGATGCCATAAAATATGAAATTATTCCTCTGAGGCAGCTGGATGGCTTATGGGAACAATTCAGCTGAGATTCCGGATGTGAATCCCAGGTTTCTACCCGATATTAAAACTGGCCTGGTGTTGTTGTGCTTAGCAGCAACTGACTGCATTACTGTATTCAAGACAGCTGGTATATATGAGTAGATAGCAGGCGAGAGATGAACACTCGCTTCGCTTGGCATGAAGATGCACTACTGATCATGGTTGCAGCTGGAGCTGTGACGTCGTTCTGCCACATGATATGGCTCTGTTGTTTGTGGGAACTTGCTGAAATATGGGGGCTTCTTTACCCGAAGCCTTGGTTCTGTCGGTATATGTGGGACGCGGGCCGTGGAAATCCATCACCACGTTAATGGATGGCGATTTGTTTAATTCCGAGGACGTATTTATATGTCTATTAGAACTGATATTTTCTTTCTCCAGTATTTTATTTAAATTCACTTTCAGTAAAAGATGTCTCTCTTGTCAGTTGAGTGTTGCACAGTGCACTTTGTCATTTGCAGTTCTGAGCCGGTGGTGGAAATGCCGTATTCTTGTCTGGCCAGTCTCACCACACGAAAGGTTCATTGCTTGAGTCGTGCCCCAACCAGGACTTAAACTCACAAACGTTTGTGAGTCGCACGCTCTGCCGTTGCAACGCATCCTTCTAAATTGCCTTTGCGGTTTGGACTTGTGGTAAAGTGTATGTTTTTGTGTAGTGAAATGTGCATTGTGATATCAGTAAACCAATGATGTCTGGTACACTGAGAAAATCTGTGGTGAAAGTGTTAAGGATGATTCCTAAAATGTTTTAATGTCATGTCATTTGATGGTGCCTTTCTGACCAGCACAATAATATCCCAGGGAGATAATCCGTACACTTTGTTAACTGGGTACTATTTGAGGTTTACGTTTCAAACGTTCAATGTTAAACCTGAATATTTGTAAACAAAAGTCAAACTACCTTTGTGTCAATGATTTTTTTTAAATATTAACATTGTGTTAATAAAACATTTGGATATGTTCTGTACATATCGGTGTATGTTTATGTTGTTACATTGACTAAATGCATTCAGAGTGTTTCATGCATTGGCTGTGAGAGAGCAAAACGGATACGCTGTATGACACTGGTTCTCCAGACTCGGGTCTCAATGAGCTGTTCACATCAGACCGACAAGAAAGCACTTCCACACCAAGCGTTTGTAGGGCATTTAATGACGAACGAATCGATCCACAGTCACAAATGCCCACACATCACGCTCACAGAAGCACATCGCTGTAACTGTCAATTCCTACCCCCCGGGGAAAGTGGAGAAGCGTTGTGTACGGAGTCTTAACAAACGAAGGTGAAGCAAACCCAGAAGAAAAAAACAATTCTCAAACACGAGGCAGCTTCAACTAAGCAGCGAACTTGTTTTAATGTTGCATCATTGTTGTGAAACTTTGTGGCTTGAAGCTCTTGTGGAGCATTCATGTGTTGTTATTGTGAATCGTTTATTCCAGCGAATTTGTTTTAATAACCAGATGTAAACAGCGAATTTGTTTTTACGAACGAGATGTCCACTCAAAGATCGGGTTTCGCAAACTCCAGTCCTCGCGAACCACCACGCGACATCTTTCTCCGTTTACCAATTCACTCCCCATTCAAATACGAATTAGCTCGTTCCAGCAGGCTCCTGTGTGACGCGCAAAGCGATGAACGCTCCGTCTTGCGTTAATAGCCAATTCGAATTAAGATCTCAGTGTGCGTGTATGTTGAACTTCTTTCGCACCGTACGTAGCCAACCGTGCTAAACGGAGGTGCGTGTGTGCACGTGTTCCGTGTGTGTGCATACGTGTTCCACGTGATAAGCCAGTGTTGATTGCTTAGTGTGTCACGTGGGTCGCGGTAACTGGAAACCCTGTGACAACTCGCCAACAAATAGAAGCTAATAAGCTCATTTTGCTTCGTCATTTGTTTACCTTTCTGATACGTTTGCACCTCCTATGGTGTCTTTGTGTTGTTTGCTGTTGTAACATTCTGACCCGCTCCTGCTGAACATCTGTGAAAGAGCCTTATAGCTCATCGGCAGATTCCTCCTCCAGTCTGAATGAGTCTTGTGATTCTGAAATACTTCTGAGAGAGCGTCTCTCCCCGACTGAAACCTTCATCGCAATCAACATTTATTTGGCGCTGTTCTTAAAACTACAGTAAAACCTTGGATTGCGAGCATAATTCGTTCCGGAAACGTGTTTGTAATCCAAAGCACTCGTATATCAAAGCACTCGCATATCAGTTGTGATCACGTGACGCTCGGCAGACAAAGCGTATACACGTTCTACTCGTATTGCGAGACCTCGCTCGTTTATCAAATTAATATTTACTTAAAAAATTTGCTCGTCTTGCAAAACACTCGCAGACCAAGTTACTCGCAATCCAAGGATATACTGTACTAGAGAAAACTCTCACTCCGAGCGGTCGTCTCCGACGAGCCCTGTTGGCGTTTACTCCACAACCTGCCTGCGACTGGGAGCCGAATCGCTGGGTAGGGCGAGGAGGGAATCCATCCATCCACGACGCCCACTCCGTGGCAGAATTGGTTCCGCGGCGCAGGAGACGAGGGGCAGCAACTCGCGCACAAAGCAACCCAGGAGACCCACGGCGACCGCAGTCTTGTGGCTTGAGCAGCCACCTCCACCGCACGGTCACACACACACACAGGCAAAACAACAAGGATCCCCCGTGTATTCATCTTCTTGGTTCTTTCGGTAAAGTCACGTAGAAGAGAAATAAAAATAAACCAATAACATTCTCAGCGACGTTTCGATTGCAACACAAGCAATCATCATCAGGTGTGAAAACCACAGACTTGTTGGGGGCAAGGGCTGTGAGCGAGCACCTATGAAGGCCAGCACGGCACACGAGGGGGTGGGTGGCCAGCACCACGCCCAGCTGCATTTGCCTCCCCAGTGGCGATGTTTACTACACACCGCACCAGGAACGCATTTGAAGCCGAGTCGACCTCGGGGAGGCCCAGCACCGGTTCAGATAATCGTCACTCGTGTTGACTGCGCGGGCGGGGATCGAACCCGTGTCACCGCATTCGTAGCACAGCGCGCTAACCGTATGCAAAAGAGAAAGATCCCCCGTGTAGCCTGTAACAGACTGTTGGGGCAAGTGCTGTTAGCGAGCACCGATGAAAACGTACACACACACATCGCCACTTTTTATTTCCGTTCACGAATTTAATTCAATCGCCACAGCGCCCCTCATTCTGTCTCAGCCGGGTGAGTGTGGAGAAGCTGGGTCCTGTGCGGTTGCTCTGTGGTCTCACAATGGATGTGACAAGTGGCAGAGCTTGTGAAGTAATTGAACAAACTCTTAGGTTTTTTCGGTATAGTCACGTAGGTAAAAAAAAATTTTAATTAATAAAAGTAAAATAAAATAAAAATCACGACTTTTCGGCGGCAACATTTTATTTTACTTTTATTAATTAAAATTTTTTACCTACGTGACTTTACCGAAAAAACCTAAGAGTATGAATCCTTGCAGTCACGAAAGCTTCAAATCTAGAATTAATTGAACAAAGCAAGACTTTTACGTAAAAAAAAAACTCCATTGATTTATGTTAACGTCTTCATTTTGACGCACATTTGTTTTGTGTTATCCACACACACACACGAGGTTTCTGTGGGTACTCCAACAGGTAATAATATTCACTCAGGAAAGATTTTGAGGCTCGCGTATAAATGATGAGACTAGTGCTGCTGGATTAAACTCACCATCGATCCGCTTCTCTCTCCTCTTGTGAAGCCGCTCGAGTCCCACTGGCTCCCTGTGGGAACCTGTCGAGACGGTGCAGGACATCACGCCGTGTGTGGTGAACCGGGATTAAAGGAGACGACAACCCAGTGAACAAATGGTTATCTTGCAGACACGAACCGAGGTTGTGCATCCCTGGCTGTCCTATGCGAGTTTAAAGCGGTCTTGATGGGGCAAGAAGACTTTCAATTTACGGGCCAGTGTGTCATTATACCACTCGACATCACTGGTATGTTACTACATGAATGCAGCATCATCACAAGAACACAGTGACAGAGCGCATGGCAGTGATTCTTTCGAAAATTATGTTCTCAATTCCGAAGGTTACAACTCTTGTAGGATAGCCGACAGCATGCGGCCTACAACAGACATTTGTGTTTTGGTTTGCATTTTCCTAAAATGCTGTGTGTGTGTTGAGACGTGATGCTGTAGATACGAACCTGGCAACCCGAATTCGATTCCTGCTCACGGCCAATACCAGTGACGATTATCTGAACCGGTCCTGGGCCTCCCTTACGTCGACTCAGCCTCTAATGAGTACCTGTTGCTATGTGTAAACATCACCACTGGGGAGACAAAGGCGGCTGGGCGTGGTGCTGGCCACTCACCCTTCGTGTGCCGTGCCAGCCTTCATAGGTGCTCGCTAACAGCACTTGCCCCAACGGTCTGTTACGGCTACACGGGGGATCTGTGTCTATATTTGTAGCTAATCTAGGTATTGACAGGTTTCTGACGATGCTGACATGAGGGATGATTGCAATGATTGAGCATTAACTTACGGTTGGAACACCCATCGGTTTGGGATGCGTGCGCGTGTCGGGAGGTGGACGATTGCTCTTGGAGCATCATCGCAGGTGAAGATATAAAGTTTCGCTCCCGTGCCACTGTGTCCGTCATGCACGCAACAAGTGAGCTTCCTCAGAAAACGATATTAGTGATGCCAGCTACGAATAATAACAACGGCGCAGTAAACATCATTATCATCAGCGTTTGCCAATCTACTGCTGTATGAAGACGTTCACATGACGAATTTGTTGGGGAGGGGGGGTTAATGACCCATTGTGTGTATTGTGGGGAGCAATAGTGTAGTGGTTAGTGCTTTCAGCTATGAACACGCTGATCCGAGTTCAATTCCCGCTAATGGCCAACACCAGTGATTACTTGAACCGGTCCTGGATCTACCCTAAGTCGACTCAGCCTCCAAACGAGTACCTGGTGCCATGTGTAAACATGGCCACTAAGGAAGACAAAGGTGCTGCGTGCCATGCTGGCAAACACCTCGTGTGCCATGATGGCTTCCATACATGCTTGCTAACAGCACTTGCCCCAACAATCTGTTAAGGCAAGGGGGGGGGGACCTTTGCCTTTACCGCTGTACTTAGCAATTTGCCACATAATTTGGCCAAGTGGAAAGATGTCATTAGAGCTCATGGCTTTCAGTTGGAAGGTTGTAAATTAAAATCCTAGAAGTGTGCATGTCAACTCTGGCAGTGATGGCGTGCATGTGGGGAACTGCCAGTGTATGGCGAGCGGTGGTGATTAGTGCAATGTGCTACGAACACGTAGCTTCCTGCTCAGAGCAAACATCAGTGACGAATCTCTGAACTGGTCCTGGGTCTCCCCTAGGTTGACTCGGCCTTAAATGTAAATGCTGCAAACACTTGGTAAGAACCACTTGAAATGCTTCCCTGGATCAACAGGCGTAATGAGTGCAAAGTGTCAACATCACCACTGGGGAGACAAAGGCCGCAGGGTGTGGTGCCAGTCACTCTGAACCCCCCCCCCCCCATGCTGTGGTGGCCTTCCAAGGTGTGAGTGGCTGGGTGTGTGGTCGTCTCTCACTGCCTCGTGTTGCGGGAGTCTTGAAGCAGCCGCTGTGTGGGTGCTGCATGTGCACGACTCTTCTGAGCCACGCAGCCTGCAGCCCCATGCGCCTCCCCGCCATGGAGCACAACAGCACTGCGCGACAAAGACAAATAATCCACATGTAGCCTTTCACAGACAGTACTCTCTTCATTGTTCAGCCAGCATTGGTATAAACAGGGGCATTTTCGTTCTTTTGTCTATCATGTGTATCAGGCCTCCCCTCCCCCTCTCTGCCGCATGTGTTGAGCACTCCGTGCTGTCTTTGAGCCCCGCCCCCCTCCCTCCCGATACGTTTCCATTCATTGGCTACCACATTCTGATGAGCTCCCCCCCCCTCTCCTCCCCCCCCTTCAACTTGCTTATAAGGGACTACATCTTGAATCATTGCCTCACTTGATGCAGCTAATTCGGCTGTGACGGTCCCACCTGATGACGGAGACTTGTGTTGCCTCCGAAACGTCGTGATTTTTTGTTTTATTTTATTTTATTTTCATTAATTTTGATGTTTTACCTACGTGACTTTACCGAAAAAACCTAAGAATATTTCACAGACTGCTGAGCCAGGTGCTGTTAGCGAGCACTTATGAAGGCAGGCAAGGAGGCAAGGCACATGATGGGGTGGGTGTCCAACCCACGCCCGGGCGCTTTTGTCTCCCGAGTGCTGATATTTAAGTAAATTTAAGGCGGAGTCGACCTCGGGGAGGCCTAAACCCGGTTCAAATATTCGTCAACCGGTTTGCCGTGAGAATAAAATTCGGGAAAGCAGCCACTGCACGCACGAGGACTCTCTCGCCTCACCACCACAGATGATTGCACTCGCGCTGATAAAAAAAAGAACACATTCCTGCGGAGGGAGCTGGTAGGAACATTGGGTTGCTCGGTCAATGGCCAGGGTCAACGGCGGCGTGGTGTATTCCGCAAATATGCCCGACTGTGAGGGCGGGTACTAGCCGGCGTGAGTAGGTTAAACATTGAGTTTTATAAGGGCACCACGGGGTGACCAGCCCCTCCCCACCTAGCCCCACCCCTCCCACCCCCCACCCAGCCCCTATTATCAGGAATCAACAAGCAAAGGAAAAACAATGGTAGGGGTCAATTCATTGGCAGTCACAAGACATCTGGACCAGCCCTGCACAGTCCCCAATGCTCACTGCTGCAAAGTCTGCCTGTGGGAAGCCATCCGCTGGGGAGTCCACACCTCCACACTCTAGCGGCCCACAACAAATTTGATGATCGTTGGCATTAGCGAATGGGCCCCATCGACATCCGGGCCTAAAGTGTCTCACTCCCGTACTGTTCTCCACGAAGAGGTCCTCCTGCGGCTGTGGGAGTCCCAGTGCGGCCAGGGCGCCGTTGTGCCGCATCATCCGCGCGCACAGAGCCCCCTGCTGCGCCGATACGTCCGGGCCCCGAGACCAGGGGCAGCCGATCTGAGGAACGCGCGCATCAGTTCAACACGTAGGCTTTCGCGGCCAATATCATCCATATGATAGGTTTTTTTTGGGTCAGATCGCGTAGATATATGACTTTGTCGTTAAACCCGCCACCCACTCAACGCAGACAATTAGTGAGGTTTGTTATGTAAACAGAACGTGCCAATTCGTTACGAGTCGAGCACACCGGTGTGTTCGAGAGCAAATCCACATTAACAATTGCCGGGTGGTAGCGGCTTTAACGACACATTTATATTTATGCGATCGAACCTAAAAAACCTATAACATGGAAGACACGCGCGTAACGGAGGCATCTTGCCAATCTGTATGTCCTGCACTTTGAACTTCTTTCACACCGTACATGGCCAACCGCGCTAATCGGAGGTGTGCGGGGAACGACAACAAACTAAATACAAATAGCAGTTCTAGCGACATGAATTTTCAATCTAGATGATTTAAAAGTGCATAGCTCCGGTAGCTTCCTAATATCGGAAGAGCGTTCCAGACGGCCACAGGAGCGCATCCGAAAGCGTGTGATCCAGTGACCGCCTTTGTTCGATGGCAAGCCAAAAGACTCCGCGAGGATGACCAGGGTCCGCGTGATGGTTTATGCTCCTTGACAAGATTAACAAGGCACACATCTGCTCAGTTTTTTTTGTTACTCGTGTTCTCCACAATAATGCCAATGGATTATCTTGTGTATGTGTATATGATAGTTCTGTGTCGAACTACGAACGACACCTATGAACATCTGGAAGTTCACCAGCATTTCTTCAAGCAAACCTCACTGCTGGTGAAACACTGAATGTTGAAATTGGTCCAACGTTTGCCTGCGACAAACCAGTGCTGCCGAATCTATGCACCCTACACACGTACATCATAGCAGGCAATATGCACCAACATACAGTACCGACATGGCATGGAGAGGCCTTCATCCAGCAGTGGAGTGACAAAAGGTTGTAATTCTTGGTTTGATAGTTCTGTTGATCCCCAGATCTCCCTCGCAAAATAGACGATCTCTCAATGGACCCGACTGGAGATGAGCAAAGGCAATCTTGTGTGCGTGTCTTTTTGGTAAGTGGGGAGCAGCAGTGGAGCGATTCGTGCGCGCTGCGCTATGAACCCGGCGACCTAAATATGATTCCCACAAATGGCCAATACCAGTGCTGATGAATTATCTGAACTGGCCCTGGGCCTCCCTTCGGTCGACTCAGCCTCAAATGAGTACCTGGTGCGGTGTGTAATCATCGCCACTGGGGAGACAATGGCGGTCGGGTGTGGTGCTGGCCACTTACTGCCTCGGTGTACCGAGCCGGCCTTGCTCTCTAACAGCACTTGCCCCAAAACCCTGTTGAGGCTACACGGGGGGATCTCTGTCTTTGTGGCGAGTGTTAGGTGCTTACCTGTGTTGCCACGAACAGGTAGAGCAGCTGATGGGAGAGCGCGTAGCCTGTGCACCCACTAGCACGCGCCCAGCGGGCACACGGCGTCGGCACGGTGCACACTGCCACGCCGGGCCTACACGCACACCAACAATCATTACCCTCCACTGCATAGTGCCGGGCTCGCTAGCCAGCGGAGCAGGGGAGGCTGCGCAAAGCGGGGGAGGCTCGCAAGTTAAGAGGGGATGAGAGGCGAGCAGGTGATATCGGCGGCACAGTCAAAAGTCTTGACCCAAACGTGCCTTGATTGAAAATGTTGGTAGTAAGCGAAAACTCAGTTTTATGCAGAGCCTTTACAACAGCATCGCATTAAAAACCCTGAGCGTTAAAATTAAGAGGCAAACAAGCCTAAACAGACAAATACGCAAGAGAAAATAAATGTGTTTTCAAACGAACCCTAAAAACATCGTCTATAAACTGACAACCAGCAGAACTAGGCAATTCTAGTCTTTTCATTGCTAAAATTATGTCACGACGTTTCGATCGCAACACAAGCGATCGTCCTCAAGCGGAAAAAATAATCCAGCAGTGGAACTGCTGAACCAGCGAGAGAGCTATTACAACAAGAGGTTATTTACGTGTTTGTTTTGTTTTATTTTTATACCTACGTGACTTTACCGAGAGAACCAAAGAGTATGGATTCCTGCAGTCACGAAAGCTTCAAATTAAAATGATGTCATGTAACCAAAATCAGGATTTCATTTGCACGAAAATTAGTGAAATTATGGATATCAGTAAATACTCAAGCACTTTTATCAACCAGGCTTTATTGGGAAGATCTTGAAATTGGGATATTTGGATGAATCTATTAATATTTGATGTCTATACGAGACGATAAAATATAGATTCTTGATTTGAATTGCGATCCGTATTCGTGACAATTCACCGAATTGCGGGTGGGGGTGTGGTGGTTATTTTACATGCCCATCGGATAGACGTGCGCTATGGGAAATGGTGCGAATACCAAATGTTCTGATAACTATCATCATCTTGGTGGCGAGATGTTAACTACCTTGCCTGGTATACAAGAGGTCGTGGGTTCAACCCCAACCCTGACGCCTGTATAGAGTTTGCAAGTTCTCTCTGTGGAAGCGTGGATTTTTATCTACGTCCTCCGGTTTTCCCTCCACATTTAGAAAAGCATGCACTTAGAGTATGTGACTGCTATACATTTCCACGTGATGATAAGCCACTTCATTGGGCTATCATTTGTGGCCAGGTCACCTCTGGAAAAGATCTATATGGCTCAGTGAGCTTTACCGAGTAAAATATAAAAAAAATAGTTTAGTTTTGTTTCAGTACCTGGTGCCCAGCAGGCTGCTGAGGCAGCTGTCGCTTGAGTTTTCGTCACGGATGCACGCCGAGCTCGGCAGAGGGAAGAGAGACTCCATGGAGCTCTCAAGTGAATTCTCAGCCGTCTCCTCTGCCTCCATGCGAGTTGCGTGCCGCCGGCTGTTTGGAAGGGGCATGTGCGAGCAGCGGGAACTTGGCTCTGTGTTTGACCACAAAGTTGAGATAGCCAACGGAGCCATCTCTGGAGATGTCGCATACACACACGCACACAGGGAAAAAAGAGTCATCTTCTTGATAAAATGACAGTGTGCTGTATATTTCCGATAACGGAGATGGTGGTGACAGTGGTGTTATAGGCGGCGTCACGGAGCCTGGCTGTTCTGGGGGCTCGTACCGCAGGAAGCGGTGGTGTTGTTTGTGATCATGGTGCTGTTGTTAGCTATTGCGGTGGGTGTGCGTTGTTGGCAGTTGGCAGCGATTGTGGGGGGCGTGTTTAAGGTGGAGAGTCTGGTGCGGAGTACCGTGCCACACGGCCCGGCGCTGCTGTTTGCTTACTCCAGCAGTAATGGGGCAGAGAGAGGCAGGCGTGTTGCAGGGCGTCTGAACTGAGCTCGTGCACGCGCAATGCGAGCTCCCGCACGCGCTCCACCATGGGGGTCACGCGCAGCGCTCCACCACGCTCCCCACACAGCGCCGCCTCCAGCTGCAGACCGTCCGCCAACTGAGCTGCACACGCACAAAGACGAAGGGGAGGCCCCATTTGAAGTGCCATGCGCGAGCACCTATGAAGGGCCAACAGCACGAGCGGCCGCCTTCGTCTCTTTCATAGCCAAGCTCGGCGAGGCCCAGGGCACGTGCCGCTTGCTACCTGTTTTAGCTCCGGTTGCGAAATTAAACGAGGGTCTACGATAGAATTGCACAGTGTGCTCACCACATGACTACTTATTAGCCCTCCGAGCCAAGACCTAATTTAACAGATGACAAAACTGGTATAGAGTTAAGCCGACTGTGGTCAGTATTAAATCTACAAATGGTGACTAGTAAATATAATGGTAACTCTCGCTCTGTATCCAAATGTACAGTAAAACCTTGGATTGCGAGTAACTTGGTCTTCGAGTGTTTTGCAAGACGAGTAAACTTTCTAAATAAATATTAATTTGATAAACGAGCGAGGTCTTGCAATACGAGTAGTACGTATACACTTTGTCTGCCGAGTGTCACGTGATCACAACTGATATACGAGTGCTTTGGATTACAAACACGTTTCCGGAACGAATTATGCTCGCAATCCAAGGTTTTACTGTATAACTGTTGCCCTCTAGCCTGTGTATCACATCGTAAGCGTGCATGAATACCTGACAAGAGCCCTTGTGGTCAGCGTAATCATTTCCTTTACAAGTGGCCCTGCCCTGGCCTACGATGCGAGCGAGTACCCACCGTGCATCATGCGGAATCCGATGACGCCGTCAAAGTTCAGGAGCTCCCGCGACGCCTCCAAAAAACGAGCAGCTCGTTCCAGCGCCTGCACCGTGGCGTGAAGAGCCTCCTCTCGAGACGGCATTCCCAGGTCTTCGATTCCACCTTCTCCCGGACTCTCACCTCCAAATCCTCCCAGACTCTCACTCGCAGCTCTCCCCACATCCTCACTCCCAGCTCTTCTGAGACCCACACTCCCAGCACCACCGAGATCCTCACCCCGAGGACACTTCCCAGGTGGACCGGTCCCAGGTGAAGGGGTGTGAGTAGTAGCGCCGATTAAAGTTACGATTATTAGCAGCACTGCAGTCGCCATCCCTACTAAGCGTCCCTGTAGCATGCGCATGCACACTCTGCGTATCCTGACACTGGCAACGGGACCATCTGATGCAACACAAGTACACGGGCAGCACCCCTCCTCGACTGGTACGCACACAAACGACACGGAGCCTGCCCCCACCACCTCCTCGTCACGGCTGCGTGGACGTTAACACCGCTGGTGAATGCGATCAATGGTGTAGTCTTCCGCGAGAGACGCGGCAGGAGGTGTAATGATCCTCTTACACGCATTCACACCCGATATCTCTCACATCCATACTCACGCTCTCTCTTTGGCAACATACAACTCATAAGCGTTAGATGCAGTCGGGTTTTATTGACATGGCAGCGTAATGCTCACTTCTCGCTCTCTTGTGCAGTGTTGAGACAGGGATGAGTGTACGCACGCGAATGTTGCAAACAACCACCACCTCACTTGGCCATTACTTTCATCGCGATAATGAAGTTGCAATTGTAACAGCGCCGAGTTCGAGATGAATTATTTCCACGAGTGTCTTCTCTCTTTGTTAGCTCCCACATGGAGGCAGGGTGATGTGCACTGCTTTGTGCCAAGTACGATAGCCGGATAGGTGAGGGGGGGGGTGCATATTTGTCCAGTCGTCATTGGCACAGGAAATGCAGCTCACAGCACTGCAGCCTAGTGTGGGAATGGTCTCTCGTGGGGAATATTTTATTGTCTCTTTACACCCTTGGCTCACAAGGCCAACAGATTCACCGGACTTGCGTTGTGTCGTCCACGGCAGAGGTGTGCTTCAGCCAGAGCTGGTAGAACCCACGGAAGCCGTCAATCTTATCCAGATAGGCGTTCGATGCGCTGTACTGCACACAGAGAAACATATTGACATTGTGTCAAAGACACACACATCACAAAGATTCCCAATATCTAAACTATAATTTTAACGGGGCTGAATTCTCCAACACAGACATATTATCCCCCATGCTTTCGCTTATTAAACTTTTCGTTCGTTTAGTAGATTTTTTAAATGTAGTTATAATATAATTATTTTTAACGTTGAGTGTCTGCTACTGCTGCTGTCCTGTACAGCGCTTTGAGATCGTTGATGAAAAGCACTATATATAAATAGAATAATTTTTTATTCGGTGAAAGCGCCAACTGTTGTGCCACGTGTGCTGCCGGTGTGTGCGGCGTGTGGTGCCGTGTGCTGCGTGTGCTGACGTGATCGTATCCCGGTGGGTAGCGGGCTGCGAAGTCGAGCTGCCGCAGGATGGCGGGCGAGGCGGCGATGTGCGACCGAGCCATCTCCTTGAGCACCGCGGTCAGGTACGAGTAGTCGAGACGACGGATCGCCACGGAGATGATCACCCCGCACACGTGGGAATTGGGAGTCAAGCCGCTTGTCTGTAGGAAGCAGAAAACAACAAGAATCGCACACACGCATGGATTCTACAAAGCTTTCACAAAAAACTTTTGTCCTCCAAATTGGCGATAGCGGTACGTTTTTAAAGCGCATAACAAGTTACATGAAGCCACATATGACTACAAAAGATGACATGCCAATTCCCTTGGCCACTTAGGATACTTTTAAAACTTTTTTTTTATTGCCACGATTTGGACAGATGGACAGAGATAACGCATTAACGATTTAAAACTTGGTTGGGAAGCGTAAAAATACCAAGCTACGAGATGCGCAAACACGTACACAGCACTCGGCAATAAAATCAGATCCCACGGCAAGACATTTCCTCCAGTGTTGAGGTTAATATTCAACTTAGCGACATGAGTACAAATGTTTACATAAGAATCATTGCAGCGGGAAAAGTTGCTCCAATTAACTGATGAAAATTTGGTTTGGGCATGACGCGTCGCTAGAAGGGACGATGGCTGGTGGGTCAATACTTCTGTCAGAGCAGCAACCAAAGGAGAGGACACGCCTGAGAAGACATCCGCCATAATGAGATGAGATCAGTGTGAGATGTCAAAGCATTGTCGGGTAGGGCAGGATGTCTTCATCTAGCAGTGCCACTGATCACAGCTGACGATGTTATGCTCATCGCAAGGTGCGCACCCTCATGTCTCTCAGCAGCTGCACACCGTCCTCCTCATGCTGGCAGCCTGCGGCCAGCGCGCTGTACGTGTGCATGTCAGGGGACAGCCCCTCCCGCACCAGCTCCCCCACCAACGCCTGCAAGCTCGCAAGTGCACATTCATGAGCGGGCAAGCGTATGTGTAAAAACAGGCACACTTGTGCACGCACGCACGCGCACACATGCTTTAGACAGGGGCATGCGTGTGTAGTAGGCACGTAACGAGTCTGTATCCACTCATGCAGTTTGACAAATTGTCACAAGCCGGGGTCAAGATTGCAGGATGGATTATTTTTTTCGTAGGTCTGCTTTGTACGTTCTATTCAGTTGGTTCTGTCTCTTGTTCCATCAACCTATTGCACAAAATGTTCATGCGACGTAACATGTAAGTGCATGGAAATGTTGATATGTGCGTGCCTGTGTACATGGCAGCGCTCATTCGTGTATACAGTGTGTGCATGCTTTCATCACAGCATTCGTGTGTGTGTAGGTAGTGTGTGTGTCTGCATGGAAGCGTTCAAGTGCGACGTGTGTGCACGCATGTGTTCATGCTAGTAGGCGGCGTGTGCGCGCGCATGTTTGCGTCAGAGTGTACGTATGTGTCATTCTAGTTTATTTTGTTTTAGACCAGGTGAGAACTCAAGAGCCCAGGAGAGCCTGATTTACAGGAGCGAGCTTGGTCACCAAGACGACAAAAGAAAAAAAAGGAGAGCAAATAGAAAGCAGAACAAAAACAAACTGCCTCGTCATGCGAGCAATAGAAAATAACACATTAACGTAAATCAACGTTAAATTAATTCCTTGCTGGCAAAAGCTGGCTGTGGACGATTCTTTTTTAGACTGATCACAGTCCAACTACAAAATTAAGTTACAAATTAAACTCATATAGGCTGACTATGGTATGAATGTGCAGAACTGCTTTTTGTGTTTAGTTTGTTGTCCTTCCCCCACACCTCCGATTAGCACAGTTGGCTACATACGGTGCGAAAGAAGTTCAACATGCACACACATGTACGTGTAAACAGGCGAGGATGTGTGTGTGTGTTTGTGCTTGCGGCCCCTACGCGCGCTGCAGCCAGGTCGCCGGCGCGGCTCCTGCGCCCCACCAACACGTTGTACAAGGTGATGTCTGGCTCCGCTCCGCAGGCCTTCGCCTCCTGCAGCAGCCGCTCGTCTTGATCAAACTGCCCGGGTCGTAAAGGTGAGGAAAGAGAAACACCAAACACACAAGGGGGGGGAGTTTGGGGAAACTCAAGGGCAACCGTGCCCTAGTGGGCAATGCACGAGTTACAAGCCGTGGAGAGCAATGTGCAGCGTGGCCTTGTGAGGCACAGGGTTTGTGTGAAAAAGTAGTGGCATGTCATGAATTGTCACAATTCGGGATCATGGCGAGTCATATCTCTAATAAATATGATTTGCAAAAGGATAAAAATAAATAATTCGCAGCCCTTTGTCAATTCGCTGATGGATAAATGCCTCCCGACGCCGTGTCAGTCATGGGGCACGTTTAACCATGTCGGCATGTTGGTCAGTGTGGGTTGGTCAAAGTGATGTCCAGAACCAGTTCACATATCCCTTGCCGCTGACGTCAGCCATGGCTGGTAATCAAACTCAGGTCACCGATTTCACAGTGCAGCAGGTAACCACTGCCCCGTCACTCTACCCAGGCATAAGATTGATACAATTGGGACAACTATTACCGTCAACAAATCATTCAAACTTTAAGCGTAACGATGAATAATTTGAGTATTTGCCGTTGTCCGTGCGGATCAGCAGCATGCGAACCTGATCAGCAGGCAACAGCATAGCGAGCTGTGTGAAGATAAGCACGTTGGGGGCCAGGCCGTGCCTGCGTAGAGCCCCCAGCACTCCTGCCACACCGCCCAGCAGCGCCAGCCGATCGGCGGGGTCGGGCGCCGCCCTCAGAGACAGCACGTGGCCCTTGGCGCTGCGCCGGCCTGGCTCCAGCAGACTGCCCTGTAACTCGAGGCGACTGCCCGGCGATTCGGGCAAAAGTGCCAGCGATGTTGAGTGCTGGGGAATCTGGTCAGAGTGCCGCTGTGCGATTGCCATCTGCTCGGGATACTCCTCGACATCGGCTCGCTCCCTAGATGCACAACTCGTGGACAGCTGGTCAGCTCTCGTCTGTGGTGCTTGCTCGTGGGCGAGCTGCCTCTCGTGTGCACCCCTCGTACTCTTGTCCTCTTGGACGAAATCTGGATGTGGACAAGCTCTTTGAGAGTTGAACAGTCGCCCTTGAAGGTCTTGGACACTTGCCACTGCTGCACTCGTAGAAGTCCGTCTCTTGGCTCCCTTCTGGCTGCGGACTGGAAGATTCCCGATATTTCTACTCTCACTGGAATCGTTTAGCAGCAGAGCAGTGGCAACCGCCGGGTCGCCTATGTCGCACTGCCGAGCAACGGACAGCAGGAAACTGTAGTTGTGGAGGTTTGGTGCCACCCCGACACGCTCCATCCAGCGCCACAGCTACAACGACAAATCACACAAGGGCACACGTATAACAACCAGCTTCACTCACGACCCTTTTTGTGTTAAGTTGTCCTTCCTCACACCTCTGATTAGCACGGTTGGCTTCATACGGTGCAAAAGAAGTTCAACATTCATACCCATAACAGTGATGTCGTCAAGTCACTTAAACCAATCAGTGTTTACTCCGAAACGATATAGCATCTGTCTATTTGTAGTGGTGTTTGTGTATAATGGTGGTGTATGTTTATTTTTAATGGGATGTGTTTTGTGTAGTGGTGTGTGTGTGTGGGTAATCTTCGATGTTAACTAGGATACCTGTGTATTGATGGTCATGTGTATGTGTGTCTTTAGAAACACAGTTGGCACAGTGGGGAACACAAGTGGTGCATCTGCCAGTCGCCCCAGTCAACTGATAACAGCTGGGTCTGTCCCGTGGCCTCAAGGTACACCTAGCCTGGTACAAGTACGCTGGTCATGTCACCGCCACTAAGTGGCGAACGGCAATTGTTGTCGTTGAACTGCGGCGTCTTTATTGATGTTGCTGTGTATGTATTTGTGTTGTGCGTCTGTACTGGTCAGTCGTGTGGTGTGTGCAATAGAACTGTGGTGCGAACCTGCAGGGCGTGGCGAAAGCCCTCCGAGGGATCTCGCTTGGCTGCCTCCAGCAGAAAGCTCAGCGTGGTGGAGGTTGGGACCACACCATTGCCAACCATTTCCTGGCAATCAAACAACAAAGTCAAACCAAGTCAGGAGGCATCCCACAAAGGTAAGATTTCATGAGCACAGTCAGCAACCAGGAGGTGCTCCACTACAATTGACTGTGAACCCTGCCCCCCCCCAGGTTTTGTGTGAACGAATTCACCCACCCCACTTCCCATCCAATACGTCAGTTACATTTCCACCTTACACTTGGTGCTACACTTACTGGGAGCATAAACTGCAACGTCCTACTGCTCTCGGTTCACTTTCTGGTATCAGGTCTGATTTAGGACACCAGCTAGTTCCATGTGCCACCAGAAATGTGTTGATAGAATAGGGTTTGAAAGTGGACGCACAGATGCAGCTGTGGGTATTCAACAACGAGCAATACAATGATCTGTTCTCCAATAGGCATTGGAGATGGGTAGTCAAGTAGCACTCAGGAGGTCTGCAACCAAGGGGAAGACCTAAAGCCAGACAGTGGAAGCATTTAGACAGTAAGAGGAGCCCTGAAACTGGATGGTGGGATACTGTAAATGTGGATGACTGTGGGGTTTTTTATGTTTTACCGATTATGGATCCTAGCAGAAGAAATCGACAAGGTGTGGTGACATCAACAATATTTCTCCCTGAGATCCACTGACCTAGTTTTAGAATGTGAGAATTATTACGTCCCCACAACCAACCAATTCAGGCTGCCTGCACACCACACGTGAAGCCTGTGTGACATTCAAGTGTCGTGAGCGACTTCCGAGACACGTCGTGTAGAAGGCTTCTTGTTTATTCTCACACCTTAAGCACAACACTAGGCGATACATCTATGTAACGTTCTACGTAGCTACACATAGCTGACCCTTTTACACGTCATCGTCGGCGTCCAACTGCACAGCTGTCTGACTAGCGCAGCGACGGCGACGATGAGAGCCTTGCAGAAGATTGACCACGTGGTCGGACGATGAAGAGAGATGACGGCAAGCAGCGACGCAGCCAGGACCCAGGACCCGCAACAGCACTGAACCTCTGGTTCGGTCCCCCTTATATACACCCTGGCACGGCCAAGCCCCGCCTCTGGTCACGCCCCCTTCCAGAACCTTCGAGCAGGTTCCCGAAGCTTCCCGACTGATTCTGCCTTTCACCTCTACCCCAGATATGCCCCCCTCATAATTGAGATTACGTAACATGCCCATAACCGCGATTAACCCATTCAGGCCGATAGGTGGCACCCTGTCATTACACAAGCACCAGAACTTAGCAAGACTTCCGTTTCAGGATGAAACTTGGTGTACCGCATGGCAATACTTTTTTGTGAATGTTAATTGAGTTTTGCTCCTAATAAACAAAGTTATATTACTCCAAGAGTGTCACGATTGGTGTGGCGAGTACCTTGAGCACCTCGATGGCGGGCGCCAGACTACCATAGCGTGCGTACACCTTGAGCAGCGCGTGGTACGTGAAAAGATGCGTATCTGCTCTTCCAGACTTCTGCTGCAGCTCGGCCCACAGCTTCTCCGCCAAAGCTAGGCCCTGCTCGGGGCGTCCGCACTCCGCGCACGCGTTAAACAGCGCCGTGTAGGTGTGCGAGCTCGGGGTAAGCCCACGCTTCTTCATCTGGGAGACACGGGACACCATGATAGACTGTCAGGAGAAATAGCGGCTCACAACAATGTATCGGAGGTGGACAAGTATCAAAAAGAGTAGGGGGCACCATGGATTAACTAGGTGAGGCATGAGATTATGGGAGGTGGTCAAACCAATTTCTCGGGAAAATATTTTAAAGGGGGAAAAGAGTGGATTTGTTTAGGGGGCCACCGACATAATCTCAGCCAACAGTGGCAATGTGGAACTTGGCACAGTACGACACATGGATGCTGTGGCGATAGCAAACAATCACACACTTGATGTAATTTAGCCGCACTGGTGCTTATTGCTGCACCAAGTGGCCCTGTGCTGTGGGACGGGCGCCAGCTGCCACCGCTCACATCGTTATAGAGGCGGAAGGCGCGGCGGGTGAGGCCAGCGCGGGCGCATGCCCCGATCAACACCGTGAAGTTGAACTCCTCGGGCTGCAGGCGCTGCTGCTTCAGCCCCGTCTCCTCAAACAGACGGAGCGCCTCCTCCAGCTGCAACAAAAACAAAGATCCCGCGTGTAGCTATAACAGACTGCTAGGGCAAGTGCTGTGAGCGAGCACTTATTGAAGGCCGGCACGGCGCACGAAGAGGTAGGTGGCCAACACAACGCCCGGCCGCCTTTGCCTCCCGAGTGGCGATGTTAACACACTCACACAATGTACTCATTTTGCGGACGAATCGGCTTTAGGGGAGGCCCAGAACCGGTTCAGATAATCGTCACCGGTGTTGGACGTGTGCGGCAATCGGACTCGGGACGCTGCGTTCATTGCGCAGCGCGCTAACCGCAACACTACCGCTCCGCAAATGCATACCCCACCCCACACGCACACACCACCCTACACACCATCGCACCGCACACACAACCCTACACACCACCCCACACGCCACGCCACGTGTACACACCACCCTATACCCCACGCCACACGCCACCCCACACGCCACCCCACACGCACACGCCACCCCACACTCTCACACCATCACACACACCACCCACACCACCCTACACACCACCCCACACTCTCACACACCCCACCCTACACACCACGCCACGCGCTCTCACCACCCCACATGTACACACCACCGCACACACCACCCTACACACCACCCCACGTGCACACACCACGCCACACACCATCACACACTCCACCCTACACCCCACGCGCACACACCACCCCACACACCACCCTACACCCCACGCGCATACACCACCCCACACACCACGCCACGTGCACACACCACGCCCACACCCCACCCTACACCCCACGCACACCCCACGCCACGCGCACACACCACGCCACGCGCACACACCACCCTACACCCCCACACCACACGCACACACCACCCCACACACCACCCCAGACGCACGGTACAGAGCCCGCGTGGCGAGCCGCACCTGTCCGCTCCGCGCCAGGCGCTTGCACTGCACGTGGAACCAGTACGCCGTGTCCCTGCGGCCTCCCCGCACCCTCTCCTCCTCCTCCCCCCCGTCCTCCTCTTCCTCCTCGTGTGTCCCCGCGCTCTTCCTGAAGGAGCGCGCCGCGAAACGACTCGAGAGACTCTTCTCCTCCTCCTCCTCGGCGTCCTCCATCGCCGCCGACTCCGTCCTCTCCCGGCGCTCCCAGGAGGAGGCAGACGCCGCTCGCCTGGATTCCCGCCCGCAGCCTGGACCAGGCCTCCCGCAGCCCGGACTAGGCCTCTCGCAGCCCGCTGCACGCCGCAGCTGCCCCGCGGCGAGGGCTCTGCCGAGCGAAGCCAGGGAGCCCAGGGGCCCCCGGCGGGAGCAGCGCGCTACGGCGGCGGTGAGCATCGCTCGAGGGGGACGGTGGGTTCGTGTGTTCCTGTCGCCCTCCTCCTGTGCGTGCGTGTGGAGCGGCAACTCAAGCGAGCTCCCTCACACGTCAAACGGGTTGACCTTTTAGGAATCGCGGAGAAACGATTCCGCGTGCAAGCAGCGAGAATCGATTCCAAAGGCCCCGACTTACGAACAGAGTCGGCTCCTTCGTCGGGCGGTTCGTAAGTCGGGAACGCAATGGACCGCATCGCACAGCACACAGGGTCAGTGGTACAATGTGTTAAGGGGCCCCATCTTCTTGGTTTTTTCGGTAAAGTCACGTAGAAGGGAAGTAATAAAATAATAAAAAGAAAAGTGTGAGAATTAATATATAATATAAAAATATTATTTAATTATATTTTATATTATTATTTCATTTTAATATGTTTTATTTTTATTATTTTATTACTTCCCTTCTACGTGACTTTACCGAAAAAACCAAGAAGATGAATCCCTGCGGTCAGGAATGCTTTAAATCGAAATGTTAAGGGGCCGTCCATAAATGACGTCACGCGATTTTGGACGATTTTTTACCCCGTCCCCTCGTCGCACGGCGGCACAAGAAGTCAGACCCCCCCCTCAAATATGACGTCACAAAGCTCTGCTCTCCACCCCCCAAAATAAAACATGCTTCAAATCGCTTAAAACTATTGTCATTGTAGTGCGTATTTAATGTGGCGCTGCACTCTGATGTTGTAGGAGAAAACATTTATCAAAAAGTATATTTAATTAAGTAGAACGTGTTGTCTGTATTTTTTTAAAGTTGCGCATTTTGATGTGACGTCACATTTCTCACCCCCCCCTCGTCCCACATCGTCACAAATGTCTGACCACCCCCCCAGGTGCGTGACGTCATTTATGGACGGCCCCTAAGGTACAGCAACACAAAGGGAGGTATTGTTACACTCGTAATAAACACATTCCTGCGGAGGGAGCTGGTAGGAACGTTGGGTTGCCCGGTCAATGGCCTGCAGGGTCAACGGCGGCGTGGTGTATTCCGCAAATATGCCCGACTGTGAGGGCGGGCACAAGCCGGCGTGAGTAGGTTAAACGTTGAGTTTTATAAGGGCACCACGGGGTGACCAGCCCCACCCAACTCAGCCCCACCCCTCTCACCCCCCACCCAGCCCCACCCTCCCCACCCAGCCCCACCCTCCCCACCCAGCCCCTCTCCACCCAGCCCCACCCCTCCAATTTTTGGATGCACGACGGACGGACACAATAATCCCCTGTGGGCTGGTGGAACCAGGTGGTTCCTACCAGTATAAAGTGTACGCTTGCATGTACTGCCGTGAGAAATGCTGTATAGTAAATAACACGTAAAATAAAGGAACACGAATAGAAGCAAATATCAGTTTTTCGTTTCACTTGCCTTGAGCCCTTAGGCTGCTGGCTTGCTTGTCGGAAGGGGCACAATGAGTTCCCACAATAGCACGTCCACACACAATGATCCCCCTTTTCGCTTTAAGTCTGTTGGGGGGGAAATGCTATTCGCGAGCATCGCCTATAAAGGCACGAGACGGCACACGAGGGGGTGGGTGGCCAGCACCACGCCCGGCCGCATTTGTCTCCCCAGTGGCGATGTTTACACACCTTACCAGGTACTCGTTTAAGGCCGAGTCGACCTAGGGGAGGCCAATAACCGGTTCAGATAATCGCTACTGGTGTTGGCCGTGAGCGTGAATCGAACTCGGGTTGCGAGGTTCGTAGCGCAGCGCTAACCGCTAAACTACCGCTCCCCACAATGCACACTCATATTACTGGTAGGAACCTCTGGTTACACCAGCCCACAGGGGATTATTGTGTCAGTCCGTCCGTCGTGCAGGGAGGGGCTGGGTGGGGAGTGGGCTGGATGGGGCTGGTGGGGAAGGGCTGGCCACCCCGTGGTGCCCTTATACAACTCAACGTTTAACCTACTCACGCCGGCTTGTGCCCGCCCTCACAGTCGGGCATATTTGCGGAATACACCACGCCGCCGTTGACCCTGCAGGCCATTGACCGAGCAACCCAACGTTCCTACCAGCTCCCTCCGCAGGAATGTGTTCACGTACGCGCACACACACTGCCAGCGGCATGCTGCGACCCATTACATCAAGGAAGATTGAAGATTGCTCCACTGAACAAAATAGTTCCGCAGTTCGATTCGCTCATGCAAGTTGGCAAGTCGGATGGTTAAAGAAATATACCTGATGGAAGTTCGTTCGTAAGTGCGGATGTTCTTAAGGCGATGACTACCGATACGTCGATACAGGAGCGTGCTCCACACTCCGTCAATGATTCAATGCTGGGAATCTATTTGCTCTGGATTGGGTTTTGTTCTGTCCTATCTGGGCACAGACGATTAAACCAAGTTGAGTGGTTTCAATTCTAGGTTATTCTGTCTCGTTTGTAGCATTTCCTTGCTGGAGTTAAATTAATGCTTGCCCTTGAAGTTTCAAATTACTGGTGTTGGAATTTTCACTTGACCTTCTACAAGATGAGACTGTCATGTAATTTAACAGCTTCACAACTTAAGCCTCACGTCAGCCTTAATTTCACTGGCTCACCACTCATTTATGCTCCCGAAAGTTGAGGACAATTACAAAACGGCCCCACAATTGTTATTACGGTCTTACAACAGCAAAATATACACTACCAAAAGTTTATTTTAGCCTATAAATGGCCCTTCAAAGCAGATTGACGTCTACTGTAGTCAAGTTTACTTCGTATACCACTGGCCTTACTTTTTTTACAACATCTATACCCTTAAGTAATTACTATTATATTTCACCCATCTGTAGTGCTCTCATGGCCACCACTTGCACAACCGAACTGCTATATTTTAATTAGAGCAAAACACATCTGTACTCTTGCCATGGAAATAAGCTTGTGTCCACACAATTCTTTAAGCATAAATTTAATACACATGGTGCCTTTTTTTCAAACTTCCCTCATGTACAATTGTGCACTTACAGGCAATTTCACTTAACAGAACCAGCAAATAAATTATTCTCCATCCTCGTGATACTGTGCCAAGATGCATTGACATTGTGCATATATTAATATTCAAATTTATAAATGAAGTTAAGTTTTGTATGCCGGTGCGGTTAGTTCAACTTGTGGCTTATAAAATTTGCATTTTAATGTTCATTCAAAGGAGACTTTGCAGGGATCCCCTCGACTGAAAAACACTGCCAATAAGTTACTGGAACAAAATCTTAAGTTAATAAGAAAAAAGCTTCCATTATTATGGTTGGTAATTGCTTATTTTCTTCGAGCTGCATACTCATTAAACCACATTTCAATTTGCATCTTCAGTTGCCATTTAGATGACTAATTCTGGACTCAAAAACCACAATAGTTCTGTCATCCCACAATGTTTCAGTACTCTGATCTAGTATTCCAGTTAATGCATTTTTTGTGGGTTCAATAATTCAATCCAGTAAAGGCTGGATATTTCATAGGCATTGGAATACATACCACACCTTCGTTTTCGGCTATCCACGTGATAATGGAAAATGCATGCATCTGTGTGCCCAATTGCACATGTGCGACTGAGGGAGCTGAAAGGGATGATGGCCGTTTGCCAACTACCCCGTGACCAATGGAGGGGATGTGGGTTTTGGATTCGCCGCTTAACATTTGGGACTTTACGGTGACACACCATTTGCAAACCAATCTTTATTTGTATTTTTCTTCCATCCATTTACGTTATATATTTGTTTTCTCACGCCACAATTACATCGCGGTTTTACTGTATCTGCGGCTGCTTAGTTCAGTGTATTTAAAGGTTTGAAAGCAAATTTTCTACTTAAAATGAAGATTCTCTTCTAGAAAAGCACATATGCAAAAAGGACCAACCAAATTAAAAAATACATTGGTAAATACTTGTGGGAATAATAAGAATGGCAAAGAGTAAAACGTTAACACCGATCGTTTAGTGCAAGAATCTCCAGTGTGACACCAAAGTATGTGGTTGAGAATTCACCCCATGCATAATATAGTTTTTTGTAGAACATCTGAACGTTTCTACATTTACAGAGCAAAGATAACATAGTCCCACTGTTGAAGCGCCCTTGAAATGTTTTCTGAAGACGTTTCGGAAATATGCAGACACAACTACTACTAATTATAATTCAGTCATGAGAGCTTATTAAAATGCCACTTCTTTAAACAACCTTTAGGCAGAAAACCCATCATGCAATATTGATGCACAGTGCATTTGCATCAAACCTCAAAATAGATTACACATGTTCACACCAGTAAATACAAAATCCTAACACATTAATGTTCTGCTATAGCGTACAACTACATTTTGCAGGCTAACTTGGAGCAAGTCGACTGGTCCACTCTATGTTAATTATACCAGAACGGTGCAGCAATGAGAAAGGCTTTTCATTCTGCTTTCTTCTCCTTGCGTTTAAGGAGCTTGTTGATCTCTCGTTTTGCCATGCCCACATAACTGCAGATTATCCCTTGTTGGGTGAGTCCAGGAAAGAGCAGCAGAAAAGTCACTGCAATGACATCAACACAATAATTGTTTACAAACAAGTTAAAATGCATGTTCAAATGGGTTTAAACAAAAAATCTTTGACAATGATATTTGGACAAATGTTTTACCTTTTTATCCATGCAGCCCATTGTTGTGGTTTTACTATACAAAATCAGGTAAGTTATGCATGCATAGACATATTTTTACACTCATAATACATGCATCCCATTGTGGGAGTGAAAATACATTTTTTATGATGCATAGTATCAGAATATACAGATTCTCTGGATTCCTATTACTACAGATTGTGCACCATAAGGGCAGTATACTATACATAACTTGTGAATCATGTAGGCATTTTATGATACCCTGATAGATTGTTACCCTCATGATACGTGCATAGTATGTATGTCATGTGTAAGAATCCATCCATAAAAATTTATGCAAATTAAAGCTTCCATTAGGATGATGGAACGGACGAGATTGGATATACAGAATACAAATGGATGAAATAATAATATAACATTTTATTGATTCTTGAATAGAGTTGTCCATAAAATCACGAGATTGCATTCAATCTCAGGGGCACAATTTGTCATTTACCTACTGAACATATATATTCATGAAGCAAAATTATCTCATGAAGGTCATCTTATTCCCAGTCTGTGCTTTTATCAGACGTACCAATCAGGAAAGTAAGAAGAAGGTTATGAACTTGCTGACCAATCCAAGCAGCCAGAGCAAGGACAGTAGTCACGGAGATGAAGTACTGCAGAAAGGCACAGGAGAAAACTACAAGTCAGAGGGGTATTTAAAACACTGTGCTTTTCAAAACTTTCTTTCAGTATTTTTAAATCTCCACACTTGTACTTGAGGAAGGAAATGTTTTCGTACAGAATCTAGTGGAAGGAAATTAAGGTGAGGTCTTAGTAGAATATCATCAGGTTACACAAATAATATCCATCACTGGGTTCGAATCGGCTTCATTGCTAAAATAGGTTATGTTCACTTTAAGAGGGTACAGAAACTTATCAGAAGGGATAAAAAAAAACATGTCATCATTATCAGCGAACGCTATATTGAACGATTTATTTGCATAAGGATGTTTGCTAATCAGCTGTGACGTACCACTTTTGGCTTCTCCTCTTTAAGTGCCAACAGTTGGTGTCCCCAGTGAGCTACAGACAAGCGGGCCTTCACCAGACTGCTGCAGATCTCATGAAAGCGCTGCTGCTGCTCCGTAGTCCTAACACGTACAGGACAAGAGGCAATCACTTCATCTTAAATTGCAGACAATGGCATTGACCGATTGGTTTAAAGATGAACCCCCATGCATTTTATCAGCTGCAGGGTTAAGGATCTGGAAGCACCCAACCACTACCAACATTTCAAACCGCAATGTTATTGGGCAACACTGTACAACTATGCTTTTGCGTTGTCCATGTTATTTGTTGGCAAATTACTCTATTATCACAAACGCGGATATCAGTCAAAAATTGAGCTTTAAAGGATTTTAGCCAACACATGGATCCAGAAATATAATTAAGGATGTGAAAGATGTACACCCACCATTGCTTTGAACTGAGGAACTTAGCAGTGAGGGTTGGAATAAGGTAATCTGCCAGGCAGACCAACATCACCACGATTGAGAGGCCCGTAAGCACAGATGGGTCCAGCCAGTAAATCACTCTGAAACGGCAATGAACACCATTATTTATATGGTACATAATCAGTTCCAGTTCAATGTTGCATCTACCACTTGCTGGGGACAGAGGCATATGTGAACAGTTATACAGGTGGTCCTCGGACCTACATCAGGTTACGTTACGAGACAAGGTGCCGTAAGTCGAAACGACGCAAGTCGAGACTGATTTTCCCAGAGAAACAATGATATAATCGTGGGTTACGTTCCTGACAAAGGCTCCAAAATGCTACTTTTTATACATATGATCACAAATAGAATATTTAATCAACTATCAATGATATGCAAAGAAAAATAATAGTGTTTAGAAAGTTCTTACCTTGATTCTTTGCAATTCCTGGCTTATTTGGCCTGCTACAATCTTTTTAACATCTTCACGAGAGCAATGACCTTTCCTTTTATCAAACAATTTTAAGGATTAAATAAACAAAAAAAAAACTTTAATATTACTCCGAATGCACAGAGGTTTTGCACTGGATCACGTTGGGGAGGCAGATTGACTGGGCGACATTTGTGTGCAGAACCGGCGCATGAGTTGGCGTCATTCTGTAAGTGTGGATCGACATAAGTCGAACAAACTGAAGTCGAGGATCGCCTGTCTATAAAAACGATGGTTATATACCGTGCACAAATAGGTCACTGGACAATTTAAGCAAAAACTGGTTTAGACATGGGAATATGCTTGACTGTGCTTTAGAAGTAAATATATACCCGAGATTAAATATACATTGTTGTAAGTGAAAAGGTTGTATTTGTTAATATCTATAGAAAATTACAAGTTGCACCATGCAAAAGTACTGCACTGGGTGTGGGTGGTCAATTGATCAGGGTGGATCTGAGATGGTCAGATATCCATCATTGTACTGTACACACTGACTATATTAATACAATGACATGCAGGTTCCTATTTAAAATGTTTTGAAATATAAACAAACATTTCAGTGGTTTCCTGCTCAGCTGAGCAAAGTACTGTGCTCATATCCTGTTTACAACATTGAAGCAGTGGTGGAAATTCCACATTCCTTTGGAAAGGATGTATCTATCCATAGATGACAATGACTGTCAACGTCCCCACAGTAGTACTCATTAACATTCACAAAGTACTGTGCATCAAAATGTGTAGTTCGGAACGTACCGCAACAGAACATTGTGGTTCTCACTAAATATTATACAGGAGAGTTGAGGTTGTATTGAACGCAAACTGACACGAACGTAGCTTACAGGAAGATTAAAGTGGTTGCAGAAACGACGAGAGCTGGGTAGTATGGTTTCTCCCAGCGAAGTACACGGTCTGTAGCCAGCAGAGCCTCCCCCCAGCCTTGCAGCTGCTCCTCCAGGCGGGCCGTCTCCTGTGCCTGATAGGACCAAACACCAGCGATTACCACCACTCAGAGGTCGCAAACGGGTTTTGATTCCTTACCCGTACCCGGCCGTACCCGTACCCTACCCGTACCCAGCTGGGTACGGGTAGGGTACGGGTATCGGGTACCCGATTGCGACCTCTGGGATGAAGCCATATTGCAGGCGTGGGTGGATTGATTCTAGGAACTTGAATTGTGAGAAGAGACAAGACGTTGGGAAATGAGTGACAAACAGTTACTCACCGTCTACCCGTACCCGTACCCAGCCGCACCAGGGTCGCAAACGGGTACCCGTACCCGGCCGGGTACGGGTAGCCGGGTATTGGGTAGGGTACGGGTATCGTGTACCCGGTTGCGACCTCTGCCACCACTCACCAGGAGACATGGGGAAAAACCGACACCTGTGGTGGCTAGGTGGCTCAAAGAGTTCAAAACGGCCGTGTAAAAGCACTGAGCGCCAGCTCCACTGACATCCTTGGTTTAAATACAGGCTTCAGCCACTTTAAACCAAACTGGATTTTCAGTGTGGTCAGCTGATTGTCTCAACCCAGTATTTAATTTCTGCACTGCACGAAAATATATTAGATTATTTGTTTTCCACGGAAAAAAACACATGGGCCATGTAAACAATAATTAATGAGTTCAAATACGACTGTGATATCTACTTTCACGAGGCTTTCTCTGCCATCAAGGATATGTTAAACCGCGCACTCGAAGAGTTGTTCGTGACATGACAGAGCGCAACTGCAGGAAAAAACAAAAAAATTGGCCTTAATTGTAAAATCAATCTGAAATATAAACCAAATCCGTCTAGTAGATACTTAATTGAAGCCAGCAGGTTACACCATTGAAAGATGTCAAAAGATACATCAGATTGTCATTTGAAATATCTTGTCACACATTTTTACTGTACTGTGCCAATAAAACAGCAATACAAATATCAAGCATAATAAACAGCAGTCATGTGCTTCCTCCAATATGTACAAGTCAATGCTTGTTATTTTTGGTTTAACTTATAACAAAAAATGTTTAGTGTCAACCTTCTACGAGTTACAGCCGTGACATGGCAACATGACCTCGCGTGCATGCCAGTGCATTTTGCAATGGTACTACAATAATTATCTATTCAACATTGATATTCACAGAACGGGTCTTGTTCATACTATTTGCAGAGGGGGCCTCCAATAAGTATGGATAGAGGGCCTTTTCCTTTTTAAGCTAAAAATTCACGAGATCATAATTACAATCCTATGTTGCAAATGATTTCGTGAACCCATTTAAAGTGACATTGTACGACCTTGTGCACATTAAAAATAATACCATTAGTACACAAGCATTTCATATCACTGTGTATGCTTACATTATATTCATTATACAGTTACCATCATCACCATCAGAAAATATTAATCCACTGCTGGATGAGCCTAAATTGCACGGCATTATAAAATATCCTCGCAGCGACATAACCTCGTTTTTTAAAATTTGAGCTGTTTAGTTATTGTTCGAGTTCTCTTTAGCAGTAAGCGTATATCTAATATTTCACAGGTATACATGTGTCGATGTGCATCACTTGGCTTGTTTCGCTACACTACAGCCGAATTGCTAATGGTGTCCCATTGTTGTATCGGGACCTGGCTAATCCGCAACCTATGCAGTATTAATGAACGTGAACCATGGCCGCGTTGCGGCCGCGACACCAGCTGCTTTAACAACCCCCATCCCCCATCACTCATTGTTTAAACCTCGTCGCCGGTGTGGACCAAAAACTCATTTAGTGTCTTTATAACGTCCACTTTGTTATTGAAGAATGCATTACTGCAATGCTAACATAAGAAACACCGCATCACACGCTGTTTGAAATCGTGACTTAAATGCAGTAGAGCATTATTAGTCAGTGAACACTTTCGTGTCAATTTAAACTATTTAATGATTATCACAATACAGGGGGAAATCTTGTTGAGTGGTATTCGAGAGGCATGGAACAAACACAGTTTCAGAAATTACATTTGACTCTTACGCTCACAATGCATGCGCCAAATGTGCATACTCCATTACAGTCCTGTATTTCCCATTCGTATACTGTGCGTTGTTTGTTAACGTAAACTGTGAAAGCACTCTTAAGAGATTATACATTCACAACATGGTAATCTATTATTAAAATCAAATCGTGATCATGACCCATGACAGACAGACAATTCATTGTGTCATGGGGGTGGAGACTCCATACCATGCCGGGTATTTGGCGAATTCCACAATGTTAACCTCCGGGCGGTCCATAGTTTAACAGACAGCCATTTGAAAAGCAACAAATGCATTATCTGGCCCTCTTAACTCGACGGATAGGATGGTTGTGTTCACCACATCCAAACTGACTTTGTTCCATAATCTTAGGTTTTTTTCCTTTGTTCCACCGAAGCCTAGGCACAACATCTACTTATCCTAAGTGTCTAAGATGCATGCGGCCAAGCTACATAAACCACCTTAAGGCGATGTTCGCCTGCGGTCATTTATACAGAAACTGCAAGGGTGGGGGTGACATCTTTAAAAGGTGTTTTTACGAAACCACTTTAATGTCGAGATTTACAGCAAGGGATGGATGCAGAAACAGTATTTCACCACAGAGTTACTGCAACACTGCGGGACTGGGTAAATTTTCCAGACAGCAAATAATCCCACATCAGGTGGCCACAAATCCTGGCCTGGGATGGTATTTTGTGCCGCGTCCTTGCCTCCGACAATATTTACGGCGTTAACAGATCTCAATAAAGACAGACATAATATAAATACCAAATCTTACTCTACAACACGGCCACACACTGCGACACGTGTCTAAAAAAACCCCACTACTATACACTTTTACACAATAATTTGAGACGCAATTAAAACATGAACAGGCCGCTTAGGTCCCCACGGGCTGCCTGGGCCCTCTCGCATCTCAAACTCCCCGGGGCCAGACCCCGCCAGCAACAGCAAGGCCACAGCAGGCCCCCTGCATCGCACAGACCCGGCCAGACCCACCCAGACCTCTCGTCACACGATGGTTGGATTTTGTGCTATAAACGCACCAAACTCAACCTCCTAAAAGCCATAAAACAATGCACGAAGCAACCAAAGCCCCGCAGGACACACAAGACCCTGGCCATCACCGCACAAACCCGACACAACTCTCTCTCTCTGTGCACACCGAGACCCCTGTTTGTGTAACAACAAAGACAAACCCCTTCGACAGTATCCAGCCTTCTTTAGGCCATTACCATGGACCCCCCCGCCCGCCCACCTCCTCCTCCTATACATCAACAACAACAGCAACAACAACAACCCGCCAGCAAGCAATCCTCACGTCCCAGACTGGAATGCGACGCGGCAGGGAAGGCCAAACACCACGGGCGAGGCGACTAAATCCTCGACTCTGCTCGCTGTTGTTGTTATTGCTGTTGTTGATATTGCTGTTGTTGTTGCTGCTGTTGTTGTTGTTGCTGCTGTTGTTGTTGTTGATGGCCGCGCCCTTCGCGAGCGTGTTAGTGGCCACCCGCCCGCGAGCGAGGCCTCTCCCCGCCGCCCCAGATAGGCCTCACTGCCTCACCACGGCGCTAGTGCTCTTGTTGTCGCCGTCCATATCGCTGCTGTGGCTGCCCAACACCGGCCCCTGTCTCTCTCTCTCTCTCCCTGTGTGTGTCCGTGTGGAGGTAACAGCGGTGGTGGTGGTCGTGGTGGTTGTGTTGTTGTTGTTGTTTGCTGCTCCGAGCGAGTCAAAAGGCGACTGCTGCTGCTGCTGAGCGGATCCAGCGCCCGTCACTGACGACTGAGGGACCGCCCACAATGACGTCACACACCTGGGGGCGGGGCGAGGGGCGGGGGGCGGGGTCAGACATGTGTGACGAGGGGGGGGGGTGAGAAATATGACGTCACATCAAAATGCGCCACTTTAAATAAATATAGACAACACGTGCGACTTAATTAAATATACTTTTTAATAAATGTTTTCTCCTACAACATCAGAGTGCAGCGCCACGTTAAATACACACTACAATGACAATAGTTTAAAGCGATTTGAAGCATGTTTTATTTTTTGGGGGGGGGGGGGGGTGCAGAGCTTTGTGACGTCATATTTGAGGGGGGGTCTGACCTTTTGCGACGTCGTGTGACGAAGGGGGGGGGGGGCAAAAATCGTCCAAAATCGCGTGACGTCATTTATGGACGGCCCCTAAGGGGTGGGTGGGTGCAGCTGAGATGAGAATGACGGTGGCTCCCTTATCCACAAACCAAACCCGGACAAATATCTCAGTCGCCTCGGTCTATCAAAACTGTGCAGTTTACTTAAATACAGTTCAAAACAGAATCACAAGATCTCGATACAAAACAATTCCCGCCACCCGGACCATTATGCAAATCCCAGAGCTGTCCAGGTCAAACCAGGACTAGTGACAACCCTATAAATGGACCATACACTTCCAAATAAAACATAAATGTTTGTGTACCACACACAACCAGCTTGGTGACTGCATCTCTTGCAAAAACAATGTCCTTATAGTGATAGGTTTTTATCCTTTCAACTGGTACAAAAACTGACACCTTTATACAAGGCATCATGTTTGCAATAACCACAACACAAGCAGTCAAAATGCAAACTTAAAATAATGTCCTTGTCATGGCGTGATTAGTAAGACGCAGAAAGCTAGAATAGCTTCAGGGAACACTTGAGATGAAAAAAACTTTATTTGGCGCTTTCGTGACTGGTTCTTTCTCAAATTTCACCTTAACCTCTAATTTAGCAATCATTGGAAGAACGTAATCAACTAGGCCATAAGTTAATTGTGGGTTGACCGACTCTGTGTTGCATTGCATTACATTTCCAAATTGTACTAAGTTTGTTTGATTTAGTGTGGTTTCTCTCTCTCTGTCTCCCCTCGTTTTGTTGCTTTGTTTCCTAATATTGCGCCAAGTTTTCTCATTGTCATTCTAATTTCGCTACCCCCCCTCTCTCTGCCCCCCTCTCTCTCTATTTAAGGCCTCGACATAGAGGCGTTGTTTCTCTGTGTACCTATGTGTGTGTCTCTCTCTGCGTGTCTCTTGTGTTATCTCTCTCTGCTTTTGTGTCTGTCTATGTGTCTCCGTGTCTGTGTTTTGTCTCTCTCTCAAATTTAGCAATCTTTGGAAGAACGTAATCAACCAGGTGGGGTGTTGACTGTTATGTTAGCCGACTCTCTGTGTTGTATTGCATTATATTTATAAGTTTACTAGGTTTGTTTTCTTATTCATTTGTACCTGATGATGATTGCTTGTGTTGCAATCGAAACGTTGTATGCTGTTATTTAATTGTTTATTTTCTCTTTCTACGTGACTTTACCGAAATAACCAAAGAGTAACACCTGAGAGGACTTGCCATCTCATCGCTAACCTCACCAGAGCAGTCACTGAATATTTTATACCTTGCGATGTTGTAGCTCTTCTGACATTGCCCATCTGTGCTCGATTTCAGAACTTCCACGATTCGTGGTGCTGCCACCAGGTGGAGGCATTTAATTTTGTCTTGACGGCCCAATGCAAGCATCGGATCCTGAATTAAGTCCACGATCTCACCTTTCCCAAATACAATACAAATTATTTGGTGGTACTGCGTTGGCAGTGGTGGATGAGGGCCATTGCCCGAAACGTCGCCTATTATGTCTTTATGCGGTTCTATGCTTTTCGTGCGGGTGGCAATTTGTTCAGGAGCTAAATGCCACGTCTACGTTTGCTTGCCACAAGAGGGCGTCACGAGAGAGTTCGTATCGTGTTGCTGCTATTCCTCCTCCATTGAAGCAGCTAAGACTATAGTGGTTTGCTATGTGGTCCATAGTTTGGCTTGCATGGCCACACTCGCACTAACTTGGCGTGTCTTAAAATTTGCAATGATAAAGAAGTGCCTGTTGATGGTCTGATGTTATTTATGGTTCTACCAGCGTTTTGGGCGGAATTCAAGAAGGTGTGATGTTTGGGTCTGGAATTAGGCGTTTATTCTGGGCGTCCGTGTTGTTCCACTGTTCGCCAGCGTGTTATTTTACTTTGTGTAAGTTTAACACGTAGGCTTTCGCGACCAATATTATTCATAATCAACGTTTTTGGGTTTAGATCGCGTTATTTATAAATGTGTTACGACACATTTATAAATTTACGACCCTCCACCACCCGACACGGCCAATTAGCAAAAAAGTGTCACGTTGACAAAAGACAAATAGTTCACTGCTTTTGCCCACCGGTGTGTTACTTTGTGTAATTTGCCGTTACTGGCGAATGTGTTCAGTTTTTTTTTTAACTACATTATAGGACTCTGCAAATGGAATGTGTCTTGCGGACACATTCAGGGACATTAAGATACACGTGTTGCAGGCTATACATGCACCGTAGATTCAGGATATAAATACACTCCTTTGGAGGAAGACCTGCCTTGCTTATATCCGAAGTATGCTTGTATCAGAAGTGACCACCAGTGTAATGTAAGAAAATAATTCAACATATTCGTCAATAACATTGAGAAAATCTAAAATATATAACATGGCATTTTTGGCAATAGCCAACACATTGTCACCAATTATAATGAGTGTAACGTAAGGACGCGTTGCTTTGATCAGAACAGCTTATATTTGGAATTTCACTGAGATAAAGAACGCACGGATCAGGGAACAAGTGCCTAATTTTATACATCATGACTGTTTAGAAAATACTTAGTGGTCTTAGGCAGGACACTTTACGATAGGGGATGATTGCCTATGGACGAGATTGGTGATTGAATGTCAGCCAAAGTAGGGAACACACCGAAAAAGGATGATCACCGCGCACGTGGAGTGATGAGACCAGCTTATGTGCAGGAGCCAGAGGGATTGATTGTTGCATTACAGGACGGTGAAGATTGGTGACAAATTTTCACATTTCAGCCATTGTATGTTTTAATAAAAATGAATTAATTTAAAAGCATTGAAAGACACTACCATTGATTTTTTACACAACTGGAAATATTATATTATTATATTTTAACCTTGTAGTTTACGTAGTTTAACTGTATTATGTGGACTGCCCTGCAGTCAGTGTGTGCTATGAGCGCATATACTGTACTGTTTACGTGTAGGAGGCATGTAATGCCCAATATAATACAGTATTTTATCCAGAATTTTTTTACATTATTAACTGCAAATTGGGAATGACAGAGCACTGCACGCATGACTGTGTATATATAAAAGAACTACAATGTACAGATTATAATGATAAAAGTACACTTGAAACAAAACTTGTATTCCCATATCCCTTAAAACGTTAAAAAATAATTTAGCAGTACACAAGATAGGGAACGCTTTAAATGAACGCAAATCCGCTTTAGCTGGCAGATGGGCGAGTTTGCACAATTGTGATCAGCGATGAGATTTGACAAACACGTTGGCTCTGTGTGCATGCCTGCATGAATGTGTGTTAGTGTTGTACCTTCCACAGATAAGGACCGAGACAAACGTCAAGTTGATAAGGTGAAAGAAATTCATAGCTGACATTTCATTACCTGACTGAAAGAGCAAATATTTTAATAACTAATATTACAGTGTCTTCATTATGCTTACTAATTCAAAAACGTTAGTGCAGTGTGCTCTATTATGCATACATTTACTGTTTTTATATATATTTGACGTTCCTGCTCTACTTTGAAATAGTTTAAGTTGATCGTAAGATGACACATTGTGAGTATAAGCAAAATTGCTGTAATATACGAGACTAGGAATGTGTGTTTTCACTCACAGACCTCAAAAAGACATCAACCAGACTCAAACTGTGATTGAGACCACACGCACAGTACTGGAGGGTCTCAGGCAGATCTACGGTTCAGAACCCTACGAAGTTGTGTCTCTGTTAGGGAGCCACTCATGGAACTTAAAACTTCGTGTAATGGGGACCATTTTTTCCAGACGACAGTCAATGTGGACTTCCAAAAATGCGGTGCTCATTTTGTCAACGTCACAGAAACGATGAGCTGAGGCGACTCCTGGACAAGATTTGAAGTATATTCTTAGGTTTTGACTTTACCGAAAAAACCTAAGAATATGAATCATTGCAGTCACGAAAGCTTCAAATCTAGAAGATTTGAAGTCGCTACTTTCCGAATGTGTCGAGAACTCCACCAAAGGGCCATCTCTCCAGAATTATGGGCCGAGGTAAAGTTTTCCCTCGTTTGTGCGTGTAAAATTTTGGTGCATTTAATATTTTTTTCTGCTTCGGCATAGCTGGTTCATGGTTGCACCCAGTTTTCCCCGCACGCATGCGCATGCCTACGCACAGGGGTCTTACACACACTTCACCGCTTTCGCTGAAGGGAGTCAGACTGACATGTCCAGGATTTTATCGAAGGAACTTGAAAACATTTCAGCTTTGTGGGCAGATTCCATTCCGGATGAGGACATTGATAAACAAGAACACAAGCACGATCGAAATATGAGAAAAATACAATAATTACCAGAATACACCGTCAACAAGTATATTTTCTATGCTGTCAACACCATGGCATTTGGACTGTGGAGACTTACTCCAAGCTACTCCCGTCTACTTCAGGTACGATTGATGAAGTTATAACCGCTTTATCCATAATAAAGGAAACGTTGTATTCGAATTGTAAATGTTATGGGTTTACTCTCCAACACACCGGTTTGCTGAAGTAGTAACTAACTGGCACGTTTTGTTTACGTGACGAACCTTACTAATTGGCTGGCGGGTGGTGATGGTGTTGGGTTTAAAGACACATTTATGGATGGATGATATTGGTCTCGGAAACCTACGTGTTAAACTACTTCCAGATTTTATATCGAAAAGGAAAATAAAAAGTACTTTGAGGTACTAAACAAATACTGTAAGAAAAATGTATTATGATGCATGTTATTTCCTAATTGAATGTGTAATTTTTATTTGGATGTTATTGCTTATTAAGGAATTGTCATGCAATGATATTGGTGCTTGTAACCCAGTCTCATAGGCAATTGATCTGGATCATTGTGGAAGCACACGGTATATTCTAAAATTAAATGCTGAATATACAGACATAATATGTAAATACTGAAGGGGAAATATCTACGTTTGAGTAATGCGCGTTTAATATGAATTGCACCAACGCAATTCAATTTCCATTTGCATTCACTTTACTGACTTTACTGGCACCAAAATACAGACCGTCAACAGGAATTATAGCCAGTGGTTGAGAATAACGATAAAGTGGCATCCGAGGGAATGTACACGCTCGAGGGAACGTCCACGGAGGAGATGGAGCGATGAGGCCAGGTTGTGTGTCGCAGCGACATGGATCGTTGTAATGCGAGAATGTGAGAGATGGCGACAGCTTGGGGAATCCTTTATTACGGCTGATGAGGGTTATGATTGGTACAGGTTAATACAATATTCGTGTTGCTTTTGTCCCTGGGTCACTCCCTATAAGCAGTAATTACATTTAATCTATGTAAAGTCAACATACAGGGAAATGTCAGATGCTACTGTACATGTCCTGGAGGCCATCTTGCGAAAACCTTCATTATTTCTTTCCACTCATCCAGTGTCATCTTTTTTAAAAATGCAATTGAGGTCAGACGTCTATTATTCTTTGGTTTTTTCTGTAAAGTCACGTATAAAGATAAAATAATAAATTAAATAATTGTTAATCTTTATACGTGACTTTACCGAAAAAGCCAAAGAATAATTCCTGCAGTCACAAAAGCTCCAAAATTAAGATTCAGACGTCTATTTTTAAAGGGAGACGTGAGTAAAATAGAGACACTGAGGCAGCAAAGGTCATGGTGCAATATATTAATACGCAGAGTCAAATATCATAACAGCAAGAGCACAGCAAGAGCAAAATAGGTTTGCATGCAACATATCCATAGAGTTAAACATCATAACAGAGTTAGAGATCACAATCAGTAAACACCTTGATAGCAAACATGTTCTAACGTGCAATCATTTAAACGTGTTACCATTTTTTCCATATTACATGACTAGTCTCATCATGTACATCCCCAGTAAACATGAAACGTTGGACCAATGTTGGCCGAACTTTCCATGAATACTGTGCCTGCTATAACATCTCAGTCTCAATGCCATCCTTATACCTGAGGTCAGATGACCATGACAGACGCATGTTTACTAGTAACGAATTGGCATGTTTACTAGTAACGAATTGGCATGTTTAGTTTATGTGACACACATAATTGGCTGCGTTGGGTGGTGGCGGGTTTAACAACCCAATAAAACACCTATTATGGATAATATTGGTTGCTTTCCAAATTTAATTATCTTTTATTGAGAATCCCATCCAAATGCTTACAGCATGCTATTATTACAGATTTCAAAATGCTCGCTTTAAAAAAACGAGTGCTTTAAAAATGGAATTTAACACCAAGAAAATCGTTATAATTTTTGGGATGTTATTAGAACCAGGTCTCCGCCGGAGTGGAGATGACAAAGTCTGCAGATGTCCGTCTGAACCGTCTGGCCATCCTGCTTGGCCTCCTGGGCATCGGGGTGTCATCTTATGCAGTGCAGAAGATGGTTCACCTCAAACGTGTGTAGATGTGAACTACTGCATCGCATCTCCACAGACTCCATAGCCCCCTTGCTCTACATACTGCCCAAATGGGCGGTACATGCTGAAGTATTTCCGAGTGGTATTACTAAAGGCATGCTTAGTTGTCATCACCTGTCTATATACAAGCGAACAATTCGGTGTATTCTGTCAGTTCACCTGTAGTTAGATTGAACCAGTGGAAAAGGACCCAAAGTGTACTATATACATATATAGCGATTTTTTAAATCAATGTATGAGGGTCTCAAGACGTTGTGCATGCAGGTCGTGGGAGTTTTTTGACCGTACGTCACCACACTTGTCGGTGCGGGTTGCTGAAGGTGGGAAGGAAAGACGTGGGATCATTGTAAAGTACAATTGAGGGTGTTGTGCTGCTCGCAACGCAGCCCTGCAGCCTTTAACACCTGTTATGCATGATGGTCGCCCATCCAAGAACTATCCAGGCTTAACTCTGTTTAGCTTCCAAGATGTGACGAGATTTGGTGCATTCCGAGTGATTTGGTCATAGGTGTAAAGGGAATATGCAATGCTATTCAAAGTGTAAGTATTGGGCTTGTGATAATATTTGTTGGTGCAGCTGAAAAATCCATATTCTCACAGTGGGAGCCAGTCTTTCTATAAGAACATTCAATCCTGACTTTCCACAATGTGGTACAGTACTGAAAAGCAGATTTGACTCGCAAACGGGAGTTGAACTTACAACATTCCTATTGTAAGCCTAATGATCTAACCACCGTGCCATCCAGATGATTAATGCTATATATCCACGAAAGCTTCCCTGAGTCTTAAGACTGTATTTCAATAGGGCTCTACTGGGAATATTTGGCTCAATCAGTGTTTTTTCCTGTGGAAGAAAACCAGAGTATTTCACGAAATCCACACATATGAGTACACAACACTCCAGAAATGCATTATGCTGTGTATGTTATTAAAATAGATACTTAATTTTGTATTGCACAAAATCTGTTTACATTACGATTGCTCGCAAACTATCAGTCCATGGGACAAACCCATTTTAAAATAATAATTTCACACTTGCTTCTGCATTATCATCATGGAGTTAATCTATTCCTGATGACAGTCTATCTCAATCTCTCTGCTGAATGGGTGAGTACATGTTGTGGTTCTGCTACTGCTTTGCCTTCAGAATCTAGGACTGTGATGCATGTGTCGGACACAGGGGTGATGGGGTACATTCTAAGCCTGTTGTTTCTAAATGGCTGTGCAGGTGGGGCCGATGTAATTGACCGTGATTAAGGAGAACACGTGCGACACTGCGAGGGACAAAATGTTGTCCCTCATGATTCCAGACCTTACATAAAGGATCACCAAGTCCATGATGTTGCTAGACCACCAACAACCACCTTGCAGATCCCATGTGACCAGCTACTCAAGCTCAAACATTTTACTCGTCATGAAGGGACTTCATCAAGAAGTCATCCAGAAGTCCCTCGCTGCCTGGATTGCCGTTTCCACATCGTTCCGAGGGGCTTAAATTTGGTTATCATCTTCCTGTGCCTAGTCTGGGATATTTTTTTTGTGGAGGCAGTCACAGGTGGAGTTGGACCATCCATGAAACCACACTCAACACCACCGGAATGCGTGGATTGGTGGTCGCCACTCATTCTATCTGACCCACGTCCATCTGTCCATTTGCCCTTTCTGCCCATGTCTCTCACTGTTCATATCTCCCTCTTTCTGCCTACAACTCTATCTGCCCATGTTCATTCCTTTTTCCATCTCTCTACCTATCAATTACCCTCTTCCATTACGTTTAAGTTCCATATTGTTCATATTACAGTATGTATAATGTCTAGTGTTATAGAGTCCTTATGATCCTCGGGTATATTATTAAATGATTGTGATTGTTGCACGGTTATGCCCCTTAACATTATTTATCTAACCCAAAAAAAACCCTCTATTAGGGGTTATTGAGCATATTGTAATATCAAGTGGTGTCATGTGTATGTAAAACTGGGATATACTGTACAGAGAAGTGGGATTTAACTGGGGGGAAAAAAAGATATGTTTGTATATACGACTGTACATGAATGTTTATTCATTGCCCTTGTGACTTGAATAACGCCGCTGTGACTAATAACGTTGCCGTGAATGAACAACCGATCGTTGATTAACGTTGTCGAGTAATCGTCAGTGCTGTAGACACAATTTACGAAGCGCACCCATTAAAGCACCCGCAGTCTGCAAGCCACTGCACGTACAAATATTGTAGTTTTCGTTCAAACGAAAGCCCTTGAATTGCGAGCGTTATTAATTTAACGGGCGACGGCAGAGCACAGGCGAGGGCATTGTCTCTGCTGTTGTGCGTGTCTGGACCGCCACTCTTCGTCATGCTCCACTTGTCATCGATGTGTTGTTTCGTGCTCCAGTTACCATGCCCCACGCATTTTTGCCTGCAAGGCAGGTTCACCGCTTTGTTCGAGGCTTGTTCTGGGGCCAGCAACGCGACATTAAAAAGAAAAATAATAATACACGGATCAATATTACATCGAACCGGCAACTGAATTTGGGAGAAAAAAAATAATATCGCGTAATTACACGATGCATCCCGCACGTGTAACTTTGCATTAACTTTGCACTCAATTTAAACTCCATGCTAAGTCGTTACAATTGTTTTATTTTCACCATTGCACAGGAGACAGGCTTGACAAGGGTGATTTATAATTTAGGTAGATCCACTGTACACACGCAGTCCTGTATCTAGGAATCCCCAGAAGGGTCCTGCATTGGGATGTTTGGACAATGCCATTAATACTCCTGCCCCGAAGCTTTCGCCGTTGTGTCGCATCGCTTTCCGATGTGCTTTCGAGTTGTACCGCGTGTTGTTTGGCTTAGATGTCTGACGTTTCGCTCCATGTGCTGCTGAGAATGTTTTTGTTACAGTAACTGAATTGAGTTTTTTCCTAAAGAAGCCCCCACCATGGACACTGAACGACTATATTCCTAAATTGTTATTTAAAGCTTTCGTTACTGCAGGGATTCATATTCTTGGTTCTTTCAGTAAAGTCACGTAGAATGGAAATAATAAAATATACAAATATATTAATGTTTATTTTATTTTTTATTTCCCTTCTACGTGACTTTACCAACAGAACCAAGAATACTATATCCCTTATTTAAAAAAAAAACGTCAGTGTCTGGAGAGAAACGCATTTTATATAGGCGTGATGCTTAACACTGCCATCTCCTGGCCACCTCACAACTCCATTCCTACTTCGCCTGGCAAGCCCTGGGGGCCACCTATCCAACAAGTGCTGACTTGGCTTGCACATCTTCGTTTTTGAGAACCAACAACATTGGGTGCGTTTCGGGTGATTTTGTCAAAGGCAACCATAAAATCAGATTAGGTAAGTATGTTGAAACGCTGTAAATACACCGTGCAAATAAAACATACGTGTATAGTCGTATAGGAAAAGATATAGTCATTAAGTTTGGCTTTAAGAAATTGAAGAGGGCTAAAGCAAAGCCAACAGGAGACATTTCTAAACATGTTGGTGCCAGGAGATATACAGTACAATATGGGATTCACTCGTGTGGACTTTTGAACCCATCATCGTGAACTTTTGAGTTGTCCCATCGTGTGTGTGGTGCGGTTGCTCCTGGTGATCCCAATGTCTTATTCTATGCAAAGTAATCCTTAAAAAGGAACTGGCCAAACATCCCAATGGAGCACGTTCCTCCTCTTGATACTCCGCGAGTGTGGTATATGTATAACACGTCGGCGTTTACGACCAATATAATCCATAACCACATTCCTGCGGAGGGAGCTGGTAGGAACGTTGGGTTGCTCAGTCAATGGCCAGGGTCAACGGCGGCGTGGTGTATTCCGCAAATATGCCCGACTGTGAGGGCGGGCACAAGTCGGCATGAGTAGGTTAAACGTTGAGTTTTATAAGGGCACCACGGGGTGACCAGCCCCTCCCCACCCAGCCCCACCCCTCCCACCCCCCACCCAGCCCCACCCTCCCCACCCAGCCCCTCCCCACCCTCCCCACCCAGCCCCTCCCCACCCTCCCCACCCAGCCCCTCCCCACCCTCCCCTCCCCATCCCTCCCCACCCAGCCCCTCCCCACCCTCCCCTCTCCACCCAGCCTCACCCCTACCATATTCTTAGGTTTTTTCGATAAAGTCACGTAGGTAAAATATCAAAATTAATAAAAATAAAATAAAGATCACGACGTTTCGGAGGCAACACAAGTCTCCGTCATCAGGTGGGACCGTCACAGCCAGATTAGCTGCATCAAGTGAGGCAATGATTCAAGATGTAATCCCTTAAAAGCGAGTTGAGGGGGGAGGAGAGGGGAGGGAGCTCATCAGAATGTGGTAGCCAATGAATGGAACGTATCGGGAGGGAGGGGGGCGGGGCCATTTTTGGATGCACGACGGATGCACGGACACAATAATCCCCTGTGGGCTGCTGGAACCAGGAGGTTCCTTCCAGTATAAATGTTGTTTTTGAGATAGAACGCGTAAATATAAATGTGTCGTTAAAGCCGTCACTACCCAACATAGCTAATTATCAGCAGAAAATGTAGCCATGCCGGACGCGATGTGTAGACTGGTAGAATTGAGAGTGCATTGTTGTCGTTTGGACGAATGAGAGACGTCGGGAGAGATGAGACAAAATTACACGTGACACATTTTATAAAGGCATTGCAAATTATTTATCTCCTACAAAATCACCAATTACAGTACATTATAGAGCTTTATTAATCGTGCAGACTTTGTCGTAAGTTTATACAGCATCGAATTTATACATATGCTTAGAAAATTGTTGTGCAATATTTTGTCAATTCATATGAAGTGCAATAAAAAAAATATAACAGTGATATAAGCGCAATAGCATTGAAAATGATTCACCATTACTGTCCTCTGATTATGGTAAACATTCCAGAACGCTTGATCAAACTGGCTCTCGGTATCACATGTGACAGATTGTGCTCTGCTTGAGGCAATAAAGAAAATGGGAAAAGGACACAAGGTACGGTCGCTTTGTTACAATGATAGAATGCATAGTCTAATGTGACTTGTTGGGAAATGCTGAAAATGATCATTACATGACACCAGTTACAGCGGTGTAGGGTTTATTTTTTAATCAGTTGTGCTGTGTGGTTCTTCAATGTGTTTTCAGGTTGTGCCGGGTGTTGTTCTGCATCATGTCTGACTTTTCGCTCCGTGTACTGGGAGCTTCTTCAATTCCTGACATCGTTGTTGCGTTCCAAAAGAAGCTCCCAGGGGCCGTCCATAAATGACGTCACGCACCTAGGGGAGGGGGGGGGGTCAGACATTTGGGACGATGTGTGACGATGGGGGAGGGGGGGCGGTGAGAAATGTGACGTCACATAAAAATGCGCAACTTTAAATAAATATAGACAACGCGTTCTACTTAATTAAATAGACGTTTTAATGAATGTGTTCTCCTACAACATCAGAGTGCAGCGCCACATTAAATACGCACTACGATGACAATAGTTTAAAGTGATTTGAGGAATGTTTAATTTTTTGGGGGGAGCTTTGTGACGTCATATTTTAGGGGGGGGGTCTGACTTTTTGTGACGCCGTGTGACGAAGGGGGGGGGGGGTTCAAAAATCGTCTAAAATCGCGTGACGTCATTTATGGACGGCCCCACAAACACGAGGGAAATTATGTCAGACATCGTGCCAAAGCAGCACGAGGATCATTCCTGAAAACGCATCGGAGAGACGTGCAGTGCAGCAAATCACGACTGTGCTTTCGGCTGCTGTAATGTGTTGTATGATCAAATCCGTAAATGGACCTCATGATCTGTAAATCTGCACCAGAGTGTGGAAATGGGGAGTCTACGTATTTGGTTCCCAGAGGCAAGATTTTCAGCAGTGAGCATTGGTGACTCTACTGTGCTGATGAGTTCTCATGAGAACAAAACCGGTCTACAGTTGTCTGTGTCCATAATAGAGGGTTTTTTTCGGGTTAGATCGCGTAAATATCTAAATGTGTCGTTAAACCCTCCACCACCGACACAGCCAACTAGTAAGGGTTGTCACGTTTGCAAGAGTGGCAACAATGAATTTAATCAGGAACTGCTGATTTTTGCATACACTGCGCAAAGGCTGCATGCTTTTGTACACGTTTCCGTGTGTTTTTTTGACTTGTGCTCTACGAGTTATCTCCATATATAAAAAAGACAAAGTTGTGATTGTGTGTCTATTCCAAATCTTTAGCGTACTTCCCGACATGCAACAAACTGGAAATTTTCTTTGTGTGTACTTTCCAGACTGTACACCATGCAAAAATGATAAAAAATAAACATTTTTTTGGGGGGGGGAGCTCAACAATGCAGATATTTTTTGCACGGCAAGTGAGCTGTGACGTCAAATCTGTCACGTGACCCGCGCACGTGGAAGCGTAACGCATTGTAGTGTAGCGGGTAGTGCGCTGCGCTACGAACTCAGCGACCCGAGTTCGATTCCCGCTCACGGCCACCACCGGTAACGATTATTTCAACCGCTCCTGGGCCTCCCCTAGGTCGACTCAGCCTCAAACGAGTAACTGGTGTTGTGTGTGAACATCGCCACTGCGGAGACAAAAGCGGCCGGGCGTGGTGGATCCATGTCCCCGGGTAGTACAGATAGTCACTTATATACGATGTCTCAATAGTCCACTAGAAGGCAGCAAATCACCACGTTGGAGAAGATAGTGGTGGCATTCTGTGACGCTAAATCGAATGGAGGCATTCCGCCCAACCATGGTGATTTAAATGTGAAGTATGATTGTACTATACTGTCTTCATCAACCACGATCTATCCACTACTGGATGAAAGTCTCGCCAAGTAGAATTTAAAATTGCTGGGGGAATTGTATGAAGATCTCTATACATTAGTAAAAAAATCATCCAGGAATCAAACTTTTCTCAAGTATTGTTTTGAAGAGTACAGTATACAAGTAGCTACTTTTAATTCCAAATATAGTGCTATGTTTGTACTTGTAACGTGCCGCACACTATTTTATCACTCTCGAAGAGAGAGAACGACCAATAGGCACGAGGAGGAACCACAACGACAGGCAGCAAGGCAGTCAGTGGGCGAGCAGGCGCTAACAATTGCCCAAGCTCTGCGGTTGTCTATTTATTAAGATGTTTCCAGCCAGTTAATGATTGTTTTACATGTGGGATGAAACCGGAGCACCAGGAGAAAACGCACAGCGTGCAAAGGGGCAACACTCTATCACATACAGATGGCACAGATCACATTTTGGCAAGTTTAAATTCTAATCACAAACATCAAGCTGATTGTTAATCTTTTCTCACTGTTACCGTCCCTCTTAGCTTCACCTGTTGTTTGGTTAAAATTGCGTCTGTTATGATCCAGTCCCCCCCCCCCATCCACATTCAGCGATGAACTGCACAAGCGCATCGATCACGATCACAATGGCTCTAAGACTGGCACATGGGGAAACCGCGTGGGCAATTTGTCAAGGGGTTAGCAGCATTCCCCTTTTTCGTTTTCAACACAAACAGTTTCCCGTTGAACTGTGACAAAGAGGTTCGCGTTTCCGAACGAAGAGGACCAGAAATGTCTGGCGTTCTTCCGCTTGCGGTTACGTTATTCTGTTTGTACAAAAACTACAGACGTACTATAGACGGGGCGGTGGAAACTGGCGGAGGGGGGGGGGTGGTTTGTGGGGGGAATTTCCCCGTGACGTCTCAGCACGTGGAGCGTGAGGCTCAAAGACCGCAGGTGTGTGTGCGTGCGTGCCTTGGGGGTCGTCTTGACGGTACATGCACATATTTGTACCCACATGAACACACACACACACATTACGCATTCACGTCGACGTTCATGTGTGTACCCTGCGAAACACATGAACACGACCCTCTTGACATCGAGACACAGTGGCACAATGCAGACGTTGACGCGCATGACAGGCACTGTGTGTGTGCGCACACACACACGCGCATTAACAGAGACGCACTCGCTGTTCTCCGCGACACGTTAACACACCGAAGCGTACACGTGGGTGTACATGTGAACACATCGACACACTCGTTCGCCGCCAACTCAGGACGCATCGACAAAGACAAAGACCCCCCGTGTAGCCTCTAACAGACTGTCGGGGCAAGTGCCGTGAGCGAGCACCTGTGAAGGGCCGGCACCGTGGCATACGAGGGGGTGGGTGGCCAGCACCACGCCCCAGCGGCGATGTTTACTACACACCGCTAAACCAGGTACTCATTTGAGGCTGAGTCGACCGAGGGGGGGCCCAGGGACCGGTTCAGATAATCGGGAATTGAACTCGGGACGCCGGGTTGAAAGGGCTGCGCCACAATAACCGCTACACCAACGATCCCCATCAACATAGACACATGAACAACAACAACAACCGCCATTCACCACTAAGTGGCAGTGACGTCATCACGGCGCTTGTGCCAGGCTACGTGCACGTTGAGGCCACGTGAAGTGTCAAACGCCCGCTGGCAGGTCAAGGGGCAGACCCAGGTGCCACGGGTCGACTGACTGAGATGACCGAGATGAGTGGCTGATGCACCACCTTTGCCCCCACTGTGCCAACTTGCTGTGCTTTAGCCACCCGGCGCTCCGCTCGTTGTTGTGAGCGTCTCTCCTCCGCCTTCTGTTGTTGTTGGAGGGCGACTGCCTCCAACTGCCCAGTAGCAGCGTCCTTCACGAGCCTCCTCTACAGAGGCCGATCATCGGCAAGTCCACTCAGCTCCACGTCCTCCTGTACCACGTCACTCCATCTCTTCTCTAGCCGGTGCCGCGCCCATTTAGCCCCCTCTATGCGGCCGAACAAAAGCTGTTTAGGCATGCGGTGGCTGGGCATGCGGGCTACATGACCCAGCCAACGCAGCTTTGTCTGCCGGAGGAGCTCACCGATGGGACTTTGTCCAGATCTTTCAAGGATTTGTGAGCTCTTCACACAACCCAGCCTGGTTAAACCCAGGATGGATCGTAGGCAGGTCAGCCTAAAGATTTCTAACCGGTGAAGATGTTCCATTAGGTGGGGTCCATGTTTCGCAAGCGTAGAGAAGGGAGGGAATGACCTGAAGCTTCGTGCTGAGCGACAGACCAGGTAGCTTCCACACAGCGTTACGCTGATTCGGAGTGAGACCTCTACTGTTCAACCGGAGCCGGTCATGAGCACACTGCCCAGGTATGGGAAACTCTCCGCTCTCTCCACAACTGCCCTATCACCGATTGGGAGTTGTGGGGGCGGAGTATCCGATGGTACAAAATACCCAGGCAGGTGCTTAGTTTTGGTGGGGCTGATGGTAAGGTACCACCTCTTAGTGGCAAGATCTAGGTTCAGCAGCAGCGTCTCCAACTCCTCCTCTGAATGAGCAACAATTACCAGATCATCGGCATACATAACGTGGTTGAGTGAAAATATTTCAATGCATTTTAAATCAAGAAATGATTCCGAATATAAATTGGTTCAAGCTATTGGTGAACATTGAATAAAAATCTTGCTTTGTTCAATTATATTACAGTCGTGTGACCCAGTGAAACTGGGAATGGAGATGTTCGTAAAAATGTTGATCGTCACAAAATGTAATGTCAGTCTCATTTAAACCATTTTCGATGGATAATACTCAAAAATTCAATGGAGCATATCATGCACTATACATGTATATATCAGCATAGCCATGAAAGTCAATGCATGTTGCAAAAGCAAATACAGTTATTTCCACATAAAAAAGTCATTCAGATAAAAACGAATACACTCCAGTTTTATTGAAAATGTAAGTTGGGCAGAGTGTATTCTATGAATGTTGTGTCATTGTTGCTTTTTAAAATACTATACATATATTACATTACCGTGGACTAAAATTACCATCTAGAACTCCTCTGTAGTGGCGGCCCTTACACCTGCAATTAAGTGAGCAAGTTTATTAGCTTAAAGCTTTTACGATGATTGTACAGTATATTAATATGCAGTCGTGCGTCAGTTGCATGCTCTTCACACATTGCAAACTCTTGATTAATTGACTGCCACACTAAACCTGTATTCAAGTTTGTTTTACGTATTTGCAGTTCGTTTGTGTGTGGCGCATGTTCTATTCTGAGATGTCTGTCTGGATAGCAGAATCTGTGGGGAGATGGCAGCACTTGAAGATTTGGTGCCACACACAGAGAGGGCAAATCCACTTACCCATGGCATGGACACTGCCTCGCCATCCCAGCTTGTCCAGCTTCTTCAGGAGTGCGATTTAGAGATATTCCAACGAGATGACAAAGCAACAGCGGCTGAAAAACACATGGTGCTAACATTTGTGGTTACCCCTGTGACAATAACTTGTGTGCACAACACTTTGTATGAGATGCAATTTTGGATTTTAAAATTTCAGACTTTTAAGGGAAATTACAGACCTTTTTGGGTGGATTTTTGCATCTTTACATTTATTATAATTATATATACTGTAATAGCATTTTTAACTTAACATGTCTTCGTGCTTTGCTAACAAAAGTGACATTTGCTGATACCACGCGCCATCGCTCTTGCCATTAAAGGAAATGAGGGCGTAGAATTATTTTCACTTTCCAGTGACTTCATAGTTGTGGACCAATCCAAAACAAACATTTAGATAATTGAGAATGAAAAGCCCTATTTTAGAAAATGTGTTTTGTGCAACATTTAGAAACACATTACTACTTTATGCATGGTCAGAGGATAACGTCACAATGGTGTTGATTCATCTGGGCAACGAATAAGTGTATTTTGTTCATATCTATTCAGAGGCTTTGATCCAGCTGGACTTATTGTACAAAGTGCGTGCATTCACATTCCGGTGAAATTAACATGTTTATTTTTAGAAAGACTACATAATTAAAATAAATAATAGTTCAAAATTTAAATGCATCCTTTTGAAAATGTATACCCTTTAATTTTATGTAAATATAAAAAATAGGCTTTGTTAGCTGTGGTTTACAAGCACAATTAAAGAACAACCTCATAGCATCATTACCACTGTAATGTGATCGAATATACAGTAACAGAGAATTCACGTATTCTTAGGTTTTTTCGGTAAAGTCACGTAGGTAAAAAAAATTAAATTAATAAAAGTAAAATAGAACAAAATAAAAAATTCACTACGTTTCGGAAGCAACACAGCCCATGGCTCATCTCGCTTTAGAAGTGGGGTTGATGGATTTTGCAGGTCATAGGAGGCTACAGAGAAGGTTATCCACTCTGTTTCTTCTCTGGCCTCTATATGCTGTGAAGGGGCCATTGCTAGAAACGTCGCCTCTTTTTTTCTTTCACGCACATTGTCATTGTAGAGTTGTTTTTGTTACAGAAGGTAGTTTGCCAACCTCTGCAAAGTTTCTATGTCTATCATGTGTAAAGGCATCCCGTGTGTGTGTGTGATTAGGTTGTATGGGATATGAAGTTGTTTGCGTTCAATGCAAGGTGAAGTAAAAATACTAAATACCAATGAAGTCCTAATTCAACCATTCATTATTCTTTCCTTTATAGACATTATTTGGTGAGTCCACAATAAGGTTAATGAGCGATGTGGCTGCACAAGCAAAACGCATACTCGAGGTAAGGACTCCCATTAAAAGCCACATTGAAAATACAGAGAATATGTGCAAGTTTAATATGGCACAAAGGCAATAACATACGTTTGTCATATATTCTTTGTTGACATTTGAATATCAACTTTTTTAGGTTGTGAAATGATGCATCGATTTGTATACTTTGTATGCAAAGAGAGGAGATGGCAGAAAAGAAAGTGGACCTCTTATGTGTGGGTTTTCAACTTAAAGGGAAATTGGGCAAACATCCCAATGCAGTACCCTTCTAAAAAAGCCTTAAGACTCAATGAGGATTTCCCTCGAGAAATAAATGACGCGATCATTGTTTTTTGAAATTGCCCACGCTGTTATCGGAAGTGTTTATCAATACTTTAAATATTAATGTTATTCAGGTACACCATGTGCAGTTATTTTGATTGAGTTCTAAGGCTCCTAAAAAAGTATTTCATTCAAAAGTAACCCATCATACACAAATGCAGTTTAAGAAATTGGGCCTTTTCATGTTCGGACAATATTCAACAAAATAAAAATCACGACGTTTCGGAGGCAACACAAGCTTCCGTCTTCAGGTGGAACCGTCACAGCACGATAGCTGTATCAAGTAACTTACTTGATACAGCTATCGTGCTGTGACGGTTTTACTTTTATTTTAATTATTTACCTACGTGACTTTACCGAAAACCTTAGAATATGAATCCTTGCAGTCACGAAAGCTTCAAATCTAGAAATATTCAACAAATTGCAAGACAAAGGCTATTACAATTCATTAGGTCTGCCAAGTAAGTGCATGTGTGTCCTGTAGACCTGTGTGTGAATTCATTTTCACGTGCTAGACTATGAATGTACAGTGTATTGTATTATTTTGAAAACTGACAGTGTATCGATTGTACATGGCTTGGTTCTCAGAACCCGGAGAACAATGCGATCGTGCTGAGTGGATGTGGGACATCGGGAAGACTGGCGTTTCTTCTTGCGGTATGTCTAATTGCAGCCGCTACTTCTACTTTAGGACTTTACAGATGAGCAGTGCATGATGGTGCTGTATATCAAAATAGCACACAATCATAAAATACCTTTCAGCCAGGTTAAGTCCTTTAATTATGCCTAGTCCTCGGGTCTTTCGGTAAAGTCACTTAGATAGGTTCAAAGAAAATAACAAAAAACTACGACGTTTCGATCACAACACAAGCGATCGAAATGTAGTTTTTTGTTATTTTTTGTTATTTTCTTTGAACCTATCTACGTGACTTTACCGAAAGACCCAAAGAATATGAATTCCTGCAGTCATGAAAGCTTTAAGTCAAGATTTAATTATGCATAGTTTTGTAAGTATATTTTAAATGTATCTTTAATTACGATTAAACTCCACGATATGCATCAGCATTGCCACTGGACAAATAATGATGCAGTGAATATTTAAAATAGATTGCTATGCTCTTTCTGCATCCAATCAAGTTATATGTTCATGTTACATGTATGATAAATTAGCAATCAAAACTGTAGAATAAAATACAATTGTCGAGATGGTAAAATTAGAACAAAAATTACCGTACTGCATTATTAAATCAGACTGTGACTCCGAATGGTGACTATTCGTCGAACTGCTCGAAGGGAGGATGTGACCTGTTACATGCCGAATTGCGACAGTCAAATTGACTTTGCACTTATTGCATTAAAATTCCGTAGTCTCGACAAAAATATCTGTACCGAGAGCAAGCCACGATTGAATTAACATGGGAATACACATTATGAACTACCTAAACAAATTAAAAATGTAACACTATAAACTGAAATCGTCGAGGCAGCTGCCTGTGATTCAACTAGGTTCATCAAGTGTTCATACTCTTATGAACACAATCAAGTGTTGCTCTATTTAGCTGGTCAGAATGACTTTAAAACTGCTTTTATTTGATTGGTTCTGCACTCAGTATCTCAATGTGGCTAAATTACAGCTGTGAGCATTGACTGTCAAGCAACGAATATTATTCTGCAGAAGAGCACGTGTGAATCAGAGGTAACTTGAAGAGATCTCAAGACTAGTGATATGTATATATCTAATAATAGGGCTATACCTAATAAATGAACTTTGAACTTTGATGTATCCGCTACCATGGCCCTTTTCAATAAGACAGCTGCCCTATGCGAGAGCTCTGAATGGATTCTACGCACGTGACCATAACACCATTGGCACAATTGGGATAAAATTGACTATTTGATTTTTTTTTTTATCCATAAGTTCTGCTGCCATTAGTTTAATTTACTGCCATGTGTGTGCACTGTTTACCGTAGAAATCTTTCAACAAACTGCTGCAGGACTGTGGACGCTCCCCGTGCTACACCCACGTAATTGCGGGTGGAGATAAGTATGGGCCGTGATGCATGAACAGCACTTGTGCGTGTCAACGCGGTGTGCATGCAGAGTCCATCTTAAAGATGGGCATTTATATACGCATATATTCACGTGTACTGTACACACACACACATGAACGTTACTCAAGCGAGAGCCCAGTGAGACGAAGCAATATAAATGAAATAGCACAAATGAGACGATTAAAAAGATGTAAAAATCATTGATACTTTAATCGAATTACGACAATAATTCACCCAATTTCGTGGGGTGGGGGTCCGAGGGAGTGAATTGTTAGAGTATAACGAATCTAAATCACAGAGCTGACACCCAGTACAAGCCGAATTGTCACGTCCTGTAAATGCCCTCTATATGCCCACAGGGCGTTGATGACATCTCAAGAGGCCCAGGAAGACCAGCCCGAGCTTGGAATACAGCAGCTGAGAGAGGTATTCAGGGTGACCCTATAAACGGACTGGGTTGGCAAACGGTGGCTTACTGCAGCAGCTTATGTAAGGCGACATTCTCTTTTTTTTATTGCGAAGAGGTAATTACTGCTGGTTCTATTAATGTCATCACATCTTGCCCTCATCTCCTGCCAGTTTTCCTGAGCTGTTGCACAGTTTTGACACGTGACCTTCGTGGGCTGTCTTCCTTTTACATCTCATGCCCCTTCTTCGTTCACCTCTTGGGACGTCATGTTGCTTTCGCTCACCGGTTTCTCTGCTAAATTGTGTGGTTTGTCCTTCTAAGCAAGTGAGAGGGAACATATCCTTGGGAATGGGAAAGAGTTTGTTTTCTGTCGCAAAATAGTGCCGTACTATAAATTGCTGGAGCATGGATTATAGCATGGATTATAGCATCACGCCGAGGTTATTATTAAAATTTGTTTTGTAGCAAAAGTCTTCCTGTATGATTATCCTCGTGCATCTTGGAATATTTTAAATTTAATATTTCACACCATACACTTGCACGGCTCGAGCCAGATTCTCTTGTTGGGCAATGTGATATTTTATGGATTTTTCAGTAAAAAAAAATGTGTCCATATGTCTCCAGTTACCGACAATGGGGGCAAATCACGACGCAGATGCGTGCGGTGGGAATCTGGCTTTGGATGATTTTTCCTCCCTTTCTAATGTAGGTCACAATGGATAAGAAGATGATCCTCTTCATAGGCATTACGTGCGGGTTGTCGGTGAGCGAAAACGGAGTCCCACCATTAAGCCACAAAGTTGTGCCTAACTTAGTTTAACACGTAAGATTTCTCGACCAATATTATTCTTAATAATGTTTTTTTTGTTAGATCGCGTAAATATAAATGTGTTGTTAATCCACCACCACCCGACACAGCCAATTAGTAAGGTTTGAAGTCTTCCTGCCTCTGGTGTTAAATAGAGCAAGATGATGTCATCACTGTGTGCCTATCAGGCATGAAGATCGGATGGAGGTGAATGTAATTCTATAAATTATCATGGCTTATGTTAATCTGAAAATATTCAGTATATATTATCGGTTGGGTTAATCCTAGTTAAACAATATGTGATTACCTGAATAGGCATGCAGTTAAACAGTGCATTTCTTAATACTGGAATACACTTTGAAGCAGCACTGAGTCTAGCTGGCAGAACTGTTAAACATCTGTTTGATTTCTCTAAATTTTCATAGATTCTCTACTGCACAAAGTGAGGCTGCACCATTTTTATTTGTTGCTAATATCCTAAATAATCCTAATATGTAAATAATAGAGAATAATAGTGTAGACTAGAAAAACCATGAGTTTGAAACAACACGCAAACATGTGTAAAAAGCACACAGCCTTTGTGCACATGCAAGCAAACCCATAGCCACTTCCTGAAGAAGTGCATTGTTGTTCTCTTGTCTGAGGTCACAAGTGATGTCCCCTTGTACTTAACATTGACAGATGTCTCCTTATTCACCACCAATTACTTTACAAGCCCAGTGAGATCAGAGCTGTTTTAAAAAGGGAGATGAGGGTTTCAGATGTATTCTCAATAAAAGCATAACACCCTTTGAAAATGTATGACACTCAATATTAAATAATAATGTAACTAAACATAATATAATATACATTTGGAATTAGTCTAAGTGTGGCTGTGTGATTTATAGCACCGTGGGGATGAGCAAACATAACGTAGTCACCGATATACAGTAACATCCAATCTTGTTAACGTGTACTTGTGGAACAATTCATATCTCCCTCTCCGGAGATTTGACAGATTGTCACGATTCAGGGCCATAATTAGATTGAAGACTAGATTAATTGTTGAACGTTGTGGTGAACGATACCAGCTCTATTCTCTGCACTGGTCACTTGAAGCAATTACATGCAACATACACTAATACAAAAATATCACTTCCATCACATGATTCTGCGCGTGAATCACGAACCTAAGAATCAATGCTAATTGATGAAAGGCTGCATCGTACTTCCACCGAAAACATGGCTTCACTGCTACACATACCACTACTGAACCTACAGCCTACGAGCTCACGCACAGAAAGTGTATGGCAGGTTCTGGAAAGATGACCTATGACCCTTCCCCATTCTCAGGCTCCCTTTGTAGCTGGACAGTTGGACATGTGTCTGGCGGATCCAGGTCGCTTCACAGCAGTGCTGTTAGGGTTCAACCCTCTCAGTCTGGCACGGTGAGAACACACACAAAGAAAAAGATTCCCTGTATAGCCTGAACAGACTGTTGGGGCAAGTGCTGTTCGCGAGCACCTATGAAGGCTGGCACGGCACACGAGAGGGTGGGTGGTCAATACCAGTGGCAATGTTAACACACCACACCAGGTACTTATTTGAGGCTGAGTCGACCTAGGGGATGCCCATGGCCAGTTCAGATAATCGTCACTGGTGTTGAGCAGGAATCGAACACGGGTTTCTGGGTTCGTAGCGCAGTGCGCTAACCGCTACATTATCGCTCCCCACGCACACAACTCACACACACACATCTACACGTGAACAATCTACGCAGGTGTTTCAAGGAATAACACCAAGCTAGCCTTAGCACCGAGTGTAAATTTTACAACAGCTGTCTGATGTATTTATTTGGACCCCGGATTCGCTTGATAAAGATACTCTGTCTCATCTGTCTCTTGATTTAAACGTCAGCACTAAATTATTACAAGAAATGTAAACTTATTTTTTAGGTGTTAGCCCTTTGCGGGACGACACTCACATCACATGTGTAACCGATTTATATAAAGATAAAACAGTAAGGCTCTGATGATTGACCCCTTCGTGAGTTTATGACAATCAGGGATGATGAGTCACTCACTGAATTTTTTTTTCAAGTGCAGTATAACCTGTGAAATCAACAGTGTGTGTAAAATGTATAGTGGCTGCAGGGTTTCCATAAGCCAAATATATTTAAGTCACGAGACTCAGGATTTTCTAGGTAAACTAGTGTGCTAAACTATTACAACATTTAAATATACAAATCACATGTTAATGTGGTGTTTGTATCATGAGTGTAAGTACTAATATTCTATGCTGGAATCATAACATCTTACCCCGACATAAAAAAAAGAATCTGTATTTCAATTTGATTTAAAACATTTGTCTTGCTTGTACTGTCTCCATTATATTATCTGCACGTTCCATCTTGTTTGTACAGTCTTGTTCGCTGGGTAAAGCCTCAATTACACAAAATGTTTTTTTTTCATCAAATCTCGATTCTTCTGTACATGATTCGCTGCATATATCTTTGGTTAAAGATGATATTTTAATAAATGAATCCTTACATCCCCAAGTATTCAGCACTCAAACACATGATACAAAGGAGACCAATCGTGATGTCTCATTTATACGATTAATTCTATGGTTGTTTTGCCAAAAATGTCAGGTTATGTAAGAAATTTCAGAGTGAGTTTAATTCTGAGCGCGTCCTGTCGGTGTTGTGCTCAGGACAGCCAAGGTGGAGGGCTGGCACTCAAGTTTTGCACAGGTGGCAGAAAGGATTCACTCAAGAAGCATCTCAACGACCACCTCCTTCCTTCTCAACCCATTGGTCGGGGTGAGTCCCTCCTGTGGTGGGCACTTTCACAAGTCACCGTAGACTCAGTAATTATTTCCAGTAAATAGTCAAATGTATCGAAGTGGTCAAGTGACTCGAGAGGCGAGACCACTCAGTTAATTTGTGGGTTTCAGCTGCAAACGATAATTATTGACCAAGTGGTCACCACTTGGTCAATAACAATTGCACAAAAAAACCCATCAAGATTTCGTGTTTCGCTTAACTTGGCAAACTTGCATGACATGATGACTCCCACGGGACCAACAACTCTCTAGAGTACGGCATGTGTGAAATTGCAGAGACCCCGAGTGTGAATAAGAGGTCAGTTGAATCCCTTCAGAAGTAGTTATGTGATATCTTTCACGAGCCATTCTATAACACGGAGTGATGCATCACTCTGCGTGAATTCCAGATGGACATTTCATCTGAAGACATGACGTCTAATGCAACTGGAATCAAACTGGGCAAGAAAAAGATAGAATAAAATATCTGAAATGTATTATTCAGGTATTGGTCTTCCAAGAAAAACAGAACCATAGTGTATAATGCCCATGAGGAACTCCATGATGAAGATACTGTTGGCAGACAAGGCAGTTTGGAGTTTTTTAAAATTCTGAGATGAAGTCTATTTATTTTACTTGGTTTCCACCCCACAAAAAATGCATTTTAATATTTTATAATTCTTCCCCTTTTTGCTGGACATAGTCATCATTTCGATGACTTGCGGGATCTACATCGCTGTAGACGGGTGGAAAATGTGACCGTAGGCAAGTGAGATGTTACCAAAACATTTTGAAAACAGGATATTAAAAATATGAAAACGTTCATTTATTAAGTACAAATCTATCAGCATAAATTATTTGTTGTGTCTGCAGAAAATGAAGTCTCAAGTGCATATTTTGTGCGGTCGGATATACGGTCGTGTGGACTTTTCTCCGGGTCCTCCGTTTTTTTCTTCTCAACATTTAGAATCAACATGTGTTTAGAGTGTTTGGCTGCTATCAATTTCCACATAAGTCACTTGGTTGAGCTATCATTTGTGGCCAGGTCACGTCTGAAAAAGAGCTATATAGCTCAGTGCGCTTTACCTGGTAGAATAAAAAGTTTATTTTTCTTTTTTTTAGAATTGGGGCAGTCTGTAACAGTAAACTGGTAGTCTCAGCCCAATCTCCAATGGCTGTATAAAAAAAACACCATCGTATGTCAGTCAATTTAGTGTTATACTCGATTTGTACATACAATGTCCCGTATTTATCGAGGAAAGCCTCTTAGTCTGAATAGTTATTTTTTTAAAGGTTCTGCGTTGGGATGTTTGAACAATTTCAATTTGGCGTGTGGGTGGAAACTAAGGTAACTGAAGAAAACTGCATGAATGACACAATAACACTCAAACCTCCGCACAGATGGGTTCAATCTAATTGCTCTACTGCCATGGGTCTGGAAGTTCCACAAACCTGATCCTTAAACCATTGCCTGCAAAGTGCTGGATTACATTAAAGGCACTGCACGCACACATTTAATTCACACGCATACAGCTCTCAGGATTAAAATGTATACATTGGGAGTATAACCCTGCACTGAGAGCATTCAAGTTAATTTATTAGGTATAGCCCTGTGAGCCATTCGGCTCTTGAATCGGGTGCAATCTCAATAAACAAAAACATGAACAAGAAAACATCTTAAAGTGACTATGTGACTAAGTGCAAACAGAAAATCCAAGACAGCAAAATATTGCTAAAAAAGCACCATACACCAACGCTGTGTGCAAAAATACCAGTGGGATGCAAGTCAAACAACAACAACAACAACCACAAAACAACTTAGATTCAGGCCATCAGTCTAACTCCGTACTACAACAAACATGGCCAAACCAAAAAACTTTTCGAAATCACCAAAATAAAGCCATGAAAGCAATGAAACAGTGATCATAGGAACTGTGACGGAATTTTCACAATAAACGACGTAAACAACATGCACCACCAAACCCTGTAGCTATAGCTGGCTGCAGGGTTTGAAGGGGCATTGCTCAGTGCTGTGTAAGAGAGGTCCATTGAAGTGACTACAGTAGCCCTGTAATTTTGCTCAGTTGATCTCTCATGTGGTGAGATGCTGCCTTGGCTGAAGTGGTTTAAAGGGTGCCTTCTGAACCCGTGACACAATTATGATGCTATACACGAATCCCTTGCCAACCGCGGTTTCATGTATACATGGTTTCTACACTATGGGAACCTCATTTGCCAGTAAAAATATAATTGTATTTTTACCCTTCTATCTGGTAACAAAACTGACACCTATGGGAACCTCATTTGCCAGTAAAAATATAATTGTTTTTTTACCCTTCTATCTGGCAACAAAACTGACACCTTTTTACAAGGAGTCATGTTTGCATAGACCGCAATACCAGCAGTCATAATACAAACAAAAGAACATAACTCTGATAATGTGCACTGTCCTTGAAGTTGATTGGTCCACACCCGAGACAGCTTTCCTTAGAGCCTAGTCTCACATGGGTTGTCATCTGGTCCAACCAATTATTATACATGGTTTATTATTTGTATAACAATTTACCAATCACGGCCTGAAAATGTGAGTCTCTGCGAGTAGACACGGTGTTAAGGAAGTCACGCGACATCCGTATTACGTCATTGCGTTACAGCAATGACGGCATTGCGTTACAGCAATGACGTCATTGCGTTACAGCATTACGTCCTGTTGCAACTTTGGCAGGTGCCGTGGTTGTCTGCGCCACAGCGCCACCCCGCTACGTGCAAGCGGTTAGCGTTAATTTTATTTAGGGGCTTTATTGCTGTTGATCTAAAGCAGCGGTCGGGAACCTATGGCTCGCGAGCCATATATGGCTCTTCCGGTGACGGCATATGGCTCCCAGACAATTTTGAGTTGAAAAAAAAAATTATAAAAAATAAAATCAGTTTGGAACTGATTTTAAAATACTTGTGATATTGCTTAATAATACTGTGTCATTTTAAAGTAAACAGAAATTAGTTTTGAAGATAAAATTTCTCGGGTCACGGGTCCCGTGACCAGAAGTCGCATTAAAAGTAAGACATGTTTAATTTATTATACGTTAAAAATACTATATGGCTGTCAATGAAATATATTTAGAAATATTTGGCTTTTATGGCTCTCCCAGTCAAAAAGGTTCCCGACCCCTGATCTAAAGACATTGTATTCACCGCAGAGAACTGTAGCGACACGACCGCGCTCTCATAGCTGGCGCCAAACTGTGCCACACGTCCTCCCGCATAGCCTGTAGTGGGAGCCTCCGTACATCTTACGACCTAAAGACGCACTTTACCGCTAACGCTATTTAATTTGTTCTTCCTATTCCGTAAAAGGGCTAATTTTGTCCTTAATCATGAACCCGAAGCGAGTTGTTGTGGACTGAGCCCCCCTCCTTCTAATCAGCCCTTCCCCCCATCATGTCATCGTCCGCGTTAATATTAAAGGTATGCAAAGTAAATTGTATGTTTATTTCAAATTGTATTATGTTATTGTGCAATGCACTGGATTTCATTCGTGTTTAGTGAAGAAACAGGCAACTTAGTTAAGCAATGACGAGTCTGACCGCTGCTGTGGTTCCCCTAACCCCCTTATTTCCCATATGTCCTGTGCTTTACCAACCGCGGTTTTGCTTACCGTGACCTTTTTCAGGAACCTAACCCCCGCGGTTGGCGAGGGATTGCTGTGTAACATGAAAAACAGCTTGAGCTTGATGCCACTTTCACAGTATAAATGTCTCACATCATATTCTGCCAACCTCCTTGCATATAAGTAATAATTGACACGTAAAAATTCACAAAATACATGTTTTTTGAATAATACATATCGAAATATGATATTAAATTCCCACGGTGGAGTTTTGTAACCTCGACCCCTATATGCCAATAACTGTAGACTCTTGCACTTAACAGCTCTACGCTGCGCTAAGGAACTGTTTGAAATGTTTGGCGTGTGACAGGCGGAGGCTCTGACTGGCTCCACTCGCATGAAAGGAGGAAGTGCGACCAAGGTCGTCTTAGAAACGGTTTTCCTGGCCGCACACACGGCTCTAAACACCGGCGTTGCGGTCTCACCCAGGTGCGACTTCATACAAAACTCACGAAAGTCAGTGTCCGCACATGGGACGCAATTGACACAGCTCCTGAGCCTTTGACTGACGGATACAAGGGCGCCAATTTTTTCCAATAAAGTAATATGATTGGGGATTATATGAAAACTGCAAACGCATTGGGAGAAATGTACAAGTCACGTTCGCCAATTGACTTCCTTTATAATATTAAAAGATGTCGTGGGCTCATGTTTGTCCCAGAGTGGAACGGAGAACCCAGCGACCGATGATGTTAACACGGCTAACATCAGTGGCGATTGATATCTAAACCATTTCTGGGCTGGCCTCTTCATCAATCCGCGCTGTGACCAACATGGTGACGTGTGGTGAAAGAGCGGTCACCCAATGTGGCCATCGTCTCTGTCTGCTCCTCTGAAGAAAGGCCATTGCCCATAATTTTTGCCTGTTAAGGTGGTGCATTTTATGAATGCAATCATATAAAAATTATGGGGATTTATACAATATCGATTACACACTCATATCTACGCAATATATAATGTGTAAAGATGTCACATATGAAGGATACAGGTGGTTTAATTTTCCTCGGATTGTCAATCCACTGCTGTACGAAGGTCTTCCCCGTGCTGTATTGAGCATGGGTGTTGCTTGACCGTTCGGTGGTTGGTAAGAGTAGGGCCTTGGAGTGGTTCAGAAATAACTCGCCATTGAGTGGCATTGACTGAGAATCAAACTCGGGCCTCTGGGTTCACAGTATGGTCACCACGGCACCGCCACTTCACACGAAAGTGCCTGTGTAATCATAGCTCATGTATGAATGTACGTTGACATTCTTTCAACCAACCATGCTAATCGGAGGTGCGGAGGAAGGTCAACAAACTAAACACAAAAGCAATTCTAAAGGAATTATATTTTTTATCTTGATTTAAAAGTGCGTAGCTCGAGTGTCTTCCTCATGTCTTCTACTTAAAGCATATTGACATGCAGGAGTCAAGAGTGCTTTCCTAGATATCAATGTCATGTTCCTCCAATTTGTTTGCTCTTAAAACGCAATTAAATATGAATGCACGCGCACATATTGGTACACGCAGCCTTTTTTAGCCCGGCAGTAGTGCAAATTGTTAAACATTCTTTGAGGTCAGTGTCCTCAAATGAACCCCTGCAAGTCCATGGCTTTGCTGGCGTTAACTTTCAGCAGGCTTAGGTCGATGCTGCACACTTTCTGGGAAGTATTTTCATGTGCAATTGTCCCTCGTTAACGATATTAATTGGTTCCACGAAAATCATCGTTAATTGAAATAATCGTAAATCGAATGTAGGAAATACTTGTTAAAGGATTAATTTGTGCCAAGGCGAGCAGAAGTTAACTTTTTTCACCCTAAAAACAGTGTAACTATTTAAGCACGCAATTTTAATAAATAAACGTTATAAAACATGTTAAATAATCTATACTAATACAAACATGGATAAATAATTAATAGATAGAGCATACAATAAAACAAATATTACCTTAGGCTATAAGAATAGGTTTTTCCCCTTTTTTTTGGCAACATAACTGAAACATTTTTACAAGGAATGATGTCTGCATTAACCACCATACTTGTGGTGAGAATGCAAACAAAATACATACTCTGATAATATATGCATTGTCCTTGAAACTGATTGGTCCACGCCAGAGACAGCTTTCTTTTGAGCAGCTAGTTGCTCTTGACGCTTATTGAAGGGCTTCGCTGATTGGCTGAGGTCTGCCGAGTGCACTTCGGAGCACTCCAATTGGCCAAAATTAGCGGCCATGTGATATCGTAAATAAATCGTTAATCGAAAATGTCTCGTTAATAAAAATAATGGGACCCTATGGGAGGCGGATCGTTAATCGAAATATCGTTTATCGATGGCATTGTAAAACCGAGGGCCACTGTTTATTCTGTCGGGCTACTCATCCTGGAGCTGTCCACTGGCTCACTCACCAACCTCGACATGAACGTCGATTTACTCCCTGCCAAGACGAAAGAAGAAGAAAGTTGTACACTAACACGGTGACGGTATTGTGTGACCGCGTGTGCAGCTGTGTTCGCGAGTGCCTGCTGTCCTATGAGGCGGTGCACAAGATCACCTACGCCTGCAGCCCAAGCATCGCTGAACTGGTGCACAGATGTGGAACAAGGTGAACTACAGATTCTACCTCCCACTCAATAGTGTCATTTAAATGTACAACGAAAATTGTAGTCTTCGTATTGCATCTCAATGCGACTTCGTCTACAAGACGCTGGAGAAAATCGGGGCGCACGTTTTCTTGGGAAACCACAGACGAGAAGCTATATTTATCTCGTCAAGTAGCATACACTATCACAAACTGCGGTCATCCTCACAGTGGATTTTGACTATCCATCGAACAAAAATGGCCACCGCAGCACGCACTTTCAGATGAACGTCTGCGGCCGTCTGGAATGCTCTTCTTTTTGATATTAGGAAACCACTGGAGCTGTGCACCTTTAAATCTAGATTGAAAACGCATTTCTTTCGAACTGATTTTTGTGTTTAGTTTGTTCTTCCCTCGCACTTCCCATGAGCACGGTTGGCTACGTACAGTGCAAAATTTCAACGTACGGTATACAGTACAGTGTACGAGGAGGATGACAAAGGAAGGCCTTCATGGTTCGAGGGGAGAGCACATGGCAGGAAGTCAAGTGACACAATCTATAAAAATTAAAGGGAAATTTGTGAATATGTGTGTTTGTTCGAAATGTTTAGCATACTTCCTGCCATGCAACAAACTTGAAAATTGGCATGTGGGTTCAGTTCATTTCAGTTCATTTATTAGGTATAGCCCTGTGAGCCTTGCGGTTCTTGAATTGGGTGCAACCGCAACAAACAATTTAACAATAAACGATATACATAACATATACGACCAAACTTTGTAGCCATAGCTGGCAGCATGAGTCACTCCATAACAGCAGGAGTATCAGTAGGAGTATCAAAACATTTCAATGCACCTTTAAAGATAAGCACACTATAATCAAAACTCAAGATCAGTTTTTAGTGAAGATCTCACAGGTAGTGTTCCAAGTTGCAGTTTATTGACGATACCATTCCAGACCCTGGGGGCATCAATAGCAAAGGCCCTTCCTCCAGTATTTGTACGGCAATAAGGAATGTGATGCTGGTAAATGAGCGAAGACCTTAGGTCACATTTGTTCTTCGAAACAGTGAGGAAATCCTGCTGATTTGTTTTGTAAGTACATCGTGAATAAATAAGATCTGATGCACAAGCCGTCGATCATTAAGATATGTTAAGTTTGATCCAATGTAGTGGTGGGTCCTAAATGGGCAGTTCAATGCAACTCTTAAGGCCGAGTGATAAATTGAGTCAAGCTTGAGTCAAGCTGCAACACTGCTGTTTTTGGTTTTGTTTTGTTGTCGCTGTGCTCACGCACCCCGGATGTCCCTTGTGGAAATAGCCAGAAAACTGGCTAAAAGTGATCGTCCGTGTAAATAAATAAAATGAACTTAAACAATTTTTTTGAGTTAAAGCTTTCCCTTCTACGTGACTTTACCGAAAGAGCCAAGAATATGAACTTAAACTAGTATTGCGTGAACATTAACACTTTTGGGCCGTTGCAATGTTGATCCTAAACTTCCTAAATTTGAATCATCACAATATGATCGTCTCACTTGGTCAAGGCTCTTGATACCTCATTCACAGCTTACAGCAAGCTGGGCACCTGTACTACCTGGGTTGGGGGACGTTGGGCATCGTGGCGATGATAGACGCCAGCGAGTGTCCACCGACCTTCGGAGCCGGTCAGACACGTTCACCGCCACCGCATGAACACCCACGTCACTGCACCTGCACTGCCTTTGGCACTTCCGTGTAACATATTTGCTGAATATGGCACGTTAAAAATCTCGGATTCATTGATTTCCTGATGTCATTCTACGTCTAATTTGCTCATTTCACTTTTAATTCGAGTGAGATGTGTGTATTACTTGGGCACATTCCGGGTGGGTCGGTAATAGGGCGGTAATACAGCTAATGCGATACAAACTATACATGCAGGTCCTTATTACAACAAGTGATGTGCATTGTCCTGTCTGTGTTTCCTTTTGAAGACATCAATGACGTGCGTGCTTTTCTCCATGGGGGTTACCAAACGCTGGGAATCAAGGAGGGTGACGTCTCATCTAAGGTACAAGTATTGTGTTTGGCTCACGTCTAAGAGACATTATTGAACAAATAGAGTATTTTTTGTAACTGGAGCGGTGTTGGCGCAATGGTTAAAAGCCACCCGAGTACGATTCCTGGTTCCGGCTAACATCCGTAGCGAGTGATATCGGAATTGGTCTTGGGCTCTACGCCGCTTCAACAACCTGCACTGCGTGGAGAGGTTTAAATCCAAATCGCAGGTGCGCTGTGGTGACGTCACAGCGCACATCTGCGTGATGACGTGGCCCGCATCCCACAGTGTTGAGCCGGGTTCATGCACCGCGCCGACGTCACGCCTCCCAAACACCCTCCAACCCAGCCGTGTACCTCATGCAAATGCGCGGGCAGTGCTGCTTCCCATGTAAAACAGTCTTGACAGGGCCTTAACCATGTGACAACTTTGTGTTTAGGGTCAACAGTTTTGCCTTTCTCATGAGGACTTCAAGAAGAACATCTTACCGTGCTTGACTGATCGGGACACAGTGATCCTTATCTTCACTGGCGATGGTTTGTCTTTTAACATGACTATATGCCTGAATGAAGCATCTCTCACAAGCCAATTTCTGTATATTTGTAATTGTGTTATTTAAATGAGATCTTAATGACACCAATCATGTGCTTAAGTGCTATCAAGTTGCAATGATACACGACACTAAAACTTTTTTACGCGATTTATAAAAGGAAACTATTGGGCAATAACCTTCCAGCAGTCCGTATAAATTGATTCATAATAAAGGTTTTTGGGTTAGATCGCGTAAGTATAAATGTATCGTAACCCTCCACCACACAGCCAGTAAGGGTTGTCACGTTAAAAAAACGCGCCAATTAGTTACTACTTCAGCCCACCGGTATGGTTGGAAAGTTACAACACATTTATACTTACACGATCTAACCCAAAAACCTTTATTATTAATAATATCGGTCGCAAAAGCCTACGTGTTAAACATACCAATGGAGTTACATTTTCACCTAAAGAAACATGCATTTTGAGTATTTGGCTGCTATACATTTCCACATGATAAGCCACTTCGTTGAACTATAATTTGTTTTTAAGTCGCCTTCAGATTATATTAAGATATTTTAATGTAGTGCAAATATTGTTCATCATATGTCAATCAAAAGTCAAACTAACATTTTCAACTTATACATAGAATTTAGCCTAATTGAGCAAAACTAAATATACAGTGATATTTTTAAATCCTTTATATTAAGTTCGCTTACTTGCTTACGACCGTGCAAATCTTTCGGTCGTTTTTTAATCCACTTCCCATGATCCAATCGAGCTGACATTTTCCACACAGACTCGTTGTGCGTGACAATTAATGTTCGTGAAATTTTTTTCCCAAAATTTTACACTTTTTAGGACAAAAATATTATATTTATTTACCAATTGCTTAATGGTGCAATGCAATCATCTGACCCATAGGTGGCAGCCATCTCAAGCCAGAGGACGAGAGGACTCTAGCCACCACGCATATAAAGGATTTATAGTGAAAAACTTTGTTTTTACGGGTTATACTTGTTTATTTTTGGGTGCAGTGATTGGTGGCCTGACTCAGGTCATCAACTTGGTAACCATGAGAACCCAGGTGAATTAACGCGCGGCTGAAACCCTGATTCGTACCCAGGATCTTGGCGGTGCCGGCTCGGACCCCCAGGCACCACACAAAATTCCTTTTGTGTGTGCGCACAGACGATCAGCTGGAAGTACGGTGCTTCGCAGAGACGATCCGCGCCCGCTCTCCACACATCTCAGCCATCGTTCATGCATCAAGTGAGAAACATCTAACGGTAAGCGTCAACACAACATTTTGTTTAATTTAATTTCCTTTGTTGTATTTTTATTCTCCGAATAATATTCCAATCATCTTCTTGACGTCATATTTTCCTGAGCTGCACACATTTTTATTTGGAACTGTGGGCAGTGAGCAACGCAAAATTATAACTGTGCTATCAGAATTATGTCAGCAAACTAAGAATCATGTCTATTTGGAAATATTGCAGTTAGTAGTAAACATGCGATGTCAGAGAAAGATGCCGGATGATTACATCACAGAACTACTTCTGAAGTATATTCTTAGGTTTTTTCGGTAAAGTCACGTAGGTAAAAAGCTTGTGTTGCCTCCAAAATGTCGTGATTTTTATTTTTATTTAACTTTTATTAATTTTAATTTTTTACCTACGTGACTTTACCGAAAAAACCTAAGAATATGAATCCTTGCAGTCACGAAAGCTTCAAATCTACTTCTGAAGTTCCATCAAAATGCCTTATTTTCCATATGCTCTATGCAGAGCAATTACCGTATATCAATCAAACCAACGTTTTTATTTAATTCTCAGAACTAGAATAAGCAGTCTTGATTATAAAAAAGAATAAATAAATGTAATGTTGTATGTATTGTTCTTCTGACTCAGCTGCGACCATACTTTTAAAAACCAGTTTTAATCATGGGCAGCTGAACCCATGACACAAACAGTGGTGCCGGCTTCATGTCTCCGACACGGTGTTAACCCTAGATTTGAAGCTTTCGTGACTGCAAGGATTCATACTCTTTGGTTTTTTCGGTAAAGTCACGTAGGTTAAAAGAAAACAAATAAATTAAATCACGACGTTTCGGAGGCAACACAAGCTTCCGTCTTCAGGTGAAACCGTCACAGCAAAATTGCCGTATCAAGTAAAGATAAGTCCCAATTGAATGCGGTCAGCAATGTGCAGTTTACTGATGGACAGCCAGTTTTGTTTTATCATGTTTAGCTTCTTTTTTCACATGCTGGTGGCCTGCTTTGAATTTTACCCACCCAGCAGCATAACAAAAGGCAGCTTAATCCTAGCTTGCTTATCTACTTCTGCCATCTACATTACAAAGGCTCAGTTCCAGCAGCCGTACTGACCATCTCACAGCAACTCCTCTCCCGGACCTATCCTGGCTCCTCCCCCCTTAACTAGTATATAAGGTCGTGTCACTTGGGACTTCTCTTTACTTGATACAGCAAGCGTGCTGTGACGGTTTCACCTGAAGACGGAAGCTTGTGTTTCCTCCGAAACGTCGTGATTTAATTTATTTGTTTTCTTTTAACCTACGTGACATTACCGAAAAAAATCAAAGAGTACGGTGTTAACCTTTTGAGCCACCCAGCCTCCTCGACCACAAAATCAAGATGTCTTCATGCTCAAAGCCACTAATGCCACCACATCACCGTGGCAATGCTTTCTATCCTCCGCCATTCTCAGTAGACACGTGACCTCAAAGATCTGCCCTTGCTGTATCTACCACATAGAGTGCTTGTCATATATATGCCACCCAATAATGAGTGAATGGTACCCACTAATGTAGGGTTTTCTCTGCAGGGAGAACTGGAGAGTCTGTTTGCTACAATCGTGAAAGTAACATGGCCTACAAACAGTTCACACAAGATGGATCATTACTTGAAGGTACACAAACGTTTCATGGTTGCACTTTACTTTGCGTGTGGTTGCAATTGATCAGAATCTGGATATTTATTTTCTGAAGGAATCTGATGAGCTATAAAGCTCTTTTTCACAGATTGCCAGTAGGGGCAGGCAAGAACATTACCTTTGCTAAGTCAGTGTTAGCGACCGAGGGCGTCACATGTTTATTTTTAATTCATGCTGCTCTACGCCCCTTGTACAATTTCCATTCTGTTGTAATGTGCACTGATGCCTACTTTATTGAGGGCAATATTGGCACATAAAATAAAGATTGATTACATGTTTTGCTATATCCAGTTGAATGGTTCAGTTACCACCACGAAGCTCGGCACCAGCTTTCAGTATGCAATAAAGAAGTTGATAATATCATTGATATTCCTGAAGGCAATTAAATTGTTGATCATGAAGACGGTGATGCCGATAGCGAGAGTAGTAAACGATAACGTGTTCTCCAGATATTCCACTGGGAGCTTAGCACAAAGTGGATCCTGAATGCCGCCAGCACGGGCGCCCATGTGGCCAAGGGAAAGGTGCTCCACAACTTCATGGTGGACCTGAAAGTCAGCAACAAGAAGCTGTTTGAGCGAGCTTTGGGAATACTGCAGGTAAGCCAACGGCGACAGTCTGGAACGCTCTTCCCCTCCGATATTAGGAAGCCGCTGTTAGCGATGCACTTTAACATCTACATTGAAAACTCATTTCTCTAGAACAGCTTTTTGTGTTTAGTTTGTTGTCTCTTCCCCCGCACCTCCGATTAGCACGGTTGGCTACGTACGGTGCGAAAGCAGTTGAACATACATATACAGTGAGGGAAAAAAGTATTTGATCCCCTGCTGATTTTGTACGTTTGCCCACTAACAAAGAAATGATCAGTCTATAATTTTAATGGTAGGTTTATTTGAACAGTGAGAGACAGAATAACAACAACAAAATCCAGAAAAACGCATGTCAAAAATGTTATAAATTGATTTGTATTTTAATGAGGGAAATAATAATTTGACCCCTCTGCAAAACATGACTTAGTACTTGGTGGCAAAACCCTTGTTAGTAATCACAGAGGTCAGACGATTCTTGTAGTACAGCACATTACACTAGGAAATCTATCTTGTGCCCCATGGCATCTCAGTTTATTTAGGGTAAGGCCCATTGAGCTAAGAATCTCTTTTTCAGGGTATTCTATCTTTGGTAAATCGGTCACGAATGACAATGCATTGCTGGAGACGTATGGTATTTATATTGAACTGCAGATGATGTGCTTCAGAAATTCACAGGACAACCGCGGGATGAGTGCCTAAAGGCCTTACTGCGATGCATCTATGAAACAGAGGAGATTTCTGAGGAGACTTGCAATGCAGACATTTCAAGGCACATCCAAGTCATTGCGCACGAAGAAAAGGTGATGTAAACCCTGACTTGTTTATACACATTCGTGTCTGACCATAACTCTCCTTCGTGCTGGTACCAACCAGCACCAGTTAATGGTTACATTATTTTGGGCCACAAAGGAAGTTTTTCAATAGCGAGCGGGTGGAACAGATCGAGATCTGTTCCACCTGCTCGGGATAGAATTTAACAATACCGTGATTTTGTTAATCATCCCCGCCCCCCGCAAAGACGTTCTTGGGCAGCTTGCTCCCGTCCCCATCGCTGAATCTCCCCGTGGCACAGGAGACCTCCTGGTTCGATCCCGACCCTTGAAGCATTTCGCAAACTACGCAAATTCCAAAAACTCCACAAACTCCGCAAACTCAGAAAACTCAGAAAACTGCGCAAACTCCGCAAACTGCGCAAACTCAGAAAACTACGCAACACGTAGAAATTATTATAAATTGGCTGCAAATATCTAAATATATAGATCATTACAGAGCTTGGGCTCCTTCCAGCTTATCTGTGCTTCCTTAAAAATTGTGAGATGCAATTTACTGCCACGCTGACCAGATGTGGTGCCGTTTTGGAGTTTTCATGTTTTTCCCGTGGTCGCGTGGATTTTTCTCCGGTTCGTCCCGTTATTCCATTTAGAAATATGCGTTCAGAGTATTTGGCTGCTGTACATTTCCACATGATAAGCCACTTCGATGATCTATCAATTGTGATAGCCAGGTCGCATATAAAAAAGAGTTATATAGCTCAGTGTGCCTTACCTGGTAAAATAAATATAGTTTAGTTTTAGTGTAGCATGAACAATGACGCTATATAAAAAAAAACGTAACATTTGGATACATCATGAATCGTTACTGTGGTCTGCAGGTGGTGCCCACTGCCATGGTGGCTCTGCTGTGCGACTGCTCCGTACCAGAGGCACGGAGGCTGCTGAGTGAACGCCGCGTCATCAGAGACGCGATTGAGCACTGCCTGGACCTCCGCAGAGAGAGGACACCCATTGTCTCTCACCAAGCAATGCTGGCCAAAAAGACCACGGGGTCTGAAAAGATTTGACACAGACCAGGCCCTTCCTTAATCAAAAAAAATCACGGTTTTTAAGCACAGACCCAATGGCCCAAACTGCCAGCAGTCAACTGCACTGTTGAAAGTAGAATAGATAAACGCTTGTATGAGTTTCTTGAATTGAGCAAGGTTGTTCTAAGAAACTGGCGAGAACAGACGATGGGAGGGTATTCCAGATTGAGCAGTGTGAGGAAATAAGTATCACCACAGGATAAAAACGTCTCATTAACTTTCACTGTGGCATGCTTTAAACGTTACCTTTATAAAATATTAAATTTTTTGAAAGGAGATGATTATTTCCACGGTCATGTGATTAGGATTGGCAGTTTTATTTTTTACAGTGTCGGCAACTGCTGGAGTATAAATATTTTAACCACTTTTAAAATACTGTATGTAAAATCAGAGCCAAAGTTTAGGGAAAGTTTAATGTAAGATACAGTATAACATTGCCATTCTTTTTAACTACAAGTTTTAATTTTCTAAAGACCATCCAATGCTTAAATCATGTGGATAAAAAAAAATTCGAGTATTTGCAACTTATGAAAATTATAAATGCTGGTTAACGGAGCAAACAAAACTGTACAAACAGGGCAGATAACATCAACAACAATAAAAACGACACAAACAAGAACTGATTTTGAATCGAATCACGAGAATTAACCGAATTGTTACCCTCACTGTTAAATAGAACTTGGTCCATCCCCTGAAGATAACGTTCCCAACCACTTTGTTAAAGTTCACGTTTCTTATTCTTTGGTTCTTTCGGTTAAGTCACGTCTAAAGATAAAATAATAAATTAAAATAATAGCGACGTTTCGATTGCAACACAAGCAATCATTATCAGGCATAAAAGAAATAGCAACAAAAATCTAACAAAAAAACTATAGACAGACATACAAGCAGACAGACATCACAAGGACACACAGAGAGAGGACGTGACTTAACCGAAAGAACCAAAGAATAATTCCTGCAGTCACGAAAGCTCCAAAATTAAGATGTTCACGTTTTTCTTAGGCAGCCCTCATCTAATGTATCTCATTGCACCAAAGACGTTTCGAAGACCAATTAAACTGCTGCTTCTGGTTACATTTCTTTTTATCTCCATACCTAAAATGAACCTCCCTGGATACACGCAACTTTATTCGCCTGGTATGCTGGAGTTCGTGGGTTCTATCAGGATAGAACCCAGGGTCAGGACCCTGACGCCTGTATATTTGGAGTCTGCACGTTATCCCTATGGTCGCATGGATTTTTCTCTGAGTCCTTCGGTTTTTCCCTCCACATTTTAAATTTACAGTTGATAAGCCACTTCGTTGATCTATCATTTCTGGCCAGGTCGCTTCTACAAGTGGGACTTATCCGGTAATTTAAAAATGGTCTAGTTTATTAGGGTACTTCAAGTTTAGGCAAGATCAACAATTTAAATTGTGGTAATGCAGCGGTTGGAGCGGTGCGTTACGAACCCGGCGACCCGAGTTCGATTCCCGCTCATGGCCAGCACCACTGACGATGACCTCAAATGAGTACCTGGTGCGATGTGGAAACAAAGGCTACCCATCACCTCGTGTGTCGTAAGTGCTTGCTAACAACAAGTCTAAGGCGATATTGGGGGAGCTTTGCCTTGAACTGTATGTGTATGATTGTGAGTGTGGTAAACAAATGTAAGTTATACAATTCATAGCCAGTTAGTAATTTGAAGATAAAATACAATTCAGATTTAATCATGGATAAGTTCACATTGTTTATAAATAGTATGTTGAAACGGTTTTATGGTGGTACTTTTAAGTGCAAATGCCAATCTAAATACACATTGTTACGTAACTATAACCCACATTTGACGCCAGCCCTTAAACATTAAAACATCTACAAACCAAAAGTGTGGATTGCTTACGACAAACCTTTGCCACGAATGCTTATATTCCATCAAACTCTCATGCAAGAGTCGGGGACACTTGTTTTAGGATCCGCATAAATTTACCGTACAATGTCCAGCGGCAACCAGGGGGCACGGGCCAGTGACAAACATCGCGTTAACCGCAGCCGTTGATGTCCCTCCACTGCCAACTCCACTGCTAGACGGGTGCCTTTCGCACGCTTATTGTAAATCACGGGGGGATCATTTGACCACACCTCACCACCACGCCGGTCAGCGCGCGTTGGTGAAGGTGGGGGAGGCCCACAAGCGGTTCCAATATCTCACTCGCCACCGAGGTGTTGCCAACTGCTGCGCCACCGCTCCACATACGCACTGAGTGGCACACAGATTGGTCATCCCGGCACAGCGGTGATCTCAACATCACCAGCTGGGAACCCAGTAGACATTGCCCTCACTCATCATATTAGTGTTCATAATAAGTCACCGTTTCAAACCGTGTCAATTCTAAGCGACCTTGGAACGGATGAAAGCCAGTTGTTCATAAGTTAATTATGTTAAGCAAAACGCTGCGAAAGGAAACATTTTCAAAATGTTTTTCGTATCATGCCCCATTGTGTACAGTGCAGTGTCCAACCCTTAGCCACTCTGTAGCCTATATGTGCAATGAAGAAGGGTCATTGCCTGAAACGTCACCTTCGATTAGCCCCGTTGGCTACGTACGCCGCAAACTCATTTCATCATACTGTATTTACATATTATATACGGTACTTTTCCGTTTAAGAAAATGTTATTAACGAATGTATTGAGTTGATGTCACATTCTGTGACGTGTGTCGAAAGAGCGATTGTTTCCCTCGTGTTTATGGAACAAATGTAACGAACAAAAATGCAACTTTTAAATCAGTAAACGATTTTATTTACCAGGTAAAGGGGCCGTCCATAAATGACGTCACGCGATTTTGGACGATTTTTGACCCCCCCCCACTTCGTCACACGGCGTCACAAAGCTTTGCCCCCCCCCCCCCCCAAATAAACATGCTTCAAATCGCTTTAAGCTATTGTAATTGTGGCGCTGCACTCTGATGTTGTAGGAGAAAACATTTATTAAAAAGTCTATTTAATTAAGTAGCACGTGTTGTCTATCTTTATTTAAAGTTGCGCGTTTTGATATGACGTCGCATTTCTCAAACCCCCCCCCCCCCCATCGTCACACATCGTCACAAATGTCTGACCCCCCCACCTCCCAGGTGCGTGACGTCATTTATGGACGGCCCCAAAGCTCACCGAGCTGTTGCCTCTTTCTCAGAGGCGATCTGGCCACACGTGATAATGGCCCATTGGAGTGGCTTATCGACTCATCATCATCGCACGTGGGAATTTATAGTGGCAGCCAAATCATCTAAACGCGTGTTGTTTCCTCAATGTTCAGGGCAAAAAAAAAAGACCAGAGGGACCCGGAGAACGATCCACGGGAACCCCAAATACACTCCGGGCATCGCAAGGATCGGGGATCGAACCCAATGATCCCTGCATCGAGGGCGAGGGAGATAAACCTATACGAGGCGCAGCAGAAGGTATTGACTTAAGAGAACAACTGGCCACACGAGAGCATCATGGATAGTCATGAGGAAGGTAATTTTGTTTATCGCATGTTGATGCAAATCCATACGAGTAATGGCCATTTACAAGTAAACTGCATTAGTGATCAACAACCACGCTTATCATAATCAAGAACCAACACCAGCCAGGCAATAGTCACTCAGTGAAATGGTTAAAATAGCTAACAGGTAAATACAGTAAGTACATGTGTATATTTTGTTTTCGTAACATAAGACTAAACTGCAGTCAAACATGTCGTGCTATGAAAAAGGACCATTGCGCGAAACATCGCCTATTATACTTTTTTTTCTTCTTTTGAGGCCACAACACTATTGGCGAATGTGTTGGGAGTTTTAACGTTATCGTATTTTGTGGCATCTGAATTGCGGTAATTTTAAAAAATGTTTTATTACAGTACCTGTACGGTACAGATCACATTTTGTGAACTACTGCTGGACAAATGGTATCCCCACAGTCCAGGTGTGACGAGACATACTTAACCATACTCTTTGTTTTTGGACCCTTGCAGTCACGAAAACTTCTAATCTAAAAAATACTTAACCATACCGCTCGGTGGGGTTTCGTGTAGGTGGAGATTGAGGGAGTCAAGTGTTCCCAGGTTTGTATTAACATGGAGGCTTTCTTTTTTTGTTGGGCCAGATCGCGCTAAATATGAACGTATCTTCCCTGGGTTCACAAAATAAACCGCGCCACTGATGTTACAACTGCGGCGTGTACACAAATCTCTGGCACGTGTCGTGATGTCGGGATTCGACCGTGTCCGTCCATCCGGTGATCGCCGAGAATGCATTGGCTTCCGCTTTGCCGAACGAAGCCATTATCAGCTGGCACTCGTCTACACACAAAGTGCTTGGCCGCAAATTAACCACGATGCCGTTGCTGTTCTCGTCAAGGAGCATAAACCATCATCACGCAAACCCCGGTCATCATCGCAGCGGTGTTTGGATAGCCATCGAACAAAAACGGCCACCGCATTGCGCGCTTTCAGATGCGCGCGCTTATGCGGCCGTCTGGAACGCTCTTCTGATATTAGGAAGCCACTGGAGCTATGCACTTTCAAATGATGTAGATTGAAAACTAATTTATTTAGAACTGCTTTTTGTGTTTAGTTTGTTGTCCTTCCCCCGCACCTCCGATTAGCGGGGGGGTTGGCTCCGTACGTTGCGAAATAAGTTCAACATCCGTGACCGGGAATTGGACTCCGGTTTCCCCACGTGTAGAGGGCAGTGTGCTAACCACTGCGACGGCCTGCCCTGATGTTACATTTACCGAAAGAACCAAAGAGTATTTAATATCCAGTTTAAACATAAGTCAGTCTTACCCCTCTGTTTGCAGGAGGGTCCTGATTTTAGGATGTTTAATTAATTCCATTATTGAGAGAGAGAACAAAACATCAACACACTCATCATCAACACTTTGGCCTTTTGATTTAAAGCTTTCGTGACTGCAGGGATTCATATTCTTGGTTCTTTCGGTAAAGTCACGTCGAAGGGAAACAATAAAATAATAAAAATATAAAATACTTTGACCTTTATAAAAGAAAAAAAACTATACACTGTAATCGGCGACGTTACGGATAATAACCCTTCTTCATAGCACATCATCAAATCATTTTTTAAAATTATAATTATATAATGAAAGCTCATTGAGTGGGTCTGTCCTGGGTATATGTTGCTCAGACCCACCACTTTACACCGCTGTACAGCATTGGCAGGCCTTCTTCCGAAAGACGCTCTGTGTGAATGAGCACTGTTACAATATTTACGTAAAACATACGGGATGCATACGACATTGCACACATTTGAATCAACAAGCGTTATTAAGTCTTGTGCGGTGATGCATAATTAATGGTGTACTTAAAACATTAAGAGCCCGTGGAATGGATAATTATAAATTAATTATGAACGGATTTGGGTTCTCAGCTTGCGACCAAGAAGATAATGCAATGGTTAACATATTTGAGTACATCGGTTGTCTGTGTCATATAGGCTGGCTACGAATTCGCCCCGTACGTAACCAACCAATCGGAGGTGTGGGGGAAGGACAGCAAACTAAACACAAAAAGCAGTTCGGAAGAAGTGAGTTTGTCAATCGAGTGGCTTCCTAATATCGAAAGAACGAGCGTTCCAGACGGCCGCAGAAGCGCACCTGAAATCGGGCGATTCAGCGACGGTGTTTGTTCGATGGCCAGCCAGTCTATGTTTGTTTTCTTTTAAGGTCAGTTTTTTTTGACGAATGTGTTTTCAATCTTTGATTGACTATTTTCATTCAAGATTAATTCCCCATCGTCGTTTGCAAGCGTAATCATGAGCAGCGTTCTTGTGCTGAATATACAGGGTGATCCATATGTCTTGTGACCCTCAATGAATTGACCTTTGCATTGCTTTTCCGTTTTAGATTCATTTCTGTTTTAAATCAACTTTATTTAAGAATACTGTACTATGTTTTAGTTAATTAAATGGGGGTCACATGAAATCAGGACTACCCTGTACAATAATTTGACTGTAATTTATCTCACTTACATGTTAGAGATATAACTAGAATTCACACTCAGCGCGATACCCATGGATTCAGGGATTCGAAGTCATCACTTGATTCAAGAGTCGATCGCCGTGACTAGTTTTCAATGTCCGTGGTCAATATTCTCCAATCTTCTCTCGCCGAGTGACTGCAGGCTTTATACGTGGAGCCAAACAAACACATCTCTGAATCCAAACCAATCGATTCCCGCGCGCATGATGAGATGCATTGATTACCTACCATGAGCGTAATACCATGCTAATGAATTGAATGATGCATCGTTACATTGTTGTTGTATTTGTACATCAACCCGTGGCCTTGTGCGTACAATGCAAGGAGTTTAAAATAACAATTTACCGGTAACCAAATGAAAAAAAACCGGGCTATGAATCCAGGTTACCGGTTTTCAGCTCGAATATATATAGACATGTATATGAGTAAACGTGGAATGTATTTATCTTCTTAACTGAGAAACGAAGGGAGCTGCCGCCACAATGGTGTTCATCGTTGTCACATTGGACTTGCTAATTCAGATGTCGCCGGTTCGATTCCACCTCCCGCCCCTCGCTCCGGCATCGGTCCATCCAACAGTATAAATGAGTGACACCACGGCGAGCAGATTGGGAGGTCACGTGTGCTGGGGTAAAGTGTGGGTGTACTACCACATCTTCCCAGAGATGTCAGGGCCGACGTGGAAGAGTAGACCAAACACCCTCCAGCGCTCCCTTGAGTAAGCCATCGCAGGGCTGCACCTTTACCTGTTTTAAAAACTAAAAATGTGCGCAAATGTACCACGCGGTGCGGTTTGTGCCATTGTGCGTGTCGATGAGGGCATGTGTTCATAAAATGCCACTGGAATCGGTTTCCGACTCCTTAACTGGTCATCGTTTTCATAACCGAAAATATGAAATGGATTAATCGGTTTAGCAGTTATAAGAATTTCGATTTAAAGCTTTCGTGACTGCAGGGATTCATCTTCTTGGTTCTTTCGGTAAAGTCACGTAGAAGGGAAGTAATAAAATAATAAAATAATAAAACATAATAAAACAATTGTTATATTATGTTTTATTTTTAATTATTAATTGTATTATTATGTTTTATTTTTTATTATTTTATTACTTCCCTTCTATGTGACTTTACCGAAAGAACCAAGAAGATCAGTAATAAGAACAATACATTTGCGAAGCACGTTTTAGATGCCATTTTAAGTAATTATTAATTGCACTAAATATAACATAGCATTGAACTTAAAGTCTTTATACTATTTTCGTCTCGCCGCAATGGCGAGATGTTAACTACCTCGCCTGGTATACAGGAAGTCGTAGGTTCGATCCCGACCCTGACGCCTGCTCTATATTTGGAGTATGCAAGATCTCCCCGTGGTTGTGTGGATTTTTCTCCGGGTCCTCTGTTTTTCCCTCCACATTTATAATCAGCATGTATTTAGAGTATTTGGCTGCTATAAATTTCCACATAAGGCACGTCGTTGAGCTATAATTTGTGGCCAGATCGCTTCTGAAAAATAGCTATATAGCTCATTGGGCCTTACCTGGTTAAAAGTGCCTCAATTGAATGTGTAAATCGGACCAGGTGGCTGAAACAGAGATAATGGCGCAGATCTGCAAGTACTTTTCGATGCCACTGCTGGTGGAAATGCTCGCTAGAGGGTATTTTTGATCTGCTCTTCTATCCTGCGAAGACGTCTTGGGAGGAGGTGAGGGTACCTACAGTTTACCCAACTACACACGACCTGCCAATCAACTCACTGTGGTTTACCTTGAAGGCTTGTGGTCATCATCGGAGCCCTTACAAAAACGGTAAAACCACAAGCTCCCAAGCGAAAAGCACGTGGGCAGCGACCATTGAATATAAACCACGCAAACACAGAGTGCATTCAGGCAACATTGCAAATGGCTGGAGTTAGTTGATCGGCTCTTACACT